TAAATATATTTGATTTAAAAAAATATATAAAAAAACCCAAGAGTATTAAACTATTAAACATTTATTTTTTTCAAAAAATAAAAAATATAATTCAATGAATTAAAAATTGAAACAAACAACTATTAAATAATAGTGAATTATTTCAATTCTCTAAGAATTACGCCAAATATTGAGATCATTATTTATATCCATTTGTTTCTTAACATCTTCTTGGAAATCTGTTATTTTAAAATTTGCGAAAGGACCGTACTGACAAAAATTGTTTGATTAAAGGGAGACATCTATGATATCCTCAACTGAATCATTCCTCTCCCCTCTGTTATTCTAATCAATACAATTTAAATAGGGAAAGTACACATCATTCATTGAAAAGATATTTTTTTGGAAAATGCAGCAATATTATTGTTCATTGTGTTATGATTTTAGCGCCCTCTAGCGGAAAAAACTGTTACGTATTGTAAAGTCGTGTGACACTTAATTTTAAAGCTAATATATTAGTAATTTATTGCGTAGCCTAAATTTTTTATTTTGGTTGATTGCGAATAAAGTTTGTAATTTTTAACGTTAAAGGTTTTCAATTATTTAAGTTCATTATATTATGTTTTGTTATATGCAAAAAATTATTAATTAAAATAGTTTTTAAATGAAAGATGTATTCCTTTATTCAAACATTGACGGGTCCGAGAGTTTATTTAAAATGTTTAACACAGTGACTCTATTTCGTTTTCGTTAGGCCATCATGTATTTTACAGACAAAAGAATGGTATTAGTAAATAAAAATTAATTTCTATCATATTTTCATAATATTAGTAGATATTAAGGAAATTAAACCCTACTTATAAATATTACTCATTAGAAAGTTTATGAAGATCAGAAGGTAGGCAATACATTATACACAATACCCAATACAATTTCGCATAGTAGGCTGTTCCAAATGAATTTCAGTTTTTAACTCATATTTTATGATTTTTAAAATGTCTATATTTTTCTTAAAATAATACGATCGTAAAACATATTGTGTGTGTGATAAGTTTGTTGCCGCATTTAACAGATTGTTCGCGCTCCGCTACGCGTTACATGGGCCACTTTTATTCTGTCCTATATCGACAAAGTATCACTTTTCGTTCTTTTTTTTTGTGTCATCGGCATCAACTGTTATGGTTATTAGCCTCGTGTTCTGTATAGGCTTTGTTACTGTTTCTCAACGCCACTTTAGGAACAGCAGTGTTAATTAGAACCCAACAGTGAATATTTCTTTTCGTTCTTAATACACAAATAGCTTTTCTCATTTTAAAAATACACCCTGTATATGTAGTTGTTTTCTGGTAACTAGTATGGAAGAACCTTTTACCCATTTTGCAGTTAATGTCATTACGTATCTGGCGTATATAATTTCGCGACGCTGCTGTATCTCTTTAAAAATCCTATTTTTATCTTAAAAACCACCATAAAAGCATTCTTCGAAATCGACTAAACACGACTAAAAAGTTATATAAAATTTTTTATCGACCTATAAAGGATGTCATTACTTTTTTTAAGCGTTACGTACCTTTAAAAATAACATAAAAGTTAGAAAACTACACAATATAAAATATAATAATACACGTACTGGTGTAGGATTTGCGTGACCGAGATCCGAGATGAAAATAGTTTTCCTACTTCTGGAAAAATAATAAAAACTTTACAGGGGTGTGCATACAGTACGTAAATAGTTATTTTTGTACCCTATTTACAGGGAAATTAAACTTACAAGTTAAGGTGCATACGACGTTTTTCGTAATATAGCAACGTTAAAACATTTATGAAAATTGATACAGAAAAAATTAAAAATAATTATTTGTATATTAAGGGCGAAAAGTGATACTTCGCCGCTTGAGACAAAAAGTCGAAAGCGGCAACGAACTTTTCGCTCAAAATGCACAAAAGATTTTTTCTACGATCACACTTTTTTAAGAAATAGATTTAAAAATTGAAAATTTGTCGTAAGTGGTGTATAATGTGTTGCCTATACGTAATCATAAAAAAACAGTTGATACTCAAAGTCCATGTTAACTTGGATATTATAACAGAAAAACATGTAACTACTTACAAATAACTTGAAAATCATTTATTAAAAAAATATATTATTATATTATAGCTAATTTAAATTAGGCGAGCAACAAAGCTGTCAACTTTTTAATTATTGAGATTAAATATACGTATTTTTATTTCGCCCACATTTAGAAATGAATCTTAAATTTGTAGATTTTCGTTAGTGGATCGTAGAAAAAATATACTGTTCAACTCGAGTAAATTGTCCATATCCACTCTTGTTGCACAAACTATTATTATGATTTGTAAAACACAGTCAAAAATTGACTTAGTTGGCGTTTATTTATACTGAACACTTCCTACTTGCTAGGACTACAGTCAATATGTTTGATGTTAATATAACAAAAAATAATATAAAAAATCGTTTTTCTACACCCGTATTATAATAATGCACTTATATGCCCATAATCCGTTTCATAATGATACCCATTATGATACAGATTTTTCATTACGATACAGATTTTTCATTACGATACAGATTTTTCATTACGATACAGATTTTTTCTACACCCGTATTATAATAATGCACTTATATGCTCATAATCCGTTTCATAATGATACCCATTATGATACAGATTTTTCATTACGATACAGATTTTTAATCAATAGAAACCTACAATTTTTCAATCAAGCATGCCCTTTGACGTTTGTCCTAGGTTCCTATGTAATTGTCTTAGTTGTCAAAACGTATTAAATTTTCGTAGATAGCTAAACTTCGATAATTATAATATTATAATGTCTGATATCAGCGATATAGAAGACTCCTCCACACATATCGGAGAAAGGAGAAAATGCAGTACACAATAATTTGCCCAAAAAATCTATGGTAATACCAATACCCAAGGTAATACCATTAATTACAATTTTGTAGAATTTTTTATAGAAATACGAGTAATTACTGTTATTGTGTTCAATACCAATATAAATATAATATTTATAGTTCTTGATTATTTATCGGGTGTAGAAAAAATAGCGTATGCAACTCTCATGTAATGGTTATTAATACACTCGCCTAAACCATACGAAACTCGCATTTGGCTCGTTTCGTATCCCGGTTAATGCTCGTTTATTAATAACCATCATTACATGATCGTTGCATAATATACTATTTAATCAATAGAAACCTACAATTTTTCAATCAAGCATGCTGTTTGACGTTTGTCCTAGGTTCCTATGTATTTGTTTTAGTTGTCAAAACGTATTAAATTTTGGTAGATAACTAAACTTCGTTAATTATAATATTAAAATGTCTGATATCAGCGATATAGAAGACTCCTCCACACATATCGGAGAAAGCAGAAAATACAGTACAAAATATTTTGCCGCAAAAATCTAGGGAAATACCAATACCCGAAGTAATACCATTAATTACAATTTTGTAGAATTTTTGATAGAAATACCAATATAAATATAATATTTATAGGTCTTGATTATTTATCGGGTGTAGAAAAAATAGCGTATGCAACTCTCATGTAATGGTTATTAAAACACTCGCATAAACCATACGAAACTCGCCTTTGGCTCGTTTCGTATCCCGGTTAATGCTCGTGTATTAATAACCATCATTACATGATCGTTGCATAATATACTATTTGGGTTGGGTGGCTCAGTGGTAGAGTCTCTGCGTGCGGATCCAAGGGTCCCAGGTTCGAATCTCACCGGTGGCCGGGATTTTTTATTTAATTTAATTATTTAAAATTAATTCTGATGCATTGGTAGGATTCCCGACTCGACCATTCACTGTTGGATTCTAATTAACAGTGCTGTTCCTAAAGTGGCTCTGGGAAACAGTAACAAATCCTACACAGAACACGAGGCTAATAACCTTAGTAGTTTAAATGAAATCTTTAATGTATCTAAAAATCATTCATTAAAAATTGCATAATCCTAACAGGAAATAAATTTACAAAAACGAAACATTATTTAATTTATGAAAGCTTTGGTTTCTTGTAACCGGATGGTCCAGGATTGTCAGAAACATTACTTATCTCAATATTAATTTCTTCTAAATTCATTGATTCTTGAAATTGGATTATGGGGGTAGGCTGGATCTTGTTATTCGTCATCGGATAATGTGTCGTCATTCGGGCAATCAAGGTAAGTATCTAACGGTGCTCTGAATCCATTTGGGAACAAAACTTATCCATTCCAGTTGTACACTGGATGTTCTTATAATGACTAATTTGATTTTCCGTTTTTCATGAAAATATTTTGCATAAATCCACCCAGGTATATTTTTTTTTCACGAATCAGTGGATTACACTCGTCCGGTTCAATTCCTAGTTATAACGTAGCTACGTGTTCTTGCAAAATAAATTCGTTAACTGTAATTCAAAATTGTGATCGGCGCGGTCTTGTTTGATTCAAAACAAACCCTTATTATCTAAATGGCCTATTTAAAAAGGCATTTGGTTAATTTCTTATTCTTGGCTCGATTTACGATATTGTTTTCTCTCCTAGGTACTAGTTTATACTGTGTCGACCAATTATTTATATAGGGTAAATATAAATAGTCACCGTAAGCTCAATTAAAAACGAAAAAAAAAAATTATTTAAATATTTTGCTTGATAAGTTTAAGGTTGCAAATTTCATATTACTTATGAATATATTTTTTTGTCCTAGACACTTTTCTATTAATTTCGCAATACAAAATTGGTCATACACAATTTACAATCATTTGCTTTAATCTTGGAGCGTTGCAAATTTGCATTTACTTATATGAAGGTATTTAAATCGTTCTGTAAAATTTGCAATACTTTTTTATGTTTTTACAACTGCAAAAAGTACGAATTGTTAATTTTTGTTAATTTTTCAAGTTTTCACTTTTGCACTTTTGCAATGTTTTCTAAAGTATAAAAAGCTAGCAATACGAAAAATAGATTTTTATCTGATTGAATCTTTGTTTCAGGATCCAAAATTAAGACAGATCGTCACTATGGGCTCCCAAGATACGCTCGAAGAAAAAACTGTTACCGTGTGCTGTGCCAATGATTTCGTAAATATAACGTTTATTAATTTCTGTTGTACAAAGAAGGACATAGCCAGGCTGTGGACGGACTCTCTCATTAGTTTGGCATATAATTTGAACCAAATTAACGGCACCACAAAAATGTACTTATTCAAAGCTTATACGAAATTACAGTTAATCAGGGACAAGTCGGGGAGCATACCTGTTAAAAAGTAAGTAGAAACTTCTGCTCCTTTTCGCTGAACAGTTTTTGGCCATTTGCATAGTCGTAATTATATACATAATTCTAAAATTTTATTAACGGTACACATTTTAAGATTATAAAAAGAAATATACAGCATTAAGTATTTTGAAACTAAAACAGGGTTTGTTCAGAATTAGTTAATACTTACCCGGTATAAACTCTTTCAGTAATAAAATTAATGGAGATTTGATATAATTTAAAACGACTTTATTTAAAAATATAACATTGACAATCAATAATCTCTACATGCTATGACATAATATAAAATAACTATATAACTATAACTACACTAATCATTTGTAACTGCTGTGGTGGGAGGTGTTTGTGTGAATGCGTCTTATTTGTTTTCATTTACGCCGTGACTAGCAGTAGTATTTTATTAACCTTAGAAGCAAATTTCACATACATAAACAAATAATAATAATGCCGTGCCAACAAGAAGACGAAGCAACGAATTCTCGTAGGGTGGCGGCATAAACACCAGCGGCCTGAACACAGCCCACCTACTCTGTCAAAAGGAGACCGATGTATAAATAAAACGCGTACGACATGCGCACTACAAATGATTAGTGTTGTCCCCGATACGCGAGTCTATATCTGTGAAAAAGACTACAGAATAGACTTAGGGTATAAACTATTAGTATCTTAATTTTCTACAGGGGTTTTAATAATTAATTTTATTGTAGTGTAGAAAGTATAACTTTACCTTATAAACTACAAAATTAACATAAAGGGCTAAAAGTACAAGCTAAGCATTGTATTAGAATATTAAGTGGAAAAAATAAGGGTTATTTTTACTCTTTGAGTTTTCTGGAATTTCCCTTATATTGACAGCTTCTCTTTCTTTGATTTCTTACATTGTGGCGTTTCGGTTCTTCTACCGGCGATAGATGGTTCGGCTCTTTCTAATTTTTTTCTGTTAGCAATCAAAAATATGATCATCTTATTCCCTGCTATATGTTGCCATTAATTTTTCGAATTCAGAAATACATTTGTCTAAAGTATTTTAACATCTCCATCATAAGGCCTAATATTTTCTCTTTTAGACTGGAAAAAAATCACAGTTAATGGGACGTTTCTCCTGTGTTGATGCCATCTTGGGAACTTTATCAGAAATTTTTTAATTTATTAAAAATATTCACAAAATCATCCAGTCTTTCATAAAATTCTATTGTAATTAACTGCACTTTTTCTTCAAATATCTTAACTACTACCTTCCCTGTTGTTGAAATGGATTTAAGAAAGGTAAAAGAAACTTGGCACTCGATGGTTTAAAGAACCAATTTCCCCTCTTGAGGTTTTATTCACCGACCGAATTAGCTCCAGATGTCACCATGCACTGAAAGGTTGGTAGCACTATTACGACGTTGAAATGTCAAGTTCCAAATATAACTTTTTTTTGTAATAATCGATTTTTCTCAATTTTTCCGCCATCTCGAGAATCCCACTGACTGCGCCAAGTAAGTATTTTGAATCTGAGACAGGGTTTTTAAAAACCAATTATATTGAAGAACATACACGTCTTTATTCAACAAAAACTAGACAAAATCTACATAATAAACTAGGTAATTAACATAAAGGACTAAAAGTACAAACTAAGCATAGTAATGAAATATAAGAAACTGTTTTAAATGTATGCGCTCACGTAACTACAGCTCAGTTATTGAGTATATAATTTTGTTTAGGGTCATCTATTGAGGGTTGAGGAGTAAAACAAGAATTGTCACAGTTTTTTAAATCGAATATTACCGCGTTACCTAGCGACATATACAATAATTTATATAGTTATTTTAGGGACATGGAATGAATAGGTCCGGGCGATTAATAAACTAAATAATCGATTATCAATTATTTAAAATAATCGATTATTTGTGATTTACCGATTATTTGGGATAAATCTATTACGATTAATCGATTATTTAAACATAATCGATTATTTTCGATTAATCTATTACTTGATTATTCGATTAATCTATTACTCGATTGTTCGATTAATCAATTAATCGATTGTTTTCAATTAAAAGAGAGATTATTTTCCATGAATCAGTTATTTTTAAATGATTAGTCTGATGATATTGATAATAACAACTACACTTAATACAAATCCAAATTAAAAAACTAATTTAAAAAAAGGTTAGTTAAATATATTTTTTTACATTTTACACGATAATTTTGTTATTTTAAAAGCAAAAAATGCAATTGGGTGTTTAATTTATAAATTGCTCCAAAAAATATAATTAAAAAAAATTAAGTTTTTAAAGAAAGTTGTTGTCCACAACACATTTTTTTATTAGATTTATTGTATTTCCTTTAAAATCGATAATTCGATTAATCAGTCATTAGATTAGTTTAAATAACCTATTAATAAAAAATAATCGAAAATAATCGAAAATAATCGAAAATCAAAAACAATCGAAAATTATCGAAAATTATCGAAAATAATCGAAAAGAATCGGAAATAATCGATAATAATAGATAATAAAAAATAATCGATAATAATTGAAAATAATCGAAAATAATCGAATATAATCTAAAATAATCGAAAATTATCGAAAATTATCGAAAATTATCGAAAATAATCGATAATAATCGATAATAATCGAAAATAATTGAAAATAATCGAAAATAATCGATAATACTCGAAAATAATCCATAATAATCGAAAATAATTGAAAATAATAAAAAATAATCAAAAAACCAATGATTTTGCCCACCCAATAGGAATTAATATTCGAGATTTTTCTATTGAATTTTAGTTTACCTTTTTCTGTATTTTTTGGTTATTATTGTTACGTATTTTTCAGTTTGATGAAGATGTTTGCACAAAACAAGGACGACAAGAAAAGGATAGAATCGATTTTAGCAAATTTAGGGTTTCCGACTGGCAAAAATGACACGATCAATCCGGAAACATTCACATTCGAGGTATTTTTCGACTTCTACATCAAACTCACCAAAAGGGCAGAAGTGGAAAGAGTATTTGATGAAATGTAAGTGACGTTACTGTACAACATACATAGTTTATTAATTATTATTCCTAAACAGATGACTTCATATGACTTTTTTTTTACGTCGAACCAAAAAGGAAAGACATTTTCAGACGAAGTAGGTAATATTAATTGAAAAACTTAGTTTTTTATTACCCAGCGAGAACAAAAGAATTTTTTTAATTAACTACCCACCTACCGACGCGACGTTTTATTTGCTTTTATGAGATTTTTACGCCTCGAACATTTTATTTAAAATTCATTTTATTTGCGCTATATAAATAAAACTTAAAAGAGCGAACAGGTTATTATTAACATAAAACGATTTCATGCAATGTAATCAAAATTACTATTGTAGTATTAAATAAAAGGAAAATCATAAATTTTAAGTCGTTACAGACTATTAAAATTTGTTGCACCCGAATACAGCTTCCCAGATATCGAACGTTTAAAAAATTTTTAAGTCTCTAGTCTTCAAGATTTTTGTAATTTATGAAATATTAAGAATTTCTTTAGTCTCGAGCTATCAAAAATTAAATTGCTTAACTCTCGATCTTTGACGAATTGCTCAACTCTCGAGATTTTTTAGGACTTTCTTAACTCTTGGGCTTTCCAGAATTCATCGTGAGTCAATTTAAAGTAATTTAGTTTTATACTAAAACGCTCAAAAACGAAGTTAAAACAATTTAAGACGATGCTAAAACCAATAGCATTCATGAAATTTTTTAAAAGATAATAATAATTTTTTTCAGAGTGCGCCCGCAGAAACTCATGACATCCAATCAGTTCGTTGATTTTCTGAACAAAAAACAACGGGATCCTCGATTAAACGAAATTCTACATCCATACGCAGATGCAGTCAAAGCGAAAGACGTTATATCTCTGTATGAACCAAATACATACAATGCTCAAAGGGGATTCTTTTCCTTTGAAGGATTTCTGAGGTAACCAAAAAATCTGTTTTCCTTTTACCGCTTGAATCTGCTTTACAAATTACATTTTTAAAAGATCACATATTGCCTATAGTATGTTACCTATCACATGTTACCTACTACATATTACATGTTACCTGTCATAGATTACCTACCTATCATAGATTTTACCTACCTATTATATGCTACCTACCACATGTTACTCATCACATATTACATATCACATGTTAACCTATAACACGGTGTCAGGTCAATCAGCTCTTAATATATACAAGTGTAAATACCTGGTATTTTCTAGACTTGAAACAACTCAAGCTCTGTATCAACATTTACATATTGCAGGGATATATTTAGAAAACTTATACAGTATACGTAATCTTGGGATGATTGTTGACAGTAGGATGGACTTTAGGAAGCCTTATGAATATATTCAAAATAAAAGATACAAGATTCGTATTCGTAGACATATAAATGATTTCATTAACTTTAATACTTCGTATTCGTAGAGATATAAATGATTTCATTAACTTTAATACTTTAAAATATTTGTATCTCACCCTAGTTTGACCAATTCTTAAATACCTAGCAGTTGTTTGGTGTCCTTTGTATCAAAACAATATAACGGAATTATAAAGAATGCAACATCGATTTTTGAAATATATTTCTTCTATAAATTACATATTCCATCAGAATATTTCTCATTACACATATAAGATAACGTATGCAAATTCAAAATTGGATAAACGAAGATATGCAATAATTGATGTACTGTTCTTATACAGTGATGACGTAAATTGTGCCCCCCTCTTAATTTCTAAATGGAAGAAATAAAACAAAAACGAGGTGAAATTGGAGAAATATTGTGATATTTTTGTTATAACGATATGCACTTTACTTGAGATGCGAGATAGAGGGCGTTACTATCTTCAAATTTTTTAATGGGAACTTGGGTCATATGATACCTCATTTGAAAGATATTTTAATTATCTTTACGTCCATGCAAACAGTTTAAGTTTTTTCATGCTTTTACTAACACGTAACGTATTAAATGTTCAAAATATTGTGTTTCTTTAATTTGTAAAAGCGTTTTCTTAGTAATGAACAATAATAGTAAATACAAGGGTTATCAAGAATGTAACGTATTTCATTAATTTATTTAATGTAATTTCTCTAAAAGCATAAAGAACCTAAAACTGTTTGCGTGTACGTTAATATAATGAAAATATCTTTTAAATGAGGTATCACCTGACCCTACTTTCTATTAGAAAATTTAAAGACAGTAAAGCCCACTATCTTACGTCTCAAGTAAAGTACATTCTCGATATAACAGAAATATCATAGTATCCCTCTTATGTCACCCCGATTTTGTTTCATGTCTCTATGTTCTTCCATTTAAAAGTTAAGAGGGTGGGGGCACAAGTGTCCTAAATTACTAGTAGTAAGTTCCACTCCGTAATTTCAGAAACATCGACTTTTTTCTTTTTAGACCTGATGATATAATGCCGAAACCGGTTGTCTTTTAAACAATAAAATTATATTTTTGTGGTACTAATTTTGACTCATTTCTTAACTTTATTATCATTTGCTATTTCTTTTCATAGAACTAATTATGTAAGATTATGGACAATGGAAACAAACATTCTGTTGATTTCTTTAATAAAGGTATCCCTATATTCTTTTAAATTTAAATTGCATTTTGCATAATTATTGTTTATACTTACTATATTTTTTGTAACTTAATTTTTATCTATTGTAAAAACTTCAAATGGTTATTACCCGTGTATAAATAAATATATAAAGAAACATATCACATGTTACATATCACATCTTATATATCACATGTTACACCTCACATCTTATATATCACATGTCACACCTCACATGATACCTATCACATGTTACATATCACATGATATATATCCCATGTTATCTGATCCCTATCATTTATTACTTCATCTCGTACTTGTCAATTTTGTTTTCTGACAATTTACATTGAATCTCTTGCGTTTCAGGTATCTTTTGTCCGAAGACAACAACATAATGGCTGCTACGAAATTCGATCTGGGACACGATATGGATCAACCTCTCGCACATTATTTTATCAATTCATCGCACAACACTTATTTGACAGGTCACCAATTGACAGGAAGATCCAGCGCCGAAATGTACAGGCAATGCTTATTGGCCGGTTGTAGGTGAGAACGTTGTTTACTGTGCACTATAATGTTTGACTTGAAATTATGTTGTGGAAAAATAATTATATTTCTGTGGTATTAGATTTCATAGATGAATGTACAGATGCTAATTGTAAATAGGGACATCTGGTCACATATTTAAAACCTGCAGATTTGTTATTAAATATCCAAAAGACCAAATAAAACTTGTATTATTTTTGAATTGGTCTAGGTGTCTCCTAATTGCATGTAACTGTGAAATACCTTGTATTGATGTTTTTTGTCGAAATTTATTTTTACATTTATAATAAACATCTATAAAGCGTTATCTAAAGTGACAGGAGATAAGTGATATTTTCTTAATAAACACCCATACAAAAAATATAAACAAAATGTACGTTTATGTAACTTCGAAAGAATAATATATTACACTTTACACGTGTTGTTAGAAAGATTATTTTCTTATAGATACTGTACAGGGTGTCGTTAAATTAACTAGTAACGTTTGTTACTTTCTATGCAATAAGGTTCCATCACATTTGTCCTTAAATGTTTAGGATTTATATTTGTTTTTATTAAAATATTCTAATATATTCAATACATTTAAAGGAATGTTGTCAAATTCTCCAACTTTCAAGTGTTAAATCCGAGGCTAAATCTCGAACGGGCTCGTAAGAATTATTTAACTCTCGAGCTTTTAAGAATTTTTAATTTTTGGGTTTTTAGGAATTCCTTGACTATTGAACTTTTAAGAATTCCTTAACTCTCAAGTTTTTAAGAATTTCTTGACTCTCGAGCTTTTAAGAATTTCTTAATTCTTCAGTTTTTTAGAATTCATTAACTCTCGAGCTTTTAAGAAATTCTTAACTTTTAGTTATACCATTCTCAAATTTTAGGTGCGTCGAATTGGATTTCTGGAATGGTCGAACTGAGGAACCTGTCATCGTGCACGGCTATACTTTCGTACCTGAAATATCCGCCAAAGAGGTGCTGGAAGCCATTGCGGAGAGTGCTTTCAAGACGTCCGACTACCCCGTGGTGCTGTCTTTCGAAAATCACTGCAATCCGAGGCAACAGGCAAAAATCGCAAATTATTGTCGAGAGATTTTCGGTGATATGCTGCTAGAAACCCCATTAGAATCGTATAAGTTAGAACCAGGTAAGCCGTAACGGAACACTTTCATAACAATCTTGCTTCTTGGAAATCATCTCCGAATACTCGTCCAACATCCCAACCATTCTTGTTGTACAAATACTTTATAAATTGAAACAATCTTTTAATATTCTTACTTCTTGTAAATTATTTTTAGGTGCTTATTTAACATTCCCGGCTCTTCTTTAGTATATCTTTCATTAGTTGCTTGTTCAACATGATTGTTTCTTATATATCACCCCAGAGGCTGTATGAGCTACAGTTATTTAATTCATGATTTATATAAAAATTGAACCAATTTAAAATGATTAACTTTGATTGTAGGAAATCCTTTGCCACCTCCTTCGGTTCTGAAGAGGAAAATCATAATTAAAAACAAGAAAAAACACCATCACCATCATCACAAACGAACAGTGACTCCGTCACCTGAAGCTCAAACTGTTGAAAGTCCGGATAACGCCGAAATAGCCGAAATCGCTGATATCGCAGAAATTGTTGAAAACGTAGAAAATTCTGAAACCGCCGAAAATGCTGATGAAGTCGTTGAGACTGTCAACGTAAATAACGCAGAAAATTCCGAAGTTACGGGTGCTGATAATGTTAATAATGACGCTATTTTACCTAAACACGCTCCTCCTCTCGCACAAATTAAACAGGTAAAGGTACAGTTTTTCTTTTAAGAGCCATTTAGCCATTTAGCAACCATTTCAGTTCTGATTTGCCTTTCCAACTCTACCAACCTTTTCTTGTTGTTTTAAATTCTCTTGTTCTAAATTAGATTCTAAAATCTCTTGATTTTGTGCTAAAAGATCTACTTGAATGTTAAACTGGCTAACCTCTTGCTTATAGGATTTTTGGATTTGTAGCAAACCATTCTTAATTTCTACCTCTGAATTTATATGCCTCTCCTCCTTTTTTCTCGTCCTTTCTGCGCCTTTTCTTTTTCTCTTCGTCTTCCTTCCTGCATCTAACTTTCTACTCTTCTCGCCTTTTCCTTACCTCTCCTTCCTCCTTCTTGCGCTTTTCCTTTTCCTCTTCGTTCTTTCTCTGCCTTTCCTCTTCTTCTTCTGCCTACCTGCGCATTTCCTTCTTCTCTTCTCGCCTTTCCCTTTCCTCTTCTTCCTCCTTCCTGCACCTTTCCTCTTCCTCTTCTTCTTTCTTACTGTGCCTTTCCTTTTCTCCCTCTTCTTCCTTCCGGCGTCTTTCCTTCTTCACTTCCATTTTTAAAAAACATGCCTGTTTCGTACTTAGTTGAGATCTAGTATTTATCATGAACTTTTATTTTGGATCCCACTGCTGTCACTACATATTACGCTGGTTTTTGGTAAACTTTTACAATATACAACAATTACCATTAACGTACAGCGTCTATTATAAAACTGAATCTCTGACGCCAGTATTATCGACTTATATAACTCCCTTGAACCTTCTCGGACCTTCCCGACCATTTCATATGTTTCTTGACACGGAATGACATTTCTAGATATTTCTAGACTGTTCTCTCTTTTTTTATTCGTACTTTTACTTATGACAACCGCAACAGACTTTAGGGAGATGGATGACATTGCACTTTTTTATTCGTACGTTTCCTATAACGGCCGCAGGTTACTGCAGGGTGCTGGGTAACAATAATAATTATAGCATCGGCGATATTGTGACACCTTGGAATATTTTATTATAGACTTTTGTGTTTACGGAAACAATGTTTGTTATAATGGCTGCATTTTTGGGATTATATTGCTATCAGTTTGACGATAAAATAGAACCATTTTTTAGTTTATAATTTTAATAAATATACTTGTAGTATTTATTAACTGGTAATAATGAAAATATATACACAGTCTTCAACAATACCCGTATCCCACGTGACTAAATTGAAGTCATCTGTAACAATAATAATTTTAGTAGTAACCCTAAAACATTGCCAATGATCTCATTGACATAAGTGATACTTTAGTTGTCATAAAAGTCACTAAGAACGGCTATTTTCATCAAATTTCTTGTTTTACTAGACCACTTGGGAATTGTTGAAGACTCATAACAATAACAATATTTTGTAATTCGGTGGTAGGAAAGTTTTATTTCGGAAAAAATGTAATGGTTAACAATGTTCTAGGGTTCAAAAGAATCTACGGGTACCGAAGATGAGGATTCTTCGAGCGAGGAAGATAACGTGGAGGCCGATATACCCGTCGAAAGCACGGAAGGCGAGATCAAAGCTCCGGCTACCGAAACCGAGGCCGGAGCCGAAATTTCCGCTCTAGTCAATTACGTACAGCCAGTTCATTTTTCTAGCTTCGAAAACGCCAAAAGTAAGTATACTTATACGGAATTGATTAACTTTAATGACGAGCCTACAATAATGCTACTGTACCTATAGCGTTTATTTTTGGTTTCTATAGAAAAAAATCGTAGCTACGAAATGTCATCGTTCGACGAGAAACAAGCGACGTCTTTGTTGAAAGAATACCCCATACAATTTGTGAACTACAACAAACACCAATTGAGTAGAGTGTATCCGGCCGGCACTCGTTTCGACTCGTCCAACTTCATGCCGCAGGTATTTTGGAATGCTGGATGTCAATTGGTTGCATTGAATTATCAAACTCTGGATTTGGCCATGCAGTTGAATCTCGGTATTTTCGAATACAATTTCAGGTATGACACCGCGTAATAAATTTTTAATTCATTAAGTTTTAAGAATTCTTTAATTCTCGAGCTTTTAAGAATAGCTTGAGCTTAACCTTAAAGTGCAACAAAAATTTACATAGTGAACCTCTTAAGCTTTTCACTTTCTAGTTTTTAATAATTTCTTATCTCTCGCGCTTTTAAGAGTTCTTTAAATCTGTCGCTTTTGAGACTTTTTTTATCAATTCCATAACTTTTCAGTCTTTTAAAAATTCCTTAACACTCTCTAAAACGTTTATTGTTTTAATTCTCGGGCCATTAAGATTTCCTTAATTCTTTATCTTTTAAGAATTTCCTTAACATTCTATATTTTAATAATTCTTTAACTCTTGAACTATTAAGAGTGGTTTAACTTTCTAGCTTATAATAAGTCCTTAACTCCCGAACTTTATGAAGTTTGTTTACCACCTCTTTCATGAATTTACATAGTGAGCCTCTTGAGCTTTTCAATATTTTTTTTTAATCCTCTCGCTTCTCATTTTCAAGTTTTTAATAATTTTTTAACTCTCACGCTTTTAAGAATTATTAAGCTCTCGAATTTTTATTAATTCAATCTTTTAAACATTCCTTAACACTCTCTAGAAGGTATAATTTTTTAATTCTCGAGCTGTTAAGAGTTCTTTAATTCTCTATATTTCAAGAATTCCATAACATCCAAGATTTTAATAAATCTTTAACTCCTAAACTTTTAAGAGTTGTTTAACTTTTTTGCTTATAACAATCTCTTAGCTCTCGAGCTTTATGAAGTTTTCTAACTGTACCTCTTTCATGAATTTGATAACTTTTTAAGTTGTAAGATTTTATTAACCCTCTTTCAAATAAGCTTTAACTCTCCAGCTTTTAGAACTTTCATAATTAACTAGTTTGATGAATATTTGCTTGCTTAACTCTCGAGCTTTGTACTAAAAAAGAGACAAAAATTTGTATAGAGCTTTAACTCTCGTGTCTTTAACTTTTTTAATGAATTCTTAAATCTCAAGCTTTTAAGAATTCTTTAACTTTCAATTTTTGAAGATTTGTATGATTCTGTATTCTACGAGTTCTTTACTTATGGCTCATTTAAGAGAGCTATCTATATCCAACCCTCGAAGAATTCGATTTAGAATGAAATTCGGCTTTGTTTGTTAAGATTCTTTAGAGCATTGTTAATGGTTTTTTCGATGCAGGTGCGGTTATTTGTTGAAGCCGGAGTTCATGCGTCGCACCGACAGAAGATTTTACCCGTTTGCCGAGAGTACCGTTGACGGCATCATAGCCGGTACCGTGAAAATAACTGTGATATCTGGACAATTTTTGACTGACAAGAGAGTAGGGACTTATGTTGAAGTAGAAATGTACGGTTTGCCGGCGGATACCGTCAGGAAACGGTTTAGGACGAAGGTGATCGCTAACAACGGTGTCAATCCGGTATTCGATGAGGATCCGTTTGTATTTAAAAAGGTAACAACCTAAGAGGATACTCATTTTTTGAACAGCATTCTATTTATTTAATCTGTTTCTTAAGGTTGTTTTACCAGAACTAGCATCCATACGAATAGTAGCCTACGAAGAATCCGGAAAATTCATCGGACATCGAATCCTTCCAGTGGTGGGTCTGTGCCCGGGTTACCGACATGTCAATTTACGAACGGAAATAGGCCAACCTCTACCTCTCGCTACGCTCTTCCTAGAAATCGTGGTTAAAGACTACGTTCCAGATGGTTTATCCGATTTCGCCGAAGCCTTAGCGAACCCTATCAAGTACCAGAGCGATTTGGAGAAACGGGCTCAACAACTAGCCGTTTTGACGGACGATATGGAACCCACCGATGGTACCGAAGAGCAGAAAAAGAGCAATACTCTGACCAGAGTTAGCAGAGATATTACCACGAATGGAAGTCCAATACAGGTATACAAATGCACTCCTATATTTATACGTATAAATGTGGACCTATAATTTAAGAATGCGAAAAATACTTGATTAATCGATTGGTAATCGATTAATCAATTATAAGATTTATTTTTTTTTTTTTAGAATAATCGAATAATTGAATAACCGAAAATAATAATATTCAATTAATCGATTATTTATTTTGATAATCACCTAGTACTCTCGATAATTCAATATTATAAAACAATCGTTTGATTACCTTATTATTACTTAATTAAAATAGATATTAATTTATAATCGATTAATACAAGATTAAAACTCAATTAAACATATCGAATAATCAAATAATCGATAATCAGATTATTCGGAAATAATCAATTTAACGATTAATTGAATTTTAAAATAACTGATTAATGTAAAATTATCGAAAATTAGTCGAATAGTCGAAAATTATCGATTAAGCGAAAATAATTGAATATCCAAAATTAGTCGAATAATTGAAAAGTCGAAAATATTCAAATAATAGATTAATTGAAAAATCGAATATCGATTGAAAATAATCGAAAATAATCGAAAATATTCGAAAATATTCGAAAATATTCGAAAATATTCGAAAATATTCGAAAATATTCGAAAATATTGAAAAATATTCGAAAATATTCGAAAAAATTCGAAAATATTCGAAAATATTCGAAAATATTCGAAAATATTCGAAAATATTCGAAAATATTCGAAAATATTTGAAAATAATTAAAAATAATCGAATATAATTGAAAATAATAAAAAATAATCGAAAATAATCTAAAATAATCAAATAAACGATTATCGATTAAAAAAAATAATAAATAATAAAAAATAATGGTGTATACATTAAAAATATCAATGGCTCCAAAATAGAACCCTGCGGAAATTCACAGTGAAGAATTATAGACCTAGAATAGGTTCAAACTAGAAAACAATCAAATTGCAAATTTACATTGTTATTAATTTTTTCTTTCATTTAAATCGGAATTGCATTCAAACTTGAACCATTGCAAATAGATAATCTTAAAAGAAAAATAATCGAAAGTAAATGATAATAATCGATAATAATCGATATTAATCGATATTAATCGATATTAATCTGTATTAATCGATATTAATCGATATTAATCAATATTAATCGATAATAATTGATAATAATCGATAATAATCGATAACAATCGATAATAATCCAAAATATTCGAAACTAAGTGAATAATCTAAAATAATCGATTATTTTAAATCCATAATCGATTATTTATTTTGATAATCACCCAGCCCTACCTATAATATAAACAGCCATTACTTTACTTTAAAGAGACCTTCAATAACCATCGGAAGCGTCTCGGTAGAATCGACAACAGAAAACGAAGTACCCATCATCCCTGTAGCCATTTCTTCTTCGACGACAGCGCCGTCAGAAAACAATTCGTTCGCCAAACCGTCAGAATTTAAAGAAGAAAAAATTGAAGAGTTAATTGCCGAACCTATAGAAAAGATTTTAGAAAACAAATTGGTGAAAGAGAAACGGCTAGAATTGGATAAGAAACTAGAGACGTTGCGAAGGAAACACGAAAAGAAGAAGATGTCTTTGAATACGCAAAGATCGAGCGATTTTTCGGAGAAGAAATCGAAATTGGCGAACATGAAGTTGGTGAAAAGGTTATCCAGTAAAAATATGTAAGTATTGATGTTTTGTGTTTTATAGTCACGAGATGTGATTGATATAAATCCAGCTAATTTTAAAATATCTTTTACTGAATTAATATATTTTGAATATTTTTCTTCTTCAGCTTGGCTAAAATTTTAACTAAGAAGTTTTTATGGAATTATTTTAGGTTATTTGGATAAATTATAATTTATTTAAAATATCACCCGCTCTATAAAGCTATTAACCTTCTTTCCCCACTATGTATTTATATGTATTCATATTTGTATGTGTTTACAATTACTTCAAATGTGCCACATTAAAAAATCTACAATTTTAGTAAGAAACATTTTGTATAAAGAATTACAGTATTAAATTAAATTAATTAATTGTCTTTGTTAAATTTTATCAAAACTAGTTCCTAAGTTTTAATCACAGATCTTTTGAAAAATTTTGCAAGAAACTGTTTTCCTAACGCTAAAGTATTCCTGATGCAAAATAATGACCAATTCCAAAAAAAAACCTTTATTCTCATCATCCCTAATTTATTTTACAATAAATACAAACGAGTAGACTTTAACCTCAAAATATTGACAATTTATAACTGAACTAGGTTTAAGCCAAGAAATTTGGCCGTTTCGTTTAACTGTCTGATGAAACTGGTTTAATACTTTAATACAACGGGAAGAACAAAGTTTATCTTGAGCCTAGGTTAAACTCGTATTGTACAATTGGCCCTCAATGACATAACAACTTCTTTCTCAATAAGTCAATTGCTTTAATTTATATTTGCGCAGTTTTTCGTGAATTGTTAGAACCCTAAAAATGTAGTATTATTTATTTCTTTACAAATACGCTGTTATATGTTATATACGCTGGATTTATATGACTCCATAATCTTCTTATGTACATACAATTCGTCAACAAATACTAGTAAAAAAAAAACATTAAAAATGTTTCATTGTTAGATGTACAGCAAGACTCCTGCTTAAGTACATAATATATCTTCCTAAAAAAAACTCAACTTATCTATCCTATATATTGCAATGCCTTAACGTTTTTGCACAAGCTTCACACACTTTTAAAATAGTTAATATGGTGAATGTCTAATTGAAGCCTTTCTCTAGTTAACAAAAAATACGGATGAATTTTTTAAATTAAAATGTACCAGATGTACTGTACAACGAAACTTTTTGAAAATTGTACGATGTAAAAAAAATATATTTCTATCCAGCATTTTTGTTCGCGCCCCTGTCCCATATAATTTAAAACAGTATTCATACGTGTATGCATCTTGGACTCTGGAGAAATAAAACATGTATGTTCGGGCTATCGCATGTTGTAAAAAAGGGGATTTAAATACCAATCGCTAAATTGGATCTACTGTAGTAATCCGCAATTTCGGAACTGTATTGGTCGATGAACCACTTTCTGAGAAAAAAAAAACATCAAAATTGAGATGGGCTCAATCAAACTAGACATTTACCTTTATTTATATTTCTCTGTTTACCTACACCATTGAGATAGAATAAAGAGGAGATGCTATAACGATGCTAAAGTGACCGCACCATTTTTACGTCATGTGTCAAATTCAAAATAGTGGAGCTAGTCAGTTTTGCAATTTTTTTGTAAATAGCTTCATTTAAATGATATACAACATTTTCATTCCGTCAATCTTCAAATATAAAATTATTGACTTAAAATAAATCAAAGTTCGACTCAAATTGCCATTTTCATTACATTTTTCCGTCACTTGAAGTACGTCCATCTGTCATATCGCAAAATAGTGTTTGTGTCGTCTCTACTTTATTCTATTTCGATGACCTACACTGACCTATTCAAGAACCTATCATCAACTTAGGGAGTTATTTTAAGTGCTTGATTTTAAACTCTAATAACACTATAGCCATTGTTACTGTTTAATATAAGAAAGCACCAATTTTTATACACTTCAGTAGTTATACTAATATAGTCCAACAAAACAAAATTACACATTATTTAGCAAAACAATTTTATGCCGTTCAGTTTTTTTTTTAATCGAGGGTGGCTATGAAAGTCAAACATCTTCCACTCTGTACTGTAATACTGATACTGTCAAACGTCTTCTGGTACGCAAAAAACTACAAAAAAATTAAACGTTACCATGCCGCTTTCCGTTTTTTTTTTTTTATATTTTAAACTATTTAATTGGCAAATCTCACACATATTCCAATTTTTAACTAATCAAAAGACGAATATCCATTGTGCTGTAAGACAGAGGCAAGCAAAAAGAAGGTGACGGAAGCTTAACAAATCATATCCTTAGCATGTGCCACCCACGACTTCCACTTCCACGTAAGTGAAGTAAAAAACGAATGTCATTAGATTGACTGAATAAATTTAAATGCGTCACTAGGCCTGTTAGTTGACGCTGAGACCGGGTGTCTAGAGACATCCAACTTCCAGTGTTGCCAATGGCTAATGACAGAAATATCCACTCCCGTCTAAAAATTATCCAAAAAACCAAAAAGAGTTCCTCGTCTACTCCCATTCCAAAATATTGTCACGTCGTGGGTGTCAGGGTATTCTTTTTTGGGGTTTGGGTAGCTCAGATTTTATCTGACTACGCCACGACGAGCTCTAGCTCGCCACGCTATATTCTGGGTAGCTCGGACTTCTCCAAGGATTGGACAAAGTCCGTTCGACCCAAAGTACAACCTGGTGAGGAGTATTTATTAATTTAATTTAACCACTGTTCTGCTTGTTGGAAAGAAGAAATTAAAATCACTGATAAAAACTAACACTTTTATTAATTAAAAAATGAATATTCAAACGAGTATTCAATTGTACAATATTTACATCTAGCATCTGGAATTTACAGAACTATTCTTATACTTAACAAACTACCCCACAAAGAAATATAATTATATAAAAATACTTTTCTTACCGCATTATCCTTTAGGGGCACGTCCACAAATTCTTTTTTAAAACCTCAACTATTTATTTTAATTATTATTTTTTTTTTTTTTTATGGAGCTTTTTAGCTGTCGCTTGTGGCTCAGGACTTTCCTGAATGAATCCCGTTTGTTAGAACATTTACCTTCTAAACTCATTTGCTGATTTTGCATATTCATCAAGTTAATACAACTAATGATGTTTGATTTGTAGTTTCCACGGTTTTGTGAAATCAGCAAAATTAGCAAATTTTATTATTGTTAAACATGAAAGGAAATATCTTATAAAAATTGAGAATTGTTTAATATTTTGTTACAAAATTATTATATTACTGGAACTTGAAATAAAGGTAACTGTCCTATTATGAATGAATTAAATGAATTAAATATGAATATATAAAATTTGGAAAAATGTATTAATTGGAATTTGTGACAATATTTTTGAAAAAAAGCACTCGTCAATTATTCAAAGTTCTATGATATCTCTCCAAGTTGTCTCCCAGAATGTTTGAAGAGCTTTATTCTAAATTCCAATGCACATTGCATATTTTTTTGACAAAATTATTAATTTTTTATTCGATTTTTAATTAGGTGAAAAATGATCCGACAATCGGCACCACTCAAAATCCTGCAGGTTAATAACGTCGTTGAGAGGTGGAAGGGACCATTTGGTGGGCTTACCTGATGGTAAATGCCTTGGTGGAGTTATAAAAAGAGGTTACTCGGGATAACGCAGTTTGCTCTGCGACCCTGGAGTATCTAGACTGCTCTTAAAATAGTCCCAGTTGAGTAAGTAATTTCAGGGGGTCACCTACATATGGGGTGTAATCACCTTGTACCTTTGACCCTAAAGATTATTCTGGACGAGATAGATAAAAAGGGGGTATACCAAATAATTTACCTGAATTTGAACGTTTAAAGATGGACTCGAATTTCAGTAAATAATTATATATTTTGAACTACGAGGGGTTCTCGCAAATGTTCAAAAACGATAATTCTTAAGAAATAAAAATAGGGGTTCTTAAGAACGCTAACAGGCGGAAATTAACTTAAACTAAACATTTTAAAAATTAAACTAAAGGAAATTGACTTAAACATTTTTGTAATTTAACTAAAAAAAAATTTAGTCACTTCGTCACAAATGGCTGATTATAAATTTCTCTAGTTCCGAGATTTTTCATGTCAGATAATTTGACAACGCTGCTTCAAATTATTAAAATGAAATGTCACAGCATAAAAAATATACATGCACATTAATATTTTAGTAATAGTTGTAAATTAGAAAACGGTATTTTCATATTTTCTTATTTTGGAAAATACGGAAACCTTATAATTGGAATATGGTATAACTTACCCGTATATGAACGGAGCTATTCGGGCTATTCCGCAAATGTCATTCGGATCATGGAATAGAAACATGGAATGCATTTCTTGTATCAGTCAAATAGAATTCTGTTTAAGTGAAGAACATTTAAAATTGATATGTAAACTCACTTTATAAAGTTAATAGCACTAATACATGTGAAGCGCTAGTATATTTTAGATGTTTTCATATATAGTACGTTAAGTTTAGAATCATGAATCCAGCAGAACGATATAGAAAAACAATTATTGAATATAGTGAGACGAGTCTCAGACTGACAATATAATATTTGTTTTTACATTTAAGAAATGTTTTATTTAATTTCAGAATTCGTTTTAATTTTTGAAAAATGCTAATTTGCATTTTTTTGAAATAATTTATTTTTAGGTATTTTCTAGCAAAAATTGAGCATTTCATTTGTAAGATATTACCGATAACTACGTAACTTTCGCCAAGTTAAACAATAAACGACGTATACCCCAAAATAATTTGTGGAGTAGTGAAATTTGTGCTGTGCTATGATCGCTGACTGCGAGCAGCAATATTGTCATTAAACGGACGTAGTTATATAAGTTTCTCTCTATTTTTCTCACCTCCAAATATAATTAAACGTCTTATATTCTTTTCTCGGGCTTACTAGGTTAACATACTATTGAATATCCATATATGTCAATAAAGAACAGGGTCGAACCCGCCGAAAATTACTTTGCACGACAGTATTTTAAACTTACACGTCTACGGATTCAGACCTCGGAAATAACAGTAGTTTTTGTTTGGACAATGACAAACCATTTTGTCATTGAATTTGACGTTTTAGTATTTTTCTTTTTTTTTAAATGTTTGTCAGTCGTAAAAAATCCCAAATTATTTTTATTGTTTGAATTAAGACAATCTTGAAAATAATAAATAAAATGTTAATTTTGTCACTGTCATTCGAACACAAATTACTTCGTTACTAATATAGCGTATTATACATAAATAAATTTGACAAACTTTCATGACCAAATCGATTTAAATAAAAATTGAACGGCATATTTACGTAATTTTTAATACACCATCTTCAAAGAAATTGGCTTCAATTTTATTAAAAAAAATACATAACCAAATTCTTATTTTGCTGTCATTGATAAATATTTTAAAGAACGGAAAACGATGATCATCACTCCAGTGTATGGCGACTATGCCCCAATTGGTGAGTTTTATGTAGTTTTTCCAACACCATTGGCAAGTTTACGTTTTTATTGCATTTTTTATCTAAAAGATCTGCACTCTGTTTTTGGGGGTATTTCAAACTTCTTGCATCCGGTTAATTTTATTTGAAATGCGACGACGCTATAAGAATTCTAAATATGCGTTTTAAACTTCCATTATGACTTCACAATGTTTCATTAAACGATCGAAGAAGTAGTAGAAGTTTAAAACCCATCTTTATAATTTGCAACGTCTTCCGAAACTTTCAAGAAGCCGATGATGTTTTATTTAAAATTACATATACATAAATGAGTTTGACATTCATTGACGATATTATGCATATTTTGTATACACATGGACCGTGATAGAAGCTATGTGAAGTCAAAACAAAGTTGATAACATACACGTATCTATTTCTTTCAACCCAAAGCAAGTTACCATGATAACGATGTCAGATGTCATCATGATGTTATAAAGTTTTGACTACTATGACAGCATTGACACAGCCGTTGTCATGGTTACTTTGATTTACTTAGTAAAAATTACACCACAATATCACGGTCTATTCCGCCCGCGATATAAATAGAACATCATCACCTAAATTGAACTTTTAATATAAGGAATAAGCGTTGAAACTCCCTCTTGTTCTTGTATGAACTGATTGTGTGTTTTCCTCTTCCTGTTCTACATTATATCACTATCACAGCATGTGTTTCACCTACAGACTTACATGCGTCCGTAGCGTTGAATTCTTTTGATTATGTTATGAATTACGAATTACATATTATTGAAACGTTTATTTCCAGAATAACATAATTAAATAGGTATCAGTTTGGGTACGATCGTTCTGTCGTTGCAAATACGTATTTTAATCATTCTTTTTCAGTGTCAGCGCCGTTTTCTATACGGAATCATCGAGCGCAGAACCGTTGACGAGCGTTGCGGACTGTCCGGAGGGCAGCGGAGCCGAAGGAGAGATGAGGCCATCGTTGCCCAGAAGTCATTCGGAACGACTGTTGGCCATTAACAAAGAGTTTGTTATGCAGGAGAAGGAGCTCAGAGAAAAGTACCATGATGTTATCTACAGTTTAGCCGAAAAAGTTATGAAGACCTCACAATCAAGTCAGATAAAAACTTTAAAGGTAATAAATTGTTAAGTGAATCATCTATTTTTCTCATTTTCATGTAGCATTCTTAGATAAAACTAGGACTTTCTCGAATTATATTTGTTCTTCTTGCTATTTCTTCATCTTCGCTACTACTGAAAATCCATATTAAAAAAATTTCAGTGAACATGAATGTAGTAATGCGCTAGTTCAGTGTGATGTCATTTTGGTTCCACTGACATTTAATTCTAACCAAACTTTTAACAAAAACATTAATAAATTTGACATATACGTTTTTACTGTTTTTATTTTATTTCAAAATATTGTTTACAGGTCATAAAAAATAGTTTAGAGGTATGTAATTGGTAAATAAACGATTGTATATTTTATACATGCTATCTACTTACTTTAGGAATATATTTTTAAAAGTGAAAAAAACGATATAATTTAGGTATACAAAACGAACAAAACGCACTCAAAAAATCTACTGTCACTTTAATTGTCAGTGGAACCATAATTACATCATCACTGAACTAGCGCATTATTTCTTAACAATAGGTTAACCATAGTCGGTGGGTAAGCTTTTTCATTTTTAACCGGATGGATATTAAGCTTCCATGAATGGGCTAAACTATGATGACAGTACTACTGCATATTTGTTATCCCCACTGCTAATAGATTACCTGAATACGTATTGTCTGATATAGTGAAGTACAGCGGTATCACGAAGAGTATGGCGAGATATGAATGTAAATATTAATATGTAAATGAAAAGTTTAAACTCATCTTGTGTCATGCATTTCCACTAATATCTCAATACCGTACTTTACGATTGTGCTCAGCACTGCATATACAACAATAATTTGGACGACAACACCGGATATAAAGGGGGATGCCCGTTAGGCCCACTTTTGCGGTACCTATCTCTAGTAAAGAAATATCCTGCCTCTATCAGGCTTTTCTATCCATAGACGTGGGGAAAATACCATTTGTTATTGAGATTCTGCACGTACTATGGATTCCTTTAAGTTCTTTTCGATGGCTCAATGCTCTTTTTTGGCGCTTTGCGCTTTTTTCCGGCACTTTCCTCTAATGATCGACAAATCACTGCTATAAATGACAGCTCCGAGACTACAAGCCGTAGTCCCACAACAATCTCACTTCATTTTTCTAAATGGATAACAACTGTACCAGATTTATATAACCTATGTGTTAAAGCGAGGTAGAGGGGCACAATATGCTTATTAACCTAAACACAATACCTAAAATTATATTGTTATTCGTCTCTGTACATATTTACTCAAAAAAAAAAACCGAAATTTCAACGTTTAGAAATAAGACATGATTTTACCCATTTTTGCATCATACTGAATAAAAGGAAACATTATTACGGTAATTTACTTGTCCAGGTTTTTGTATTTTTGCATTCTACCCGATAGCTCTGCTTTTTGTTGTAAACAGAACTTACATAATATCGATATAGGTACCCCTCATTCCAAAGATACAAAATTGTTGAATTATTGTATTTTTTTTTAGGATCAACAAGAAAAGGAAACGAACGAGCTGATGAGGAAGCTGCAGGCCGATCACAGGGAGGAGGTGAAAGCATTGAAAGAGAAACATCGGAACCGCGAGCAGTTCACTCGCGTGAAACGAGAGGCGGTCACCGCGGTGGTGGGGAGAGGTGTTTCGGAACGAGAAAAATTATCGCAGCTGTACGAAAATCGAAAAGAAGAACTCCAGAGACAGCACGAAAACGTTAGAGATTTGCTATTGGAGCAAAAAGACAAGGTTAGATCTTTTTCATTAAAAAATGGTTCCCTATTGTTCAATTTTTTTAATAATTATTGACCCCTTTCCTCCACTCCGGTTCTTATTAATTAATTTTCCAGTTAATTACTGTCAAACTGAAGTATCACTCAAAATATTCTTACATTCTCTTATGTTTTTCATTATCTATATATAGTCAATGACGAACAACTACTAGACTGATCCATTCATTCATAAATAGGCACTTGTTGTAAACAGAACTTACATAATATGGATTCTGTTATTGTTATTTAATTGGTCTTACTTTATTATATTCTATTTTAGTGTGTATATGTTTATAATTATTGTAATTATAATCTTCCTACTGTTAGAGTGTAAAATATAGTAAATTTTGTTTGATAGTTGTAGTAAAATAAGTTGTGACTATTCTAGACACAAACTAATTATTTTGTTAACTTTTATTTTCTTCTTGAAACAAGTGATTTATCACTTATCGAGTACCTTATTCATACCAAACTTATTAGTCTTATTGTATTTTAATTTTGTTTTAACTGTAATGTATATTTTGGATGAAGAAATTATTATTATTATTATTCAATTCGTGTTACACAGATATAGCGGTCTCCTCAGCTGATGCATTAGAAAGAGTAGGACGCCCACTAAATTTGCGTGGGGATAGTGTTTACGAGCACACGTATTATGAATAAAAACCAGCACTTATAACTACAACGCTGGCTTTACACTTTGTCTTTCTACCCCACTCCAGTTCATTGATTAAAGTAGTTCTGTGCCATCAATATCTTGTGACAGAAGACAATACACAATCAACAATATTCCAAAAGCGGTTAATTTCGGTTCAACCAATGCGCTAGTTCAGTGATGATGTATTTATGGTTCCACTGACAATTAAAGTGACAGTAGATTTTTTGAGTGCGTTTTGTTCGTTTTGTTTACCTAAATTATATCGTTTCTTCACTTTTATAAATACATTCCTAAAGTAAGTAGATAACATGAATCAAATATACAATCGTTTAGTTACCAATTACATACCTTTAAACTATTTTTTATGACCTGTAAACAATATTTAGAAATAAACTAAAAACAGTAAAAACGTATACGTCAAATTTATTGATGTTTATGTTTAAAGTTTGGTTAGAATTAAATGTCAGTGGAACCAAAATGACATCACACTGAACCAGCGCATTTGGTTACGGTGGTTTGAAATAAAAATGGCTTCGGTTCAAATTTCGGTTACGGCAATGTGTGACATATATTCTGTTACGTTACGAATATGAAAGAACAAAAGAATTATCATTGATTAATTATTAAATGGGTATTTTTTCCTTAATTTGCTTCGTATATTAGCGAACCTGTTTCCATAACTAAGTTGAACTTAATAGTAGAAGAGCTCACTGCAAATTTCGACCATCATCTTAAATTAAATATATGCTCCAAAGGCATGTAACAACATTGTACTTTACCAAAGGGCACCTGTGCCAATCATTATCCTAAGCAAAGAGGTTAAAACATTTAATTTCATATACAAAAAATTACATAAGACATGATAGCGGTAATTGTTTGCCCTCATAATTACAACCCTAATTCATTGTAAACCTACCTTTTAAACTTGAAATATTATTATTTTGCCTACCTTTTAAACCATGTGTATATGTAAAAGGAAGAGGGATGACATTATATAAACCACAGATAGTCAATATTAATTATAAACTCTTGTTAGACAATTAATTCTTTTAAACCATAATCATAGTAGATTTTTGTCGTTTCCATGACAACCTGTAAAATGAATCATAACAGTAAGTATACAAAATAAATCTTCAAATCAGCAAAAATTGATTCATATTGTTAATGCTTTTTATTAATCATGGATAGATGTTTTTTGTGCGATGTTAAGTAGTAGAAAAATGTGTTTTCCTTTAACGATATACTTAAGAAATGTTTGAATATGTTATTTTTTGGAAAACTTCCGAATATAACCATGTAATAGTTGTATTGGATGCTCTTTTTATTTGTAGTTCCACTTTTTTATATTTTAATTTTAACCACATTGCTCAGGATAACGATTGGCATAGGTGCCGATTGGTTAAGTACAATGTTTTTACATGGCTTAGGGGCATATTTCAGTGTCAGATTTTTTTGTTAGTTTACATTGTACCCAGCTATATTTCAGCCAACCAACAATTTTTCTTTATTATAAACTTAAGAGGCAAAGAGTTCACTGAATTGTATCTTCTCCTTCCTGTTCTGATGAACTATACACTGCACTCGCGCACTGTGCTCTGCTTTTACTTCATTTTACATCATTATTTCAAATAATTTAGTCTTTCTGAGACTTCTCATTAGGTATTGATGGTCCAGGAACGGTAGAACTGTTACACTCCGTCCTGGAATAAAGATCCATACGAACTACCACGTCAGAGAATAACTCAAAAAAAATGCTAAACACTCACTACACTGTACCTGCTTCGACAACGCAAGTAATTTAATAACTCACTAAGGAAGATCAGCCGTATTTTGTCGGCTGTATTTCAAATTTCTTGCAGCGTTTGACACAAAACCTATTGGGAAAATATTTTTTTAGAAAATTGTTATGTTTCAGGCTAAAGCCGCTTTATGCAAAGAATTCGAATTGCGCCTATCGAACGTTGAAGGGGAATCCAGCGCTGTCCAGTAGAGACTCCGATAGCGACAAGATTTGGTTAAACTCAGCGCGCGTCTCGTTTGCAAATTTTGACGCGCAGCCTTTTCGACATTTTGACGGATTCCCGGCTAGGAAGAAGAAAAGTGCAATATTCCGAATATTGAAAATATTCAACTACTTACATATTTGTATAATGTCAAACAAACTAAACAAAAACGTTGCAGTCTTTGATAATCTTGACAATCAATCAAACAACCGTTTGGTATCATTTGGTAAATATTATAGACATAAATTGTTAAATAGAATAGTTTGTCGTTAGAGGGAAGATTGAACTTGACAGTTTGCCAGTTTACAGCACAGAACTATAAAGCGCGATGGATTCAAATTACCGAATTTCTATACTACAACGTTACGCGTTTAAGTTTATCAACAAAACGTATATGGATACTATAAACATAAGTTCTTTGTATAGTAAAAGCTTTCTGTGAACTAAAAAATGACTACTAATTTATTTAATTAATTTTCTCTTCTATTTTCATAATATGGCAATATCATCAACTTTTTTTACAAATTTGTTTTGATGGGAGTTTGAGTTGTTTGCATAAGTTTATTTACTTTTATTATTGAATTAAAAAACAATTCAAAAAACGCAAATACTACTTTTTCGCTCAGTGGCGCTATATTTTAACCGTAATTTCTTTAAACAGTGTTTTAAACTTAAAAACTCTCGGCCTAACTTTAATGTTTACAGTATTTTGTTAAAGTTCCTCAAAATACGTTGACCATTTTAATAATTGACAGATACGACGTTGACATTTGACTTCTCCTTGATTTATAGTTCTGTGATCGATACGGTAACATGACGCTTATTAATACGAGTGCCAGATGGCATTCTGGTCTGTAAAATGACATTTGACAATCGAGTCAACTTCACTCGAAGCTCTAGTCTACATATTCGATGTTTGTTGTTAATTGTGATAGTAGAGTTTAGAAACATTTTAGGAAAACAAAGTGATAAGATGCTTCAGAAACAATATTATAAAAATAAAAACAAAATAGTCAAACAAACACTTGTGCCAGTTAATATGAATATATTTTTACAAATGCTTCTTCGTTTTTGCTGAACCGAAATACCTTTTCTCTGTGACTTTGTATATTTTGATTTTGTTTTTTGTTTCGAATATTTCGGAAAGGGAAACAATATAGCCAAAAAATGGGGTTTGTTAATTTTTAAGTATATTTGACTGACAGTTATTACTCAAATCGACATTTTTTTTCACATTTTGGATCCTCTGTGTTATCACCTTAATCCGTTTGTAGCGTGCAACCTGCAACGTTATTGTGCCACATTCACTCACTCATTCACCGTCATTTATTATACACATGGTGGAACGTCTCCCATCCACGACGTGACTGGAGACATCCACCGCTTAACTGTTACGAGAACGTAGATGCAAACTAATCGATATTTAACTTTAAAAGATAATTGACATTTAACATATTTTTAGAACATTAAATGGATATTAAATAACCAAATAGAACGTTGAAAAGTATAATGTGATTTATATGCAGTTGTCGGTCAAATTGACTTTAAATATCCTTTTGAGAAGTTAAATTTACTTTTAATTATCCTTTTCCTAGAACAATTTTCAAAACAATTTTTTGTTTAATTTTATTAAAGCTGAAAAATTATAAATGATTAAATTTTGAAAAATTAAATTGTAAATATAAAAAAATTAAGAAATGTTTTGAAAAGGATATTTTGTTTCCCGTTTTCATGGGTGTACCAAATGAATAAAAAAATTCAAATTTTCTTGAGCTTTTTAACTAAGTGTATAGTTAAAAGTAGATGATAGTGCATCGTAAATTTAGCCTGAACATATATAAGTATTTAATGTTTGTATAGACGACAAAAAACGTATTAGAAATATTTATACAATATCTTTAGGATTTGACCATCTAAAAGTGTTCAAGAAAATTTGCTATTTTTAATTTTTGTATAACTATAGGTTTTCCTGTTATTGTTACGGACATTCTGTAGTCAAAGTTTATATTTTTACCGAGTTATATGCCTCGTTAAAGTCTACAATTACTGGTGTAAATACGTGTCATATGAACACGAAATTTTTCAGCATTTGTCCCAGTACAAATATCTGATCTGAATGTTTAAAAAATAGTTACTAAAGAAAAAATATTAATCTCAAGCTCCATTACTCTACAGGATGTTCATACAAAAAATAATTCTATATTTTATTCTTATATACCTCTCTAAAAATAACTTACCCTACTCCTTACACAAATATTTAAAAAATCCCCTCTACCTTAACTGTACTTAATCACCTTACTGTGACTTTATATAGGTATAATTTGTTAAGTATATTTAAAATGACGTTGCTGAAAGTGTTTGCTGCTATATTATACATTATAACTGATTGTTAATTAGCATAGAATTGATTAAAATTAGTAAAAAAAAAACACTGGTATCTCTAGATGAACAGAAATGGAGTAGGCGTTTTAGAACTGTACGTCAGATAATGAGGAATCTTTTTGTGTTCTTTAAAATTTTAACAAAATTTCAATTCAGGAATAATTCAAGTCCGTATTTAAAATTATTAACCTGAGGACGGTGGGACAAAAGCGAAACGTTTTGTTTAGTTTAAATAAATATTTTCATTGACCCCTTTACGCCTGGTTTTTTTAACATCGTTCCTGAGGGAGGCATAAAACTAACTTGTATAAGTTAGGGAGGGGAGCAGTGAACTTTTTTACGTTTCGTCACAAAGGTTCAGGGATTTTTATTTTGGAATTATATGAGTCGTATGAAATAAAGATTATTTTAGGTAAATGAAGAGAAGATGAAACATACGCAACTGAAAATTCAAATTAGAGGAAATAAAAGATCTGTTTCCAGTAACGACGAAAAGAAAAATTTACAGGTTATATGTTGCTGCAATGAAAAGTTTAACCGAAGACTTGGCGTGTCTGAGTTTGACTATAGCTTCGGGATTAAATAAATATATAGATAGATTTGAAAGGAGCTGAACATTATTTTTTGTCCTTGTCCACCGCGACCTATTCAGATTTATTGTGAGACTTCGTTATTTAGAGGGTGATACTTGCTGATTTAATATCTCTCTTTCATAGTATTCTATGACTAAGTTTGGCCTGGATCACTGTTGCGTGTTCTCATAGTCTCAGCGAAATTGTTGTTTTCCACTTGGATTCAAAAATGTTATTTTCCAGTAACGACGGTAAGGAAATGTTATAAGTTGTATGTTGCTGTAAAGAAACGTTTTTTCGAAGACTTGACGTGTCTCAGCTTACCTTGGACTTCGTGGTTAATGAACTGCCCAATGTGCCTCTCATTAAATTGTTTATCTACTTTAGTTAAAAAAGCGCAGTTTTGCGTTTGGAACGGAAATTTTGAATAAAATAGAGGAATTATTCAATAATGTATGGAAACAAAAGTGTCCGATTAATTTATTTCTGCCAAAACCATACAATTATTTAAAAAACAATGTTTAAAATTTTACTAAGGCGATATATTTTCAAACTACAAGAAGATTCCTTTTATCCTATATACAGTTAATTGAATTTACTTACCATCCCTTATATTTCAACACAGTGAGTTTCATAAAGCTATGATTAAGCCTCCAATTCTCGAATTTGATTAAAAATAGTTCCTCGCGTATTTTTCTTGCTTGTAAAACCTTGACGCAATAAACATTGGAAGTTTAATCATTTAATGATAAATTTCAATGAACTCACTTTTGTTAACGTTAATTTCATTAATTACTGAAAATCACGGCCTATTCTATTTTTAAGATAGTTTTTCTTATCGTTGATTAGAATTAAGAGAATACTGCCTACTACAATTTGATCCTGTTTTTTTTTTTCGGTTTACTCTTTGTTACTCCTCGTATATATTGAAAAATAGACTGATATTGTCTTTAGTGAACCAGAATTTAAAATGTATTTAAAAGGAGGAGTCGGTTTCTTTTTGTATTATTCTGTACCCTAGAAATATAAGAAATTCTCTTTGGAGATTTTTGTATAAAACAATTTTTCATAGCGTTGTCATAAACGATTGTAGCAGTGAAATTATTAAAAAAATGAGGTTAGATGATATAAAAAGAAATTGGCTTTTCAAACAGAGTAGTTTGACTATGTAAATTAGAGGAAAAAAATAAATATATTCGAAGTAGACAATTAGACAAGAAGAGTGTTCCTCTGTGTAAAAAATCTTCACCGGTAAAACGTATAAGTATATAACCATTGTATATTTTTGTTGATTTTTTATTTTTACAGTCTATTTTTCATTTTGTTATTTATTTTTTTCGTTCTTGTACGTGTTATGGAATGAAAAAAATATTGTTTAGGTACCTAATTGAGAATAAAAATGTCTGTTGATTACTTAGTTTTAAATAGTTTTTAGCAGTGGAATATTTGGAGACAATAATCTTTTCGCTAACTTTACAGGTTACCAGGGTGTTTCCAAAATATTTAAATTATTAAATACGTTTCGAAATTCCATCTTTTCAGATATTATTTTCTGTCTGTATTGGCACAGGTGAAAACTTTATTTTACTTTTGTTTTTTTAACCAAAACTCCTATTCGCATTTATATAGGTATAAATATAATTCATCCAATATTATTATTTTTTTTTTTTAAACAAAATTATAGTGAATTATTTATTTGTATTTTTTGTTGTATTCGGTTGTTTGCGATAGAAAAAGACCAGTAAATAATAATTATCTAGACAGCACAAATAGATGTCCTTTCGATATGCATTTTTGAATGTCTGGACGTTCAAAAATTAGTTTTTCTGGACTTCCGGTAACCAACAGACGTCCAGTAACAGTTACGTATACAAATGGCACACTTTTGACCATTCAGAGGACGTCTCTTTCTGGTTTATATTCGAACACTGCATATTCACGCAATGGTCGTTAAGTTAAACAATGACCAATGGACGTCCATTGAACGTTTTTGATAGAATACTGGACATTTAAAAATGTCCCCTCTTTCTGGATTATATAGAGAAAGTAAAAGTTGAAAAGTCTTTTGGTAGGTAGAGAGGGGGTAAACGTCAAACCACGTCGGGCGGCTCCGAGAATTTCACAGTAATGTTTACCTGCCAGTGTCGTTTCATAGAATAAGTAACTTTAAATTGTTATCGGCGGAACCGGACAATCGCATGTATTTATGGATTATAAATAATTATTAAACATGTATTATAATATTCAAATTATAATTTTACAAAATTTCAACAGCTATTCACAATTTATTAAAATATTTACTCGAAATTGTTATTAACATCTATAAAATAATTTTGTACGCCAATGTATCGCGTCCACTTCGGTGAGATCCGCTGACAACCTGTCAATTTATGTGTATAAAGTGGGAGAACTGGCAAAAGCATTTCCAACTTTTACTTCTGTTCTAGTCCATTACATTACTTAAGATCACCACTGTTTTTACACAACCGCAACTCACCACACACTATTTTAGATTATTAATGTATTTATTATTTTCGCAACCCGCCATACACCATTATTTTTTTATTAAATTAAAACGCGCTTGAGCGGAAATCGAACGTATGACACGTCCGTTAACGTTCTACAACTTCAGTCGCTATACGACCTCGACAATTGAGACACAACAATTTGTTACCAGATATGATTCTTATTATAAGATTTGAAACCTTCGTTGATTGAATTAATTACAATAGATTCAATTTTTAACGACCAATTTTATAAAAAAAGAGTGTATAATTAAGAATTATCTGCTACGTTAAATAAATATTCTAAGATGGACGTCCATTGGACGTTAACATACTCAGAGATAAGGGACATACAGATAGCAAACGCTCATAAGAAGCACATGCTTAAAAACAACTAGCTTTAACATATAAATATCGATTTAACTTGTAACGTGATACTTGATATTTTATTTTTTTGTTATAGTGTTTTAAGCTCAATTGATTTTGGGAGTGGGTCAAGTTATTAAATAACTCGAATTACCTTGAAAAAGAAGTTGGGCACCACTATATTTAAAACTTACTATACTTGACTATAGATTAGTGATAAAAATATAGAAAATCACTAACCATTAAGATATTATATTTAAACCAAGTTTTAGATAAGGTAGTAACAAATTCTAATTCACAGAGATTTACTTAATTCAAATTTAGATGATTTATTTAAAAAACAACGTATCTGTTGTAACAGGAGGTAGTTAGATTAGGAGTGTAATTGCACGGTATACTAGGCCTTCTTCAAAGGGATTCTTATTCTTAATTCTGGACTTAAACAATCTTCTATAGGTAAACTAAACCTCGGTCTTCAGATGGCACCATACTCTTAGGTATAAACTTCTTGATATAAACCGTTTAGATACAAATCTCCATAAACTGTTTGAGATATAACTTGAAATAAACCAAAATAGATATAGCCATGCCCACAAAATCAGACGGAATATACGATAGATAAAAATTACTTAGTACATCGGATGACCCAGATATTTTGAAATGAATGTGATCTGTTTGATATATTCGAATCAAGTCAAATATGAACTTTTGACACAAGGAATAAACGAAAAATTACATTTGAGTAGAGATGTTTGTGTCAAAATAACGAAAACAATTCCAACCGTTACAAACTTTAGTGTAGGTAAATAAATTTAAACAATGTAAATTACGCTAAATTATTTATTAAAAAGAATACTACACTTACAGTCTATTATCATGACAAATATTTTTTAATTTTTAATTTTTGTAACTTTAACATAACATTTTTGTTCTTATTTTCCACACAACTGGCTATTGGTATTTCATTTTTAAAAATTTTGACTGCAAACTCGATATTGGGAATTCAGATATTTTTCTTCCTATAACAAATATTCTCTTTAACGTTTTGAAACCATTTTCTTACTCTAAAACAATAAATAATAAATAAATACTTTGTGACAAAAGTTGGCTACTGTTTGTTACTTACATGGCTAGATCTAACTTTAGTAAGGGAACGCTGTATTGGAGTTGTTAAATTTATTTATCTGGCACACGATCTGGCATGTATGAGTAATGCAATACGTGCTCGAACTCAGTGTAATATTACAAAATATAATTAATGTCTTCAAATTCACGCAAAAACAACCACAACCATTTCGCTTAGTTCACCTTACAATATAAACAATTCTTGAACCCAAAATTTAAAATTTATTCTACGATATACATTCAATTAATTGATTTTTACAAACTGTCAACTGCTGTTCACGTTGCAAACGACGTCTACCTTTAGAGACCTTCTGAGACGCATAGATGACATCATCGTTGCTGCTGTCGTGTTTCACATACTTCGATAGGTATGTGTTGCGTTTCCTATCTTTATGTCCCTGATCTGTGAATATACTATTTCACTTAAAAACGTCCACTGGGTATCAATATGCAATTGTTAAATTAATGTTCATAAACCACTGATCTGTATTATTTTACTGGATAGGATGTAGGCTATATTTAACATACTAACAAATCGTTCCACCAAGGAGACCGGAAGTGCAACAATGCTGGCCGATTTGGGCAAATTATAGTGGGTTCACAGAACTGAAATTTGGGATAATTTGACATACCTAACCTATAATTTGATTAGTTTTTCTTCTTATTCTTCTTCTATTCCTTTTGCGGGCGATGTCCTTCGGGAAATTTCACTCATGATTTGATTTTTTATGAAAGAAAATATAAAAATGGAAACGTGAAGCATATTGTGTCTTTAGGAATGAACGTTTATTGTTTATTTCTTACTCTTTTTACTTTGTTTTCCACAATAAAAACATCTCATCGTAGCTTGTTGACACAATTTAATGACAAATGTGATGACAAATGGAAATATATTATTTACCCAAATCGGCCAATTTTTCGGAACGTTTTTTAGGGGGCTATATCCTATCCAGTAAAATAATACAGATCAGTGTCATAAACGGATGTATATTGGACGTTTAAATACGGCTATGGACGTTCTTCAGTGGGATTCTCTATTTTAGATACGTCTCGTATCGGAACGCCTATCTTCGTTCGACAGACTGCGATTCTATATGTTCGATATGTATCATGTCCCCTGTTCTGATCCTTAAAAATATCTAAAATGGACGTCCTATTTGTGATGTCTGGGTATAAGCACAACTGGAAATGTTATTAGTTGTTTATACATAACTGCTCATCAGACAGACACATTTTTTTATAAAAATAGATAACTGAATGTTAGTCAAAAATAGACGAACCATCTGTACAAAGAAACACGTTTAAACAATTTATGTTATATGTAGGGTGACTACGGGTAGCAGATTGTTGATAACTTGAAACAGAACGTTACTATCTTTGTAATTATGTATGTTCTTTATTAAATGTATAATATACAAATAAGGTGACTTTAAATAGAGAACGATCGGCAAAAATCACAAAAGTTAGTGTTTTGTAACAACGTTTTTAGTGAGGTTATTAAGAGGCTTGGGCGATTATCAAAATGAATAATCGAAATAACCGATTATTCGAAAATAATCGATTGATCGAAGATAATATATTAATCGAAAATAATCGATTAATCGAATAAATAAAAAAAACGGTAATCGGAAATATTCGATTAATCGAAAGCAATCGATTTTTGATATTTAAAATAACTTCAATTATTTTTCCCACCCCTGGTTATTCATCAGCCATGTCTGTTTTTATTTTCGAGTTCGAGATTTGAGTTATTTTGGGTGTTTACTTAAAAATGGCAAAAATTAATATTTATTACTTACCTTTTTAGTCTTAAATACTCTACAAGTTAATATAGATCCTTTAGAATCTTCAAATCAATCAACAACAGTTCGAAAACTAACATTAAAAAATCAGGTTAACAAGCTTTGTTATTTTTGGCAATCGTTGAATTGCGTATTAATCGTCATTTTATAATTCATGGTTGCATACTTTCATTGTCTTGTTTTTGGTATTATTCCAGATTCTTTCAGTGGCTAAAGATTTGGCATCAATAAAACACAACTATCTCGCTATTTCTTAAGAGTCAATGACCTGTTGTTACATTGTGCCTCATTTCACACTCCCATTTCACCTCTACTCAGATCTTTACAAGAAGCAAAAAATTGTAATATCAAAATATACCTGTACGTCTTACTTATTAAATCTCTCTCATAAATATAATGACCGGTCAAAGTTATGTCGTTAATAAATATTAAAAATAACGCAGTCCTAAGACGGAATCCTGAGGATTGCCACCATTAATTCAACCTTTTTCTAGTTTCTGTCAATATGACTAAGCTGTTTTCTGCCTGTAGTCGCCTTAAAAAAATTAATTATTGTTATTTTGTATGTTGAAAATTTTTATTAATATAATTACTATTAGTTACAGATATTTATCTAACTCATTAATATTTAAGAATCTATTTCGTTAGTTCTCTCTCTAGTCACTCACATCAAATACATTTACTTAACATGGTTGTTTTTTATTTGTTAATTATTATTACCGTTTTTCTATAATTAGTAATTAAATTGATTGACAGACAATGAGATTTTTAAAGTTGTCATTTGTCATTTGTTTTTGTGAACGCTACTTGTTAGAATCTTGCCAATTAGAGATTATGATTATTTTGAAGCATAAAAAGAGACTTGACAGTGGTTTACGGAGAGATAACTTCTTTTTAGAACGTGTAAAGAACATTATTTCATCTAATGAAAAACTTATGGTGTAAACGATAAAAACCTCCAATTAAGCGATTTTTTAACTTGTTCGGGGCAAGTAGTTGAAATCAAAATACCTACATTACCTGTATATTATTTCTTAATTAGTACTAAAAGTATGCTGTCTAATTCAATTTTTGATTTGGTTAAAGTTTTTTTGAGTCTGACTTGATCTCTATTTTAATTATTATACTCTAAAGTTATACTAGGTGTCTGAGATCCAGCAACCATATAGGTTATTTGAAACCAACTAGTTACAGTTGTTAGCATACTTTAACATCGATTTAACTATGAAATAACCTGAACAAATTTTCAAAATTATGTATGTTGTATTACGGTGTATGTTGCTTGAAAGGAAAATTAAATTTCAAACTATTGTTTCGAGATAACTTTATAAAAAGAAAAAGTTAAAAAAATGCTTATATGGAGAATTTTTTTCGTTCGTTAACATATGTTACATTCCAACGTACGTAGATTTAATTTAAAGTCTCGAATTTTATATTTTTCCAACTTGTGCCTTTTAACCAATAATTTTACTTGTACACTGTTCTTATTCGTCAAGTCATGTATTAAATGTGTTTACTATAATGTTTATGTCTAAATAGATTTATGTGCTAAATCGAGTCTTATTTCAACAAGTGGCGCAGCCACAGGGGGGTGGGGGATGAGAACCCCCCATGGAAGGTCCTCTCGTTACCATTTTTGCTATAATATTGGCGCTAATCACTATTGACTGTTTGTTTTTATTCACCTTCTTGATGGAAACCCCTCCCATGAAACATTATTGGCTACGCCACTGATTTCAACTGAACATTATTACTACGCCTATTTATGGATTATTTCACCGAACATGGCGTATTTATAATCACCAACTATAAAGTGTAAAGATAAAGAGAAATATCTCTGTATACAAAAAGTGTCCCTCAAAATGTATAAAATTAAGATGGCGCTTCTGTACCAGAAGTACGCCGGATATTCGATAATTCAGATCACATAATCACACCTGTGGTAACATGCATAAATAATCGTGAATGGCAGGAAAAAATGGGCAATCCAAACTGAATGGCTACCAGTCACATACTTTGATTACTATACGGTGCAAGAGAGAGGTCCGACACGCCCAACATAGGGCGTGGCCATTTTGATTCCTATGCCACAGTTTATAGCTAAAGAATCAGATCACTCACTCTGTGTCGGCACTTTTGATCTCAATGTTCCAGTTTATACACTGCGCAACTCGGATAATACAATATATGACAACCGCCTATAATAAAACAGCAGTCTTCTGCGTATCCTGAATTTGTATCCCTGAAGTGGATGTTATTTTGGAACTTTCAACTGGTCCAAGTGAGCTAACTGATTCTTTAGCAATAAACTGTGACTCCAAAAATAATATTCACTGACACTGATAGCAGCCAGCAAAATATCAGGTGCGTTTTAATCATCCGCTTCTGCTTCCGGAATTGTCGGTTTAGTCGTTTTAACCTGTCAGATTAAAACAAGAAAACCGACAATTTCGAAGCAGAAGCGGATGATTAAAACGCACCTATTAAAAATATTGCGCCAAGATGTAGGCAACACGTAATAAGGGATCAAAATGGCGGAGTTTTCTATCTCCTTTTAAAAGGCACTCAGAAAGCTGCGCAGTGCGACCATTCTCCGTATAGTAAAAGAAAATCAAAGTATGTGCGGTATCCACATACTTTTTGATTTGTGACGGTATCGCTCATGTTAAGGTGACACCATATCGCCCGAAATCAAGTGGGCTTGCCAATCTTACCGTTTGTTCGCACATTCAAGTGGGCTTGCCAATCTTACCGTTTGTTCGCACATTCAAGGAGAGGATGCGGGCCAACGATCAAACTTTAATCACAACGAACTACACAAAATGACATTATTAATAATAAAAAAAGTACAATGATGACATTAAAAGTTGACTTTCTCGAAATTACTTTTTTTTAAATTGTCCCAGTACCTACCTACTATTTTTCTAGCACAATGATATTATATGAATGTACATTGTGTGATATCTTATATATTAGAAATTAAATAATATATTTTTTTGCAGATTTCTGTTAACAACGATTCCAAGAACTTTTGAAAATATTATTAAAATGGCCTTCACAAATATAATTCTCAATTAAGAGCGTTTGATCTAACATTAAATTTTTATTCTCCAAAAGGTTACAGCTACGTAATAAGAAAGTGTAACAAGACTTACCTCTTAGCAGACCCAAAATATCAAAATGTTATCAACCAATTGATGGTTCTCCTGGTTTCCATAGTGAAATTCTCCTCAAAACTACTAAAAGAAAAGTGACAGAGGCAACCGAAGAAGGCAAAAAAGTCTTTTGCCAAACAAAAACAAGAAATTTGTTTAAGAATCTAATTATTGTTTTAAGATTTACCATTAATAATGTTTCATTACGTTTTAAGTTTATGAAGTTCTATATGTATTTTCCTATTTTCCTCTTTGATAACCTATGTGTAAATATTTATTAGGACCAAAAATAAATTATAATTTTCATTTTAACTACAAAAACCCTCATAATATTAAAAATCTGATGTGTCCAACACATGACTTTCCTATCTAGTTATTACAGGCTTTTTCCGGTTATTTTGTACAACCTATTGCAGCATCTCTATAAATGTTTAGAGGATAAACTAAATATATACATTGTCCACATTCATCTACCGCGAAACATTTTTCTATAGATATTCATTGAAAATGAAAATAATGAAAAATTTAAATTTAGCACTTTTCCTACAATTTTTCCATTACGGTCCATTTTAAAAAAATCATGTATGAACAAATATTATAGAGATCGATATCGCAAACAACTTTTATTTCAACAATTTTCATAAAAATCAGAATTTTGCACATTTTGTCAAATTTTTCGAATACGGACCATTTCAGGAAATTTTTACATAAAACAAAAATTATAGATAATAATATTAGAAGTAACTTTTATTTGAACAGTTTTTTTCTCCAAACATAAATAACAGATATATTCCACAAAATATAAAAACGGCCTCCCATAAAGTACCCCCCCAGATGTTCCGACTTTGTCCAAAATCTAATCATTTCACGTCAGGCCGAAATAAACCTTAAGTTTAAAATTTAATGTTTTTTCCTTTATCCGTTTTTGAGTTTTCTTCAAATTTCGAAATTTACACATTTTCTCAAATATCTCGAATACGGTCCATTTTAGAGAAATTATGTATAGGACAAAAATTATAGAGAATTATATTACAAACAACTTTTATTTGAACAATTTTTAAAAAAATATATTTTTTTTACATTTTGTCAAATTTCTCGAATACGGACCATTTTAAGAAAATTTTGCATGAAACAAAAATTATAGATAATTATATTAGAAGTAACTTTTATTTGAAGAATTTTCTTCTCCAAACGTAAATAACAGATATATTCCATAAAATATAAAAATGACCACCTATAAAGTACCCCCCCAGATGTTCCGACTCTGCCCAAAATCTAATCAGCTCATTGGACGCTGAAACAAAGCTTAAGTTTAAAATTTGGTGTTTTTCTGTGTATCGGTTCATGAGTTATGCGTTATACAGACACACACACACACACACACAGACACACAGACACACACACACACACACACACACACACACACACACACACACACACACACACACACACACACACACACACACACACACACACACACACACACACACACACACACACACACACACACACACACACACACACACACACACACACACACACACACACACACACACACACACACACACACACACACACACACACACACACACACACACACACACACACACACACACACACACACACACACACACACACACACACACACACACACACACACACACACACACACACACACACACACACACACACACACACACACACACACACACACACACACACACACACACACACACACACACACACACACACACACACACACACACACACACACACACACACACACACACACACACACACACACACACACACACACACACACACACACACACACACACACACACACACACACACACACACACACACACACACACACACACACACACACACACACACACACACACACACACACACACACACACACACACACACACACACACACACACACACACACACACACACACACACACACACACACACACACACACACACACACACACACACACACACACACACACACACACACACACACACACACACACACACACACACACACACACACACACACACACACACACACACACACACACACACACACACACACACACACACACACACACACACACACACACACACACACACACACACACACACACACACACACACACACACACACACACACACACACACACACACACACACACACACACACACACACACACACACACACACACACACACACACACACACACACACACACACACACACACACACACACACACACACACACACACACACACACACACACACACACACACACACACACACACACACACACACACACACACACACACACACACACACACACACACACACACACACACACACACACACACACACACACACACACACACACACACACACACACACACACACACACACACACACAGACATCATCGCGAAAATAGTCAAAACGGATTCAGGGGACCTCAAAACGTAAAAATCCGTCGAAAACTCGAGGTCGAAAAAAATCATGATTCCTATACTTTCCTTATATCTGTATACAGATAGGAAAGTAAAAAGGGGGAAAACGTCAGATTAGTTATGTTCAGGGATCATCAACTCTTTATACATTTATCTACTTAGTATGTGTTACTTTTAAAAGGAATGTTATTAACTTTCTATTTGTACATGTATTAATTTATTTTATTTTATCTCTGTTTGTTGTATTTTCAAATTGATTTTGATGTTAATCTTATTTATTTCTATTTTTTATATTCACATATATGTTTGTTCATTGAAACAAACGTTTATTAGCTTATTAAATATAATGATTTCACGTTGTTTTATTATATGCTTGCATGAGTGATTACTTTTATTTGCTTTGAAAATGAACTTCGAAGATAAAGCCGAAACGGTGAGTGAGAATAAAAAAGTAGACGAAAATGACTGAAGCTTTTATCTACACTCTCGTTTTTCTAGCCTATCTACACCTGAGACATCCTCACATTCTTACATTCTCAAGATTTACAGAGAAAAAGCCGTCCTCTTTCACATATCCGGACCTTCTTTGACGGGTCCTATACCACTACTTTACATTATCAGCCTTATTTGTTATTAGCAGCAATTTAAAGACATTCTCACCTCTTCTCTTGTAGATTCCGTACCCATTTTTCTGATTTTTAGTTAAGTTTGCACTGCTCTTTAATTTTTCCCTTTTCACAGCGTTAATTCTACAATACTGTAATGCTACAATACGGATAAATTTTTGTGATTTATACTATTTAATTTTAATCGTAAGTGACCAACCTATTCTTACATTGTTCCCATTATAATAATTAAAGATTATTGTATTACAGGCCTGAAGATGTCCCTGTGAGGCCGAAACTAGTCGCTTCTGTATTTATTTATAATAAAATTGATGTATTGATTTTGAGATTTTATTCTTTAATCGAAAAATTTAGACCTTTACAGTGATTTTGTTTTATTTCCCGCATCAGACACATATAAGACGGTATACATCTTAAAAATAATAAAATTAGCGAATTTTTTAGTTTTTTTTTTTTAATTAAAAAGTTTGGACAATTTTTGTCCTTACAGAGAAATGCTACGCCACTGAACAAGAGGGGGTTGTTTACCTTCCCCCTTGTGCCCGCTTCCTGACTTCCACTACACTAAAATCGCATATAAACTCGTTTCACGCTCCCTCTAGTAGTAATTGCTCGGAGATATCAAGCACCGTGCATGGATAGTCGATTTGAAATTGTCAGTGAAAATAGTCGATTTATTTGGTTCTGATTGGTTCTAAGGATAACGTAAATTGCGATGTGATTGGTTAAAATGTCAAAATTGACAGGCAAGGGAAATAATCGCTGAGATTATTCTGTCATGTCTGATATTTAAGTGTCATTGTATATTTTTTAATCGTTTTTATTCAATATGTTTTGGAAATAACCAAAATAAATGGTGAAACACGTAAGTACCATCAAGAAGAACAGGTTCAATGTAAAACTATGTTAAGGATCTATGAAAAATTGTATGCTATTGTTATTGAATGGCAGAGAAACGTTGTGGATTAGTTATTGATTTAACATATTTTATTTCAACCTAAAAAATAAAAAGATTAAATTCTTTATATAAAGAAATTATTATTAAGAGTGATATATGGTACAAAAATATGAAAGGTGAAATATCATTATAATTATATTATCAACAAATTTTAAGTAAACCATGTTGAACACAAAAATATCGAGAATATTTAAAAAACTGTAATTCGGAAAACATTTTTGGATTTTTTAATTTATTTTTTTTTTTCGGTGGTCCATCAGCTCGATCTTTAATCAAATTAATCAGTTATTAAATGCAATTTATTGGAATTGTAGTACCTATCGCAACTATAGTTTTTGTAGATAACATATTCTATTTTAATTCCAGCCATTCTATTCTTCTAAATAAGATCTTAGAAGCCATTTAGATTAAGTACAAAATTATAAAATGTTTATAAGAATCAGAAAAAATTTTCTGCGTCAATCGACCCCTAGTTTTAGCAGTTCTGCTGTATTGGAACATTTTTCTTCGTCTGAGTGTACGTGTGATAAAAAAGAAAAGAAGAAGGTGGAACGAAAACCGATTAAAAGGGTGTTAGTGGCGAATCGAGGAGAAGTAGCCATTAGAGTGTTTAGAGCTTGCAGCGAATTGGGTATCCATTCAGTTGCTATTTATTCTAACGCAGATAGAGATAATCTCCATAGGTTAAAAGCTCATAAAAGTTTTTTGGTAAGTTTGTTGTCTTCCAATAATATTTATTTTTGTATAGAATTATCTTTCAGATCGGACATGGACTACCGCCTGTCCAAGCTTATCTCAATATACCGGAAATTATAAAAATCTGTAAAGATAATGAGTGCGACGCAGTCCATCCAGGATATGGATTTCTGTCTGAGAGATCGGATTTTGCTAAAGCTGTCATCGACGCTGGTATTAGATTTATTGGACCGACTCCGGAAGTGGTGTACAAGATGGGCGACAAAGTGGCTGCTAAAAAGGCCGCTATCGAAGCAGGTAAACATTTTAGCAATTCAAAAATAAATTTTTCTATATCACTTGAATATTATCTGTTTTACTTACAGCTAGGGATGTTGCGATACCTACCAGTAAAGTATCGATAACGGTATCGAAAAGAGTATCGGAACCAAAGTATCGATACCGATATCGGGAAGAGTATAGACGTAGACAAAAAAAAAGGCCATAGGGTACACCGTGATACTACAATATACTTTTTGTATGATTGTAATGTCAAAACTAGTAAAATATTGAAACGAAAGTAGTAGAATCGAAACAAAAGTAGTATCGATATGGGTAAAGTATCGAAAGCAAAGTATCGAGTACTAAATTACCCGGTATCGAAATAAAAGTATTGATACCAGTATCATATCAGTAGTATCGCAACATCCCTACTTACAGCCCACAGAATGAAAAAGTAGGTCATTGCGTTGAACTGAAAATAGTGAAAATATATTTAATATCAATTCTACCTAGTAAGAACGCACGGTTATGACATTCACGTACCACTCCAATCACAGTTCATAATTTGGCTAATTACTTTTAAAAATTTTAAATAAGACAATTCTTTCAAACTAATTGCTACTAGGTATGATTTTTTAGATAATATTGAGATTAAATATAATTAAAAAGTAATTTTAAAATCGTGCAGATGCCCTAAAAAAATGAGATTTTTGATTTTCATAGATCATCAGATCCTGACAAATTGTATACGTATCTATCCCTGAGGTATCCTCTTTCGACAAAAAAGAAAGAATCATTGAAATCGGACAACGTGGTAAAGAATTATTGCTGAAAATACTTATATACTTAAGGCATTGATGATTTTCTGATGGATCCTATTAATAGATATTGACCAAATTTATATGGGACTACCCCTGAATCATAGAAATTGGACAACTTAGTAAATAATTATCGCTGAACATACAAAAAAAAATATTCCGACGAATTGAGTCCTCCTTTTTTGAAGTCGGTTAAACATGAGTGATTATTGTGAAGAATCGATAAATAATGACATTCCACAAGATATTTACAAACAAATCGTAAATTAAAAATATCCAAAAATCATTTTAATTATGAGTATTAAAACCTAAAAGGTAGGTGTCTTTATGGAACTGAGGTAGAGTACTTAGTTCCCATGCTAATGGTTCGTGATTCAAATCTAGAATTGAAGACTCATTAAATATAATCCCCATATAAACACCTGTGGGAATTGCTTGAGAAAAAAAACTTGGACGACATAGTACTTTAGGAAACAAAGTTGACTGAAACCTTCAACTTAAAGTGGCCAGGATACAACGCCTATAGGAACGATCACACATTTATTTCAGAAGAAAACGCCATCCTAATTACAAATGTGATAGACCATCAACATTCCTATCCAAGATGGCCTGAGGTACATGGAGAAGGCTACCGCGGTAATCATTAGAATCTATCATGTAGATCGAAGGGTATCGTTGGCCTACGTTAGGCCTCAGTCTATCCTGAATCAAGAAGACTCATTAGCACAGAAGTAATCCTATTGGAGACTTAAACGGACTGAAAACGCATAAAGCACAATCCTAAAGGATGCGTGTTAGTGCTCTAAATCCCACTCACTATCCTGGAAGAGCAATACCAGATGTCATAGACATTACCATCACTATAAATTGCACATTTCCACTAGAAATGTACATGAATGTACATGAATAAGCTTTTTCATACAACCCTACTCTACTATATTTAGCTTTAGGAGGAACAAAAAATACGCCGAAAGTAGTGGCTAATATAAATTTGATACAATTTAAAAGGATAGTAAGGAAACCCGAAGACGTGTATCAGGTTCATGGAAATCTAGAGCGAATCATTCAGTAGGTACTGTCAACCAGTACGATTACAGTGAAGATAGCGAAACCAAGCAAATTTAAGTGAAAAATTAAAAGACCTAATCAACAACAACAGAGGAGCAAGGAAAATAGCAAATGGAACGAGAGGTCAGCGAAGAACTCAAACAATACACTGACAGAAACTAGGAAGATTATCTCGATGAAATCGACCTCCCAGAAACCAGGATCAGGGAAACTACAAAAATCTTGAAAAATAAAAGAAAAGCCATCCCAATCTTTCCTGTAGCAAATAGGTTGATTGGCACAACTAAAGATAAAGCTGGAGCATTCAACATTTTGTTGGAGAATGTCAAAATAACGAACATGAAGATATGGAATTTACCGAAGAAGTGAAAGATTATAAAAACGAATCTGAAAAAGGACATCCTGCGCCCACATCTCTTGACTAGGGGAGATACATAATCAAATACGTGTCAGCGAAAAAAGCCTCTGGAAGAGACAATAATTTCGAATCGAGCGATGAAATACTTACCGCTGAAGGTCACAGTCATCATAAATGGGATTTTAAGAACTTATTTCTTCCAGAAACTGTGAAAGCACGCCGAGTTAATTATAATAACAAAAAAGTAAGAACCCCACTTTTTCGCAAATTTTCAAACCTATGAGTAAAATTGCGGAAAGAGTCATATTAATACGTCGGAAAGAAGATACCAGAGAACTCAACATTATACCAGACGAGCAATTCTGATTTCCTCGAATTGCAAGTCCTGAGCCTAATCGAAGAGAATTTAACAGGAGCTATATTCTTTGAATGTCACGAAGGCATTCGACAGAGTATGGCACGCTGGGTTGATATTCAAGATGAAGTACCAAGGATACATAGCTGGAATGACAAGACTTCTCAGGTCGTATCTTAGTGGACGGCAATTCCAGATCAAGCTGGGACACGTCGTAACTATGACTATGACCATATAAACGGCGGACATACACAAGACTGAATATATTACCATGTCCGTCTACGCAGACAACACAGTGATATCAGCAACAAGCACACAGCCAGAAATGATATCAAGGTATATCCAAGAAGCAACAACAGAAATCGAAGAATAGTGCATCAAGTAGAAAATTAAGATCGATACCGAAAAAAAAAGTCAAGCTGTGCTGTTCAAGAAGAAAATGCACCAACCAGGCAAAGAAATCAAAATGAATGGACAAAACATCACGTAAACTAACACCTTGGAATAAAGATGGACCATAAATTAACATTCCCCAGTTACGTGGACATTGTAGTAAGCAAGACAACATAAGCTAGATCAAGAAAGAACAGCTTGATAGGGAGAAAAACAAGACCAAGCAAAGGATCATCCAATACTGCAAGATAAATAGGAAGAAGATACAGAGCCAACAGAACATGTTAGCTGTAAACGTCTATAGACAGTGTTGGACGGGAGCTCCATAGCCTACCGGGTTTAGGAGGTAGAAGGGCCCTCCTATTAATTTTTTTTTTCATGGACCGATTCATTAAGGAGCAAAAAAAATCTTCTTTGCACACTGATGCTTTTTCCGAGGTTGCCATGTATTACGGGGTTTCTTCGCATTAGATTTTTTGTTTTTCTCATGGGCTTACTGCCTGAACTAGGGCCCACTGACTGAACGAAGACTCACTGCTTGAATGAGCGGCTACCGGTCTTTGGACCGGTAGACCGACAATCCAATCCGACGTTATATTTAGGGATCTGAAATCCTTCAGGGTTCTAGATCTAATAAACCTTCGAAAATTTAAGACTACATCCCAAACTATAGCTAAGGAATCTCGCAGAGCACGAAAAAGATGACCGTGGAAGACACGCCAGACCACGCAAAATGCTGGAGTATGGTGAATAATGACGAAAATTTGAAGGTGCAAATATACAATTTTTCGCAAGCTTTTCTATTTTCTCTTAGCATTCTCTTGTAGAATACTGACAAACGCGAAACAGACAAGGACTGTCTAACGATAGTATGTCATCCTTCAAAAGCCCCTTTGGAAGGAATAGCTGGTTTAGATGGGACCCTTCTCGAATTTGCCTAGGTTGCCAAACAATAACCAGAGAAATCATAATTTTGACTAAGCGCTAATTCACCGTATGAAAGCTTGTGTGTAGACTGGTGGGGCGCACAGTTTGAACATTTGTTAAATTAATGATTTGTTTTTAATGTATTAGTTGTATTTGTCTTTTACCTATCCGGTTTTAATATATGAATTAAACCTTGTTTTTAAAATGTATGCTTCTAAAAAAAAAAAACAAAGTTGACCTTGATGGTCACGAGCAAGAGAAACTCAAAGAATGACATTTTGTAGTTAATTTTACTTGATATTTTTTCTGCTAAATATACAAACTAAATAATTAGAGCCTGTAAACTAAAAGCTGTATATTTATTTCGTATATTGTGAAATGTGAAAAAACTTTTGCTGCTTTCGACACATTGGCTTCGCTCCAAGTATCACTTTCCGCTCTTAATACACAAAGAGCTATTATTATTATTAGGCGATAATTTCGAAAATATGTTTTAGGTGTGCCAGTCATTCCAGGCACTGACGGACCGATCAATAATAAGGAGGATGCCAAGAAATTTTGCGAGAAGCACGGTTTGCCTGTGATGCTCAAGGCCGCCCACGGTGGAGGCGGTAGAGGCTTGAGAGTGGTGAGAAAAATGAAAGACGTCGAACCGAGCTTTCAAACAGCTTCTTCCGAAGCCACTGCCTCTTTCGGAAGCGGCGATATGTTTATCGAGAGATATGTCGAAACGCCGAGACATATCGAAATTCAAATATTAGGCAAGCTTTTTTTTATTTGAAAATTATCGTCGTTCCGACCTTTTCTTTTAGGTGGTCTGTTTTACGTACACAGGGTGTTAATCGACATATTAAAAGTGGTAATAGTTCACAGTCGAATAAAATTCCTAATTTTTTAGTTTTTGTTTAAAACCGGTATAGATTCATTTTTATTTTTTATAATAATATCTTTTAAACTTATTTACAAAAAATGTCACTTTATATGTCAAAATTAGAAAAATTATTATGTTTTAGAAAGGGCAGTATTGAATTTAGTGAGATCTTAAGCATTTTGGATGTTTAGTAAACTCAAAAAAGCATCTACCAAGTAGTAATGTTTTTTGCCTCAAAAAGAAACTTTAATGAACCCAGAATTGTTTTTACTGCCTTGATTAGAGAACCTATTAGTTTTGAGGCTTGTATATACAATGTGTTTAATTAATAATTTTTATTAATAATGGGCCATAGAGTAACCACAGAATGTTTGGTTCAGTAAAGTGTTGTAGAAAAAGTTTAATTTTTTTTAATTGCATTTTATTTAAAAATGCCCAAATACAAAAAAAGATTTCAACTTTGACAATCTGCTTTTTTTCACAACATTTTACCAAAACATATTTTAGTCCAAATAGTCTGTGGTTACTCTATATGGGCCACTATTAATGTATACCGTTATGCTAAATTTAGGGTTTTAACAAAAATAGTTATTTGCAAAAATAGGCTATATGTATTTAAAATGATTTTTAGTACATTAAGAAACAAAAAAAACTAGATTATACAATCAATTGGCTTTGTCACGAAATAGCGCTAAACGAAAAATAGCGCTATTGTTTGTGCGCCTGATCAAAATAGCGCTCAACGAATTAGCGCCCGATCAAAATAGCACGTACCAAAAGCGCATCAGTCAAAACAGCGTCCATACCAAAAAGCGCCTTAATAAAATAGTGCCATTTGAAATAGTGAGTATTGAAACAGCATCAGTCCGAAATGGCTCTGTCACGAAATACTGCCGAACGAAATAGCGCGTTTTAAAAGAGCATTAATGATTTTGCATACATTTATTAAAAATTTTTTTAACTAATTTACCCAACCTTAGCGGCCTCGAACTCACGAACATGTTATGTAAGGTTAAGTAAATTAATTTCGTTCGTGAGCTGTTTTGGCCTCTTTTGATACGCTCTGTTTAGTTCAGGCGTTCTTTTGATTAAAATTGTTGCATATGCAGTTAAGCAGTAAATGGTTTTTAGGCACTCCTAACTACACTGAAAGATAATTTATTGGATAGTCTAACTAAAATATCTAGATTTAAATTGCTGACCGTGACTCAAGTATGAATTGGTCTATTACCTTAGTGACCCATATTTTTTAAATGGCCCATACTAACTTTAGTGGCGTATGCACGATTTAAGAATTTAGTTACACTTCCAATTAACGGTATTTTTTCAAAATAATATTTTTGCACATTCTAGTAGGTAGAGTCTATACATTTATTATCTATGTTTATTTAAATAACACCTGTATTTTGAAGAACGATATTTTTTGAATCCCCTTAGAATATATCTGATCATAGCATAATATCCCTTTACTAACAAGGAACCCCACCCCGTTAGTGAACCTACCTACTTTTTGACCTTGGTTGATTCCCCTATTCCTCTTAGGAACACCGTAAATCTATTTTATTCTGAACCCATAGCAGTACGTAGTCCTCTAAATGTCTAGAATCCTAAAGAATCATCCCCTTTTTTGATCTTCTTGCTGCACGGGGACAGCATTTTTAAAGGTATTTCTGTTGATCTAGAAGTCTATTCGTATTGATTATTAAAAACATACTTATTTTTAATCTTATGTCTGAATACGCCTCTGTGCAAGCGTGTACCTACTAAAACAAAACATTATAAAAAAATCTTTGACTATACGGCGTTAATGTGTGCGAGCAAGCGTAAATTTCACGTAAATTCCATGATGCAATGACATTCTTAAAGCCAGGTGGACAGCTAGAATTTCTGTGGATAAAACAATCGCCATTTTGTGAGGGAAGTTATGTCGTCAGACAATCGAATTTGTAAATTTCATATTTTTCTTTTTATTCTTTTTTCAGCTGTCGAGCAAAACACAATGCCATGAGTATTTATGTTCACATATTTTTCGAGATAAGAAATACGCTTAACCAGCCTGTTATAAACACTATGTACAACTAATCGCAAATAAAGCGAGAGAGAAATACTAGCTTAGTGGTTTCGTATGGTTTAAAGATGGCTCTAAAACTAACAAGGAAACAGGCTCTGTCGTACATGGAGTTAAACCCAAATGCGACATCATTGTTGCTCTGGAAAAACATATCACTATATTTCAGGCTGAGAGAATTTAAGAATAAAGTACCAAAAACAAACCATCTTAATTCTCTCAGATAGCCAAGCAGCCTTATAGACCCTTGATTTAAACATAATCAAGTCAAAGCTGGTCTGGAACTACCTTGTAATATTAAATTATCTGGCAACCCACAATAAGATAAAACTAGCACAGGTGCCAGGGCTGCCAGGACACAAAGGTTTCCAAAGAAATGAGAAAGCTAATAAACTCGCCAAAGAGGGGTCAGAACTACCATTCACAGGACCTGAACCTGTATTTGGGATAAGCTAAACCTCTGCTCGGTAGACAGTGAACAGGTAGATAACCACAAAACACCAAATTCACTGGAAACAGATAAGAGAGCATAGAATAAGTAATTTCATGCCAAGGGAACCAAACCCACGTATTGCTATTGAGGTAGTACAACTCGCAAGGCCTTAGATATCCACCATTGAGGGATTACTAACGGGGCACTGCTTGCCAAAACACCTTCATGTGATGGAATTACACAATGATCCCACTATAAGTGTATACTCTGCATGGAAGAGTAGCAAACCTCATTTCGTGTGATCTTCGAATGCGAAGCTCTTTCTAGGCGGCATCTCACCATTTTTAATCTAAAACCCAAAATAATTCCCCAGGAGCACTTGGTAGGAAACCTATTAGAACTAACCCAAGGCACAGGACTATTCCAAACATAGTACTTCAATACGGAGAAAGCAGGGAAATATAATGGACTCAAGAGGCCGCAGTGTTATGAGCCAAAACTAACTCTACCTGCTTATAACCGACAAAGGAAAAGATAAAGACTACTCGCACGGTTAAATAAATAATTTTGTAAAAATTTCAAATTCTTATATTAAGAGATATATTACCTTCTATAAGTAATCAACATAGGACTTCTAGAATTACCCATCCAAAGATATATGAATTATTCAGAACCAGCAAGCGAAGTAAGTCATCTAGTTTCAAAGATTTTTAATACTTTGTAGGCGATAAAGCTGGAAACGTGATCCACCTATACGAACGCGATTGTTCGGTTCAACGACGGCATCAGAAGGTCGTAGAATTAGCGCCGGCGCCCCACCTGGATCCGAAAATCAGAGACAAAATGACCGAGATGGCTGTGAAACTGGCCAAGCACGTGGGCTACGAAAGTGCCGGTACGGTGGAATTTCTGTGTGAGCCCAATGGTAACTTTTACTTCCTGGAAGTGAACGCCAGATTACAAGTGGAGCATACCGTCACCGAAGAAATCACAGGCGTGGATTTGGTCAATAGTCAAATAAGAATAGCGGAAGGAATTACGCTGCCCGAAATGAACTTGGTACAGAAAAACATTAAAGCCTATGTGAGTGTTTTTCAATAAATTTATGTGTAAACAGTTTTTATTTTCTTTCCTCTATATTATCAGAGTTCTTGAACAATAAATGTTTGACATACACAGGGTTACGCCATCCAATGTCGCATAACCACCGAAGATCCTTCGAAGAATTTTCAGCCCGATACAGGACGAATAGAATTGTACCGCTCATCAGGAGGAATAGGCATCCGTCTTGACGCCGGGTCCGGTTACGCAGGCGCCATCATCTCCCCTCACTACGATTCTCTATTAGTCAAAGTTATATCCCATTCCAAAGACTTTCAGACGTCTTGCAGAAAAATGACTAGAGCGTTAAAGGAGTTTCTCATAAGAGGCGTCAAAACGAACATTCCATTTTTGTTGAACGTTTTGAGCAACAAACAATTTCTGAATGAGGCCGTCAACACCAGTTTTATCAGCAAAAATCCGCAACTGATGAAATTCAGGGCGCCCAAAGGAAGGGCGAGGAAGTTGTTTACCTATTTGTCGAAAGTATTAATAAACGGACCCTTAATGCCTCTTGGGACCGATTTAAAGCCGGCTGAGATTAATCCGTTTGTTCCTCCTGTACCTACAGGTGAGCATTTCAACGTTACTTTGACATACCCACGATAAAATCATGAGTGATGTTTGATAATGATACTAAGAAAAATTATATTTTACTTATATGCTGTTAAAAATTTTAGACTGTGATCCGCCAAAAGGATTCCGCCAAATATACAAAGAAGAAGGTCCGGAAGCATTCGCCAAAGCCGTTCGCATGCACGATGGTTTGCTACTTATGGACACAACATTTAGGGACGCTCACCAATCCTTATTGGCGACCAGAGTACGTACGCGTGATCTTTTAAAGATTTCTCCGTTCGTCGCTCACAACTTTAGCCGGTTATACTCCATGGAGAATTGGGGAGGCGCCACCTTCGATGTATCTTTAAGATTTCTGCGCGAATGCCCTTGGGAAAGATTGGAACAAATGCGAGAATTAATTCCCAACATCCCTTTTCAAATGCTACTAAGAGGAGCCAACGCCGTTGGATACACCAACTATCCTGATAATGTTGTCTACAAGTTTTGCGATTTAGCTGTAAGTTCTTTTTCCTTTTTTTGTTTGTTATTTATTTAGAATAAGAAAAGGGGAGATATATAGTTCTGGAATAAAACTAACAATAATTTGAACCTTATTAATATAAACATTTTTGGTAATTTTTATATAAAGCATTCTTTTGGCAAACATTGTAAATGAAACTGATCTTTCGTTTACCAGTGTTTTCTAAGTGGTGGTTCGCGAAAAAAATATATTGACGATGTCAATTTTCGTAATGAATACAAGGTAATAAAATCTTCAATGTTCTGGATCCGACTTGATGACATCCGCAAAAGAAAAAAAAACTGATTTATCCACTCTATTGCAAGAAGAAATACCAATGTAATACTAACCAAGTTATATACATATAAACAAAAAAAGTATAAATAATGCCTAATACAATGACAAAAAATTATAATTAATAAAAATAATACAATAATTGTATTAAAAATATAATACAAAATAACTTATTAAACTAAAAGAACTGAAGAATGCGCATACAATGGCCGAAATCTCTACAACTTCACTAATAAAAAAAAATTGTTTTACTTTAATTCCAAACATCTACAATCCAAGAAAACAAAAACCAAAAAATTCAATAGAAAGCTATAATAATTATAAAAACATATGTTTTCTTATGTTTTATGGTATAATCAAGAAGTATGTTATAAAATTTTACTTCTCATATCAATATTTAAAAAATAATGAATGTATTAAATCTGAGAAAATTAAATTAATTACGATTCAATCCCGATGCTTAAAATTACCAAAATGAGCTGCTTGATGTATATCGCCAATGCGGTTTTTAAAACATAAGCCGGCCCTGTCACATATCAAATATATAACAAAGTAATAAATATTTATGGATCACGCATGAATTCTCAACAACGTCACGGGGCGAGATTAGCATATGACTAATAGCGTTTAAGCATAACCGAAGCCAAGCCGGCAAACTAGGCTATAAATAGAAGCGGAACAAGAAATAAGTAGAAATTTAAGTGTCCCAACTCTTACCTTTAAACAAAAACCTTGTTATACTTTACAGATGCTTTAGATTCTAACTACAAACACAGTTAATCTTTCCCATTATTCGACAATTTCGCATTACTCATGCGCGAAAAAGTGTTGGAATTTTAAGTCTAGGAATTTTCTAAATAAGTTTTGCTATCTCTCTCTTATCTTCGCTTTACAACTGTTGGGTTGGCTACAACGATTACCTCCTGTCATCGTTACTCTAAACAACTGCCATCGATTCTATATAGTAAGGAACCACTAACACTTTTTTGGTACACATTTGCCGAAAAATATAGTTGAATGCCGAAATAACAGATAGTAATTTAATACGGACAGAGGTGCCATATAGGTATGCAATTGCAATATATGCCGACCACTAAAAAACACCTCTTGTCTCGTAACCTCAAAAAATTTCTCCAAACTTTAGCACAATGACATTCTTCACATATTAAATTACTATTATTTCGGTGTTCAACTATAAATTATAAATGTATCGTTAATTCTTACCCTGTAAAAGATGGAAATACTTTGTTACAGTCGATCTAGTGGTGAAATGCCCTGCCAGCAAGGAAGAAGGTACCTACTGTGAGCAGAATTTCAAGAAACTTTTTTCTACTAACTTTTGATGTAAATAATATCTGAAAGTTTCAAGTTTGCGCTTATATTTCTACACATGCTTTTTTAAAACGTCATTATCGAGGGCTCCAATGCTGCGTAGCAAACTATTTCCATGTTCAACAAGGTAAGAATGAACGATATATTTGTAATAAAATTTTACCTTTCACTGGCTTCCCTACCATTACTATCAAATTTAAAAAAAAAATGACGTTTGCGGATGTCTCAGAGTAGGAAACAACAATACCTAAATTTTGATGATTTTAAACGGAAGTAAAATTTGCGCACAAGTAATAACGACGGAAATGTTTTTATTGTTTTGAAATTAGCGTCCTTATAATATTATTTATTATTTTAACAATTATTAACTATCTCAATAAATATTTATTATCTTAACAATTATTTATTTTTTAACAATTATTCGAACAATCACCAAGTACTGTTTTGTCTATTTCATTATCAAAGCATAGTACCTAGGAGTATGAAATGTGGTCACGAAGGGATATAACACTGAGCTGTGCAATGAGTATGAAGGGATTAAACGCGCGACATACTCGTTTCACTAGAGCTTAACCCCGAAGGTCGAATTAAGAGCAATGGGATTAAACTCGCGATTGTTCGCTCCAGATATAATTTTTATGTGTGCACGAATAATTATTAAATCAGTATTTAAATCTTTTATCTTTATAATCTAATCAATAATTAAATATCAACAAATATTAAAGGTATTTATCTAAAAACTCAAATACTAAAGAAAAATAACATTATTCAGTAAAAGTTTTCGTCCTTTAAATATATTTGTGAGTCTGAGGTTAGTGGGAAGAGAACGTGCCAAAAGGAAACATTAACTTCTTAATTTGGATTAATTTTATCATCATTTTAAGATATCTATGTATAAATGTTACTTTTAATATTAGATTTTATTTATGTATTGTTCTAACTGTTTTAACTGTTTCGGCAAATTCCACATATGGCATGTGCCTTGCATTAATTAATTTAGTAAGCCTTGAAAAAGACGAAAAATAAACGTCGAAACGTCGGCAAATTAAGAAGTTAATGTTTCCTTTTGGCACGTCCTCTTCCCACTAACCTCACACTCACAAAAAGAACACTCGGTAATAAATCTCACCTGGAAATCCTAACATCCACAGTTCACAATAATCAAGCTTTTCACAAACTGCACTTACAACCACTGAACAGTACCTTTCTGAAATGTTAAAATAGCAGAATGCCTTTATTTAATTTTAAGTAGCCTAAAACCCTCGAAATCCATACCATGGGTAATAATCAGAAATCAGCGCCTTTATTGTGATCATTTCAAGTGTGGCTCGAAAACGCTGACAAAATAATATTAACAATCAGCTGTGCGCTGAGACATCTTATATTACCTTTTCCTAATACCAAAACATATCGAGAAACGAATTTTAAGAAAATCAAATAGTACAGGGACTTACAGTTCATCCTTGATATCAACAATATCGACTATGCAGTACCTACCTGAATTAAGACTCAAACTTTCAGTCATCGAACCAAACAAATTTTGAATTTCTTTGTTCCACAGAACAGGGCGGTCACATATCTCATTGAAAGGTTATTCAAATTCTATATTATTGACACAGATTACCCTCAACAGATGCGAAACCCGGCAAAAGAAATGTTTGTAATGAGATTTCTATAACCTTGAACTTTAAATGAGTATGCCAATTTTAATTATATTTTCAATTATTCTTATTAAATATAACTTTCTTCTAAACATGCGTTATGGTAGCTTATCCATTCTAGGTAGTGAGAACACTGCAAAAAAATGAAATCCACCAACCGCAGTTTATATTTTGGACACCCAACTACTATTATTATTAAAATTTTAACTAAGTAACAATTCTGTTTAGAGGGTGGGTTGGCTCAGTAGTTAGTCATAGAGATCGAAAGGTTTCAGAATCGAATCCCACCGGTGCGGTGGCAGGAAATTATATTTAATAAAAAAAAATATATTAATTCTAATGCATAGGTAAGATCATTCACTGATGGGTTCTAATTAACAGTGCTGTAGGGAGGTGGGTAGCTCAGTGGTAGAGTCTCTGCCTGCGGATCCAAGGGTCCCAGGTTCGAATCCGACCGTTGGCCAGGATTTTTTTATTAAATTTAATTATTTAAAATTAATTCTGATGCCTTGGTATGATTACCTACTCGACCATTCACTGTTGGGTTTCTAATTAACAGTGCTGCTCCTAAAGTGGCGCTCTGGGAAACAGTACCAAAGCCTACATAGAACACGAGGCTAATAACCTTAGTAGTTGATGCCAAAGACACCAAATAAAAAAAACAGTGTTGTTCCTAAAGTGGCGTTAGGAAACAGTAACAAAGCCTACACAGAACACACATGAACAAGAAGGCAAAACACAAACTGAGACTGGCGTATTAGGTATATATACCTAGGCCATAAAAACAAAAAAAAAAAACAATTCTGTCAAACTAATTGTCAGTATATTTTTTAGTTATTAAGATTAAATATACATTAAAGTGAGCTATTTTTGTGTAGAATCGATAAATATTAGCATTTTCACTCTTATTTGGACCACATTTTGAAAAAATAAATAAATTTTAATCAATTAATCAATTAACTTAAGTATGAAAACTAAAATCGTTAAAGCGACGGCGAGGACAGAGCTTCTGCCTTCCACACGAAAAGTCCGGGATCGAATCTGGGTTGGGGACTAATTATATTAATCTTTTTTTTTTTTCATGATTATTTTGTTTTATAAATTAGTAAAATTCATAAATTATTTTAAATTAGTTATTTTGTCTGAATAACCTAAAATATTTTTTTTAAATTTGTAAATTTTCGTTAGTTGGTTGTAGGAAAAATATACTGTGCAGCTCGAGTGGATTGTCCATATGGCACTCATATGACAAATTTCGTGTTCGTGCGATATGGCCATCATATCCACTCTTGTTGCACAAACTACTATTTCGATATTGAATAACGCAAAAGTAAAACACAATCTTAAAACATTTACAGACAAACGTCATAACTTAACCTACAAAACATAATTAATACAAGAGGAATCAATAACACAGATTACTTTTTGGATAAGACAGTTTTTCTTTATTTTCTTTATTATATATTATAGGATATATCTGAATTATATAAAATGTCTACAATATTTTATATTGAAGTGCATTCTGTTTTGATATGTAATTTATACTTTATTCAGCAGTCAGTATTAATATGGTAAAAGGCCTGCAATTTCCCGTTAACTTCCAATCAATAGGCTTTTAATTGCCAATATATTTATGTCTACACATTAAAGGAAAATGGAGGCCTATTAACTAGATTTGATGACTAAGATCGCTCAACAAAGTTTTCGAACCTTCTCTAACCATTCCATTATAATTAGTTACTTGTTATAACTTTTACCTATTATAGAATTTTGAAAATATTAACACTAATCTTATTCTTTTTCATTTAAAACCCACCTTGTATATCTAGGTATTACCTATTTAGTTACCAAAATGTTTTTTCATTAATGTTTAAAAATGAAACTACTATCGACAACTTTTTTAACATACAAGTGCTGCTACTATTCATTAAACCATTAATTACTTATTCGCTCCGTGCGCGACAGCAGCGCCAATTCGTTTTGATACTAATGGACTATTTCTGCGTACACTGACAAATGCAACTTTTAATAGAATTCGTAATTAAAAAGTATATATGGTAGTTTTAATAAAAGTATATGGATTTGTAAAACAAGTAAAACATTAATTTATTATTATTATTATATCTTTTTATCGTTTAAATTAAAGAAAATTATGTATAATCGATAAAAATGAATAATAAAATATAGGCAGGCAACAGTATTTACTGGAAATTGTATGAGAAGTTGCCTAAGTCTAATAAGTTTTCATAGAAAAATTAGTCTAATCTGTCAAAATAAAAAAATACCATTTAATAATAGCGTGAAGTTAAAATGTATAAAAGAAGGATCATTACTTATATTTTCATTTTTGTTCGAAAGAAAACATACAATGAATGATTAAAACTGATTTCCCATCAGTTAGTTACAAAATTGCGTTCCAACCACACATAATAATCAAAGGCAGAAATCTTGAAATCTAGTCCTTGCTGAATGAACATTTAAGAATAAGGGATATTAAAGAACATGGTAAAATGATAATTTATTGTTGATTTAAAACCTTTCAAGTTTCTGATGTCTACTATTTGCAGCATTACGGTTATTATTACAAAAATAAAGGTAATTTTTCTTCTTATTGTATATCTATCCATTTATTTCTTTGATTTAATTTCCACTTTGCTACTGAAATTTTTTATATAAGTTTCACTGTTTTTTTTGCTAGTATTTGTTCAATTTTCAACACAGCAACCCCGGTTGCTTATTGTATTGTTTTTACCTACTTTTTTTGAAAAAAAGTAAAATGTATACGTGTATTTGATATGCCAAAATTACAAAATATCGCCCTAAAATGCACGAATTATCCGCAGCTAGCGCTAGTATCGCTTTTGCTTCCCTTTCCATGACTTCGCACGGAGCGAATAGATAATATAGATAATAAATTTTTACTAATAATAATGACTACACAGAGGGTTCGCCAATTTATTCCGCATTTTAAAAGGGGTTAGCAAGGAGAAAAAGTTTAGAAATCCCTGGGTTAGACCATATGTAGCTAAAAAAGTACATACATTTTTTTTGTTACATCTTGCATTTATTTTCAAGGTAAAAAGCGGTATGGATATTTTCAGAATATTCGACTCGTTGAATTACCTTCCAAATCTGATTGTCGGTATGGAGGCGGTCGGGAAAGCCGGAGGTATTATAGAGGCAGCTATCTCTTATACGGGAGATGTCAGCGATCCGAATAAAAAGAAATATAACCTAAATTACTATCTGAAGATTGCCCGCGAATTGGTAAGAAACGGAGCCCATATCTTATCTATTAAAGATATGGCGGGAGTTATTAAACCCAAAGCTGGAAGGTAAGTGGTCCATATGAATCGGTCATTTGAGAAACAGTACAAAAAATAGTTTTGTACACTTAGCGGTTAAAACTTGCTCTATTTTGGGTATAATACAATAATTATAATTTACCTTTAAATATTGTATTATTGTAATAAAAACAAAATGGCCAAAAATGTGACATGTGTCGTTTCTCAAATGACTGATTCATATACTCGTATAGAGGTCTTTTTAAAAAATAACCTTCTCTAATTACATTATGGAATGTCGTAGCGAAGAACAGTTGGCAGCACTGCCATTGTCATAACCTTTCGCTTAACTGACTGTTTACATTTCGTTTAGTGTCTGTGTTATTGCTATTTGAAGGCGATTTTCACTATGTTTTATGACAGCAACAATGCAACGTGAAATATTAAGTGAAACTAGGAAAGATATTCAGGGAAACGTTTAAACTTTTGAAGCAAGCTTACGGAACAAATGCTTTTCGTCGTGCAGTGTTACGAATAGGTTAGGTACTAGATTAATAAATGGTCGTTAACCAACTGAAGATGACCTTTGACCAGGAAAGCCTTCGATCTCAAGTGGCGACGTTAACATTCAGAAAATCAAAAATCTTCTGCGTGTAAATCATTATACGACTGTCAGATAACTTGCAGATATTGTAATATCAGTTGGGTCAAAAATTGAACATACATCGAGTTACAGCAAAGAGTGTTCCTTATTTGATGAACGAAGAGCAGAAGGGAACATTGAGTGAACGTTTGGCAGGAAATTTTGGAAAAGCTGACGATGATGAAACATTAATTTAAAGGATCATTACAGGGAACGAGAATTAGCTTTACGGATACGACATTAAGACGAAAGTCCATTTATCACAGTGGGTGCGCGTAGGATCTCCACGCCCAAAAGAATGCCCGACAAGATCGGTCTTCTATCAGGGTGATGCTCAGTTTTTACCCTAAAATCAAATAGTCAACTCTCCGTACTACAAACGCGTTTTAAAAAGTTTACGAGAAAAAAGTGTGTCTAGAAAATTCATGTTTCACCATGACAATGCGCTTACCTACTTAATCTTGTTAATTCGCCAGTTATTTGACAAACATCACATGACTATCCTCTCCCAGCATCCCTATTTCCCAGACTTTGCTACCTACGATTTTTTCTTGTTTCCAAAATTGATGACTTTAAGAAATATTCGTGAGTGACAGTGAAAGATATGCCAGAAGAGGCTTTCCAGGGCTGTATGCTAAAGTAAAACACCGCTGGAACAAGTATATGAATATTATGAATAAAGGTGGGGAGTACTTTAAAGGACACAAAGACACATAATAATTCATCACTAACATTTAATATTTTACTTTGCATAAAATGTATTGAATAACATACATATTTTTTTTAGATTATTGGTAACGGCTCTAAGAGATAAATATCCGGATATACCGATCCATATTCATACACACGACACCAGCGGCGCTGGAGTCGCAGCAATGATAACTTGTGCCGAAGCCGGTGCTGACATAGTGGACGTAGCTGTCGATTCAATGTCCGGCCTCACCAGTCAACCTAGTATGGGCGCTCTTGTATCCAGTTTAAGTGTAAATTTATTTCTTTTTTTTTTTCATTGATTAAAGAGATGAAAAATGTTCATCCTCTTTCACGTTAAATCTATAGAGGCTACCATTTACTCGTTAATGTTATAAAATGTTGACAACTTCTGGCTTGGGCTTCTCTCTTTACGCTTTTTTTCGTTTCATCTATTTTCTATTATCATATATTCAAATCAAATTGGACAAAGAGGTTAATCTAAGCATGGGCAGCTCGTGATTAAAGACATTGGATTGGGGTGTTCTGCAAGATTCTGCCTCCTCCCCCTCCCCCTCAAAAGAAAAACCAATTATGATTACAACTTTTATTTACCTTCTTTTTAAAAATTAATAATTCTATTCTGCGGGTCCTAATAAACGGCATACTTATACCTACCCATACGTGTATTTAAAATAGCTATTAAGAGCGGAAAGTGATACTTTTCCAACTTTTCGGTCAAAATACAAACAAAATATAGATATAAATAAATAGATATAAAAACTGAAAATTAGTCGTAACTAGTGTATAATGTGTTGCCTGTACCTACATTAATCATAAAAAAAAACCGTTGATATTCAAAGTCAATGTTAACTTGGACAAAAAAACATGCAACTACGTACAAATAACTTGAAAATAATTTATTAATAAGAAATTTTATTTTAGCCAATTTAAATTAGGCGAGCAATAAAGCTGTCACTTAATGTCAGTTCGCGGAAAACGTCAATTTTGCGGTTGGATTTCAAAGCTTAAAAGCCTACTTTAGATAGTGATCGTAGAAAAAATCTACTTTTGCAGAAGATGTTACAATAAGATTTGGCACAAAAAATTATAATCGATTAGCTTTCTCCTGAAATAACCGTTATCAAATAAGTGGTATTTCTTAAGTTTAACACCCTGTATCTCAAAAACTAGTTATAGGATTTAAATGGTCCCATGGACCCTATTGCTTAAGAGGTCGAAAACTACAACAATTTAAAAATGTATGATATTTAACAAGTCGCCACTTTTCCATAAGAGGTGTGCGGGGTCTTTTTCAAAATTTAATTAATCCTTCAATGATTGGTATTTTGTCAAAATTGTATTTTTGTACATTCTAGAGGAATATTAACATTAATGTATTTTAATATCTACATGTATTTCAATAATAACATATATAGAATTTACTATATTATTTTAGTGTTCTAGTTTGGATACTGGTTTTGCGTTGGACAAAATTTCCGAATACTCGGCCTATTGGGAACAGACTAGAACTTTGTACGGTCCCTTTGAATGCACTGCAACGTTGAAGAGCGGCAATGCTGACGTATACGTGAACGAAATCCCAGGAGGCCAATACACTAATCTACAGTTCCAAGCTTATTCGCTGGGTAAGTTACTTTCCAAAGTAAATTTCATCACTCATGAGATTTTGCTTCTTTTCTTGTAGGTCTTGGCCATCTTTTCGAAAAAATAAAGAAAGCCTACAGTCAAGCCAACATAATTCTAGGAGACATAATCAAAGTGACCCCATCGTCTAAAGTAGTGGGCGATCTCGCTCAATTCATGGTACAAAATAAGCTGAGCGCCAAAGACGTTTTAGACAAAGCCGGAGAACTATCTTTTCCCAATTCGGTCGTCCAATATCTCCAAGGGCACATCGGCCAACCTTACGGCGGTTTCCCGGAGCCGCTGCGGACCAAAGTCATCAAAGACAAACCTCGCATCGATGACAGGCCCGGTAAGAGCTTGCCGCCGTTGGATTTCGACAAGATCGAGGAGGATCTGAAGAAGCAATTCCCAGAGGCCGATATCACTGAGAAAGATGTCATGTCTGCCGCTTTATACAATAAAGTTACCAAAGATTATTTAACTTTTAGATCGAAATTCGGACCCGTAGAGAAACTGGATACAAGGATATTCTTCGTAGGGCCTAAAGTAGGCGAAGAATTTGAAATACCGCTAGCTAAAGGTAAAATATAATGTTTATGCGATTTATCTATTTTTCACAAATGTGACATTTCATATGAGAAAAAAAAACAAAATCAGTTACTACATACTTTTATATAATAAGACATTTAAATAGCAATTAGTTTCGGCCATAAGGGCATTATCAGGCCTATATTTAAAAAAGAAGGAGATAAGTAACTAAACAGAAGTTTATGTAAACTCTTTCTTTCATCCAACATCCAGAACTTGTCCAAATAAGGGAAAGTCATTATTATAAATGTAATATTAAAAACCAGAATTTTAGACTCAAGATAAAATTGCTATCTCAGAGAGAAGAAAGTAACTAGGTAAAAGGACCAGAAAATAAATAGAGTTAAAGTTAAGTTGTGTCTGGAAGAGAAAGAAAAGGAGGTAGATATTAAGTAGATATTAAGTAAATATTAAGTAAAAAAAACCAAGGCATAGTTGGCAATTTGAAGAGTAGAGTGAAGGGTTCTAACTCTAGTCATACTAGGTCAGAGGTTTGGAGTAAAGTTAACGTACCTAGAGTATGACATATACATGACACCTAGTTGAAAAATAAAGGGTAAACAAGAAATAAAGAAGGAACCGGAGTGTTTTGACAAAGTGAAAGGGTACAATAAATACAAATTACTACCGATAGGCAGCAACAAAGCTAAGCAAAAAGACATATTCGCCATCATTTACGAACTTTCCTCTCATTCTGTCAATGTATTTTTAATATGTCTACCACTCGGACGCTTGTTACCTGTCGTAGACCAATAATTCAGATAAAATTAGTTCTTCTTCCCAATTTGTCCACATTATTTTGTCACATGTATTCCTCCTTCACCTGCGTTGATGTGAAAGACGTGTGTGGCGCCAGTTTGGATAACTCATTTTGCTCTGCAACCTTGAAGTATACTTGGAGTACACTCATAGTAGTGGAGTAAATTAAATTCCAAGCGATCACTTGCGAATGGGGTATTAACTGAAAGAAACTTATCACCGGTAATACACCTACCTACCTTACTCAACCTAAGCGGTGTAACTACTTTTTTCCTTTTACCCTAAAAATAACCCTGGAAAGCTAGATAAAGTGCGGGGTACAGTTAAGAAAATCACAGGAAGTTTATAAACCAAATAATATATTTATAACCTCAATCACGGTGGAATAATACGAATCCCAAGTAATTTTAAGTCTTTATTTACAATCAGCTGTACAAAATACGAATAAAAAATAAATATAACTTCGTAAATATGGATATATTCACAGTATGTCTTATAAGTGGTGAAAACCATAAAGCTAGCAGTATAACTAACACAATGAAATAATTACATTAAGATTTTGTGGAAATAAAAAAAAATCAATAAATACGGATATGCCCACTATATTACTACGTTTGATACATATACAGATAAGAGAGCAATGTTGTTTCGTGGTCGACGGTCTGGCGTGATTTAAAGATTCACCGATTAACGGGATAATAAAAGGTCTATTGACTCTTGATTACTTCGGATGTTGAGAAATTTAGTCGTCGAAACAAGATTGTTAGATCATTGGCCTTGCCTCTCTTTTAAAACTTCATAAATCCCAAAACTCTATTTCGTACAAAAATAGAAAAAAATAATTTTTAATTATTTCTTTATGACGACGTCGATCAAGAGAACATATAAATGAAATTTTAATAGAAAATTATTGATGAACGATTCCTACCTACAGTTTTTCTCTGTGAATTAAAAAAAAAATGAGGGTTTGCAAAATTATACACAGCACTCGAAACACGTGGCACTGAAAAGCGAATGAATTCACTTTATACTTTACGATCAGACTGGTTCGGCTTACGAGTGGTTTGGAGTAGTTTACTTGATACGAATTTCGGTAAATAAATAAAAATTACGGGGGTTTTCGCAAATGTTTACAGGCGGAAATCTACTCGAACTAAACATTCTTATAATTAAACGATAGGAAAATCTAGTGATCTCGTCACAATTTACTTAGTTACTCCCTTCTTTTTGATCGTTTATCGGCAGCAGCTACTTATCTATTTTATTTAATGTATTTAGAGACGTCTCAGTTTGCAATACACTAGATTTTTTAGACCTGATGATGGCCTAAGGCCGAAACCGGTTGTCATAGTTTTTATATTTTGGGTTACTTTGGAACCAGATAAAATTGATTTATTGGAGGTCCCAATAAATCCGAAAAATTCCAATCGACGATCAGGATCATCTATATTTAGTTCCTATACCAATTGCATTTTATATGGGCGGTATTTTTCTTTTACTATACACTGTTATGCAAATCCTAGTATGCTCTGAATTAATTACGTTTAAAGTTATGTTAAAAATATTAAAATGGATTTAGCATTTTAAAAATATTTTTTTATATGAAATGTCTAAAAATTCAAACCTACTAGATTGCTAAATAGATAACTAAAAACCCTTTAAAATGAGGTATCACATACTCCCTCGTTTCATTTAAAAAATTGAGAGCGGTAGTTACCCCACCGAGAAGGGTATTCTAAAGGTTGAAGTTTTTACGTCAAAAATTTTGAATTTACAATTAAAAATCGACCTGTTTCAGGATTTTCTCTTCAAATCATTAACAAGGTTGCAAATTAATTTATCCGTTACTTTAGGACCTCACTGCATGATTATTAATACACAACACCTTTTTGGATGAAAGCGCTTAGCCTATTCATTCAATAAAAATTTTATACACTACACACTAGCATATTCCTTCCACTCTTCACCGCATATCTAGTGTTTACACCATCCCAGTCTTTTTACCTATTCTTTTTGTAGCCTCTCAGAAGAGTCGGAACATACCTGAGTCTACTATATATATTCCCCCGATGCCTTAGGGGGAAATGCGTCTTCTTATTTCTCTTTTTATAGCCTATTATTCTCTTCTAGCTGTTCTTTGTACACCACTATTGGATGTATTATAGTTCAATTCATAGACGATGCTGAGTACCTATTTATTTTATTTTTAAAGGTAAAATTCTGACGTTAAAGTTCATCGCGACGGCCAAAGATTTGACTCGATACGGCACGAGGGAGGTTTTCTTCGAAATCAACGGAGTACCGAGGTCGCTCTTCGTGAGAGACTTCAAAGCGACCAAAGAAACGCATTTCCAGCCCAAGGCTGATAAGGCGAATCCAAAACAGATCGGCGCTCCTATGCCCGGCACCGTGCTCGATGTAAAAGTCAAAGTGGGCGACAAAGTAAGTAGTGGTACGCCGCTGGTCGTTATTTCCGCCATGAAGATGGAGACGGTGGTGCAAAGCAATGTAGCCGGTACTGTTAAGAAGATCGAAGTGACCAAAGGGTCGAAAATCGAAGCCGAAGATCTACTTATAACTCTAGAATGAACAGATTATATTATTTTAAATAATAAATACAATGTGAGTGTTCTATGTGTTTCTTTTTAACTGATTGAAAAAATATAACTAGCATACCACGTGGATTCTGACAAAATTGATAAAACTTGCATACTTACAGTTTATTTTTTGACAATATTATTTAGTTGCTATCGACTACAAACAGCCAAAGATACTATAGCTACGTCTAAAATTAATTAGAAAACAGTGGTAAATAATAAACCAAAATGCTGTTATGACTAAGAAAGCTCTAAATTTTGTATGACAGTCGCTATTATATAACAACCTTTCATTTTAATCAACTTTAAATTACTGTACGCCCTTTCTCTCTGACAATAATCTTGTGAGCGGAACGAGATAGAGAATTTAAAATAAATATTTGAGCTCAATTCTTTCAAGTTTAATTTTCAAATGACAAAATTTTAGAGCGACAAAATATTGTTATGAAATGATAGAACAAGAAAGTCAATATGGCTTGATCATACTTGTGCTATAAGTTATTTTTTCTATAGTGCGAGACACACTGAAAATGCAGTGTGAGGTCTTATGAAGCGTGACGTTGCCAGCCTTTGTCAGCCATCGCTATGCTAGGATCGACAAAAAAAAACAGGTCTGGACTTAGGCAAATTTCGACACGGGTTTAAATTATATCTCATAATTTGTATGTTCAATAATAAATAATACTCTTATAATGAGTTCATCAACGTTGTCTTGGAGATTATCAGCGACCCACATTTCTTTTTCCGTTTTTTTCTCTGACATGTGCAACGCAATCACGCCAGTATTGTTTAGTGACATTTTCAAATGCTTCATCTATCAATGAACAAATATTCTATCTCTTGAAATCAAAGTTGTTCATAGCAATATAGCGTATTTCCTGATTACATAACATCTCGATCGGGTTAGGCTCGGAATGATATGGTGGTAAGCGTCAAACAGTTACCCCTTATCTAGCAACTGTTTCCTCAATCTTACATTTGTCATATTCTTCTCTGTATGAGTTGGCAATTGCAAGCAGCTTAGATTTTATATAGAGGAGTCATCAGAGAAAATGTTTTTTTCAAACAGCCAATTTTTTATTTCGGGTTTTTTTTTTCTGGAAAACTAAATTTACGCTAATGTTTTGAAGCGTTATCCATAACCACAACGTTCTTTTGTCAATTTTTGGGTAAGTTAGGAATCAGTGACTCTTAAAACCATTGCTCAAAATAGTCGGCGTTTATTTTGTCATGATAAACACCGTAGTTTTTATTTTCCAAGAAAACGCGTAGCATCATGTAAAAATGAATATGAACCTACAGAAACAATAATGAAATGTAGACCTCTTCGTGTAGGTACTTTGAAGCCTGTGTTTAAACCCTTTATAAAAATATATCTACTATTTTTTTATGGTGTTGTCACATCATGCTTATTTAACCGTCTGACTCACGTTGACCCAAGTCTCATCTAATTAGATTACGTTACAATTTTGTTGGCAATATTGTTTGACGGCTTTTAAATACCTGTGCCACCAATGAATGATGTCGTTTCGTTTTAACATTATACTTTTACGATCACGCTTCACATATTTAAAACCAATATCTTTCATCAATCTACATAGGGAGAATTCCCATTCCCTCGAATAATATTATAAATTGCATTCAAAGTTGGCTGAATATTTAAAAAATATATATTTTGCACAATTCCTCTCAATGAGCTCTTAAAACCACCATCAATGTATATTCCCGAGAATTTGACTGCCTTATATATCCGCTTTTTTCTTCTTGCAGGAGATTTTAATTCGCCACTGGTTTAAATAATAATATAATAATAATAATAATCTTTATTTGGCTCAATTAAAATTACAATTTAGATTTAGAAAAAATACATGTATATAAAGAACGAGATACGTAAATAAGTAGACACCCATATATTCATGGAAAATAGAGTGTACATTCACAAAAGCAGGCTTGTCCGTGAATGCAGTAGTTCATTTATCATGAAAAATGGATGTATAAAAATTAAATTAAAAAGTATACATTTATATTGATGGTATAAATTGTTTTTCACTGACCCCACTCATTTTGGAAGCACGCTGCAGTCACACTCAATTTATCGTCATTGACTTAATAACAAATCATATTAAAAATCACAATTTTCGAACTAGCATGGATCATTTGTCCGCGTTTCAATTTCTTAAACTCCATGTTGCAGTTAAAAAATCACAACTGAACCAACCCCAAAATAGTTGAGTATTTAATGGTCAAAATTTTGACAATTAGGCATTCCAAACAAATGAATTACCAGTGGGCAGGATTGGTATATCTAAGGGTGGCGACATATATTGTGTATTCTATCTACTTTACGTAAAATCATGAATAATGGATTAAATTTAAATATTTTATGTCAAACACAATAAAAATTATATTTAAAAAACCCACATATACATTTCTTCATAAATTGGCAGGCTTGGCGAGTACTACTTCGAATAAAAATAGCGTTCAAGTTGCAAGACTATGTCGCTACCCCCCTTAAATATACAAGAATTTCCCACTGGCACCTATTGTTTGACAGGTCGTTGGAATGCCTAATTATAAAACATTCATGGAAAACACTTTGGTTATACCCTTGGTTAACCTTGAAATCACGAAAGCCCTAAAAAAATAAGCGGCGGTAAATCATTTTTAAGGAATATGACATTAAATTCTGACATTTAATTTCTAGGTTAATTTTTATTGACTCTAAAGTGGAAATTAAGAAAAATTCGTATACACTTATTATTTATTAGTGAGATTTTCCCTCGAATTTTCCATTTGTATTTTATAATTAGTAACTATGGATACACTGATTTTTCATTCATAAAAGAGGCCAATAAAGCAAAATACAAAATCTAAAACATAATAATTTTCTTTCATCAACACTTATTTATCAACCAGTCAACTCAATGTATGTTTATCTACTTGAATAATCATTTTAACCAATTAATAAAAATGTCTTTAAAAATATTTTACCAACTTTCTTGAAACCGCTTTTTATTGTTTTAACTGAAACTTGATTCAAATTGTATTTAATAAGTCAATTTCGGTTTTTACTTCGATATATTTTATATCATGTGCTAGAAGAGTATAGGGATTGTTGGATATTCAAATCAAGATTAGAGTACCTACCTTATCTCCCCATAAATAAATAAGTTACTTTTCACTTCTATTTGACAATGTAAATTTAGTAACTATATGACGAATAGATATGGATGTATTATTTTATTTTTTATTTTTAAAATGTTTTATAATATATGTATTTGGTCAAAGTAATTCATCTGAATGTGAAAGTGCCTCTACGGAAATTCAAAAAATTTGTTTGGATCAAGAAAGGTGTGATACATGTTTACAAGCTCATGTTTGCTGCAGTTGGTGTTATGATGAGGTAAAACTGTTAGTTATGAATAGTACCCATTGAAATTGATTTTCAAATTAAAAATCTCATAAAATTCAGTTAAATATGTATTTCTAAAAAGTGTGTAAAATTAGAGGTATTTATATGAGTAGTTAATTGTTTAACCTATAAAAGAGAGTTGTCCTTATCTTAAAAGTCACACCTTCAACTGGTATTTATCATTAAATACACGTTATTTTTTTTTTAAATAGGTAACGATGTATAATATAGTACCTACTTATTATATTTATCGTCTTAACAATATTATTTACCGATACAGTGTTTCTATATTCGCGCTCCAAAATCGAAATTAGAAATTAAATATCAAACTTTTTAATCAACTAATTAATTAACTCAGTTTATTCATGTGCATTATAAAATAAAATTTGTTTAAAAAAATAATGAACAAAATCACAAAAAGGCGATTTGTACATAACAAAAAAACAAAAATGAAAAGAATTACGGATAAAATTGTTGAAATAATGGTACGAGATACAATACTTAAATACTATATTAAAATAACTTTAATTGCCGACTTTTTCTGTAATAGGCCGTAAGTAGAGATATACATATCTAATAATTTAACATTAATTCTAACATTTTTTAAACATCGTGGGTAAGATAAAGTACCGAATGAATCGAAACTTGGCGATTTTGCAACTCGATTCAGGGCCATCAGCATTGCCAAAAATGGCAAAAAACTTCTATCTATCTCTATCTATCTCTGTATACAAAGTGTCCCTCAAAATGTATAAAATTAAGATAGCGCTTTTGTACCAGAGAGATGCCGACGCCAATGACCCTAATGATGTATATATTTATTTATATTACTCACCCATTTGTATGAAATGTAGAGGTAAGGGTATATATGCTCGAAGGGTATATATGCTCGAAGGGTATAGCCTAAAAACAAAAAACTACATCATGAAAAGTCATCGTGAAAAGTGTCTGAGCTTATAATCGTATAGATAATAGATTTTCATAGGGGTGAGCTATCTAGATAACTATATATCATTGGATCTTTTCCTTCTAGTACACGAGCGCCATCTTAATTTTATACATTTTGGGAGACACTTTTTGAGATAAACAACTGCATATACAGGGCGTCCCAATGAAAAGTAGCCCGTTTCTATTTGATAAAATTTGGTTACGGTAAATTTAAAAGAGGAGATTTTTAAAAAACACTCTGTACTGGTAATACATAATTTCTGTGTCACTGAAGCAAAACTTATAGCAAAATAACACATGTCAGCAAAAACCGCACGTTTCTACGATTTGTTTAGAAGTTATAAGCTCTGGAAATGGGCTACTTTTCATTGGGACACCCTGTATTTTTTTTTAATATCGATACGAAATAATAAAAAAAATTAAATAGTTGCGTTTTTTATGTACCTAAATCAGTACATATACCCACTATATTATAGAAACACTTTTTTAGACTTACGCAGGTAGAAGATGCAATGTTCAAAACCAGTTGACAGGGTGTAAGAAAGAAAAAATAGAATCATCGTTGAAAATGGGAGTCGACGTGGAATGCGAAAAATGCGAAAATTATGATTTTACTATTATAAATCCAAATACAAATTTGACCAAGATTATACAAATGAAGCCTCAACACATGAAAGTTACATTAAGAAAAGGTACGATACTATTTTCTGACAAACTGTTTAAACCTGTTACCATATGAGTGGATGCGATGGTAAAACCATAAACTAAAAGGTCACATATGTTTTAACAATTTTCTAATTATTTTAAGTTGAACAATATACAACTGGTTACGAAAAATTCATTACGTCACTAGTTGAGAAAAGAAAAGAAAAGTAAACCTTTTTCGGTTTCAAAATCAATATACAATATACATTGTTATTGAAAATTTAAATCGCGAGAAGGTCGATTGGCTACATAAAAGTAGATTTTGTTAGTCAACTTAAAACCCAATAATAAGTCTGTTCTTTTCCTTATTTTTCATTTTAAATCTGCATAAATTAATCAACACACAATATACGACAAAATGGGCCACTCTCTTGAAAACGAAATAACTTTAACGAGCAAGATAAACACCCTACAATATAAGTGATTCAAAATTATGATGAAAGATTTTGTAAATTATCTGGGAGATAAAAATTACATAAGACGGTGTACTAAGGCCTTTTTGAAAAGGGCCAATTTACAACTTCAATATCCTAGGAATGAGTTGTTCTCAAATACTATTGCAGCATACCAAACATTTAGGAAATTTCACCCGAGCCAATAAATTGAATAATATAGAGTTTGTTACAACACGGCATCCTTTAAAAAAAATTTCGTAACTCTTTGCAAAAGTGGTTTTACTGGACTCATAAGCTTTCAGGACTCGTCTTGGAATTTGTCCACTCGTCCGGTAAAATGTCATTTTTGGGACTGTAAATAATTATTACTGGAATTTGAGTTTCTTAGTTAAACTATCTATCAAAAAATTAAAATATTCAGTTAGTACTCTTATTACTTATCTAATACAATAAAATATACTAATCTGTGTCTAAACCCAAGGTATACCGTTATCATATTTTTCTGTAAACTATTTATATAACACAAAATCAAACTAAAGTTATTTCAGGTGCGCTTCTTATCATGTATTTTAGATAAACTGTTTTTGTTTACTTTCTTTATCTATTTTGCCAGGTAACCAAGGAATGCCGTTTTACCAATAGGGTCTTGTTAAACTGTATTCAGAAGCGGTTTTATTATAAATTTGTTATAAAAAAATCTATGATAAATAATAAGTGGAAAATTTTGTTATAAATTAATAAATATGTATTCACAAATCTTAGTAAAATTTATGTATTTATCAAAAGTCAAGTAGTTTTCTTAACATACCCAAATATTTGTAATATTATAATATAATACTCAAACTATATTACAATGTACTTTTACAGAAACAAATAAATAATATCAAAACCGCAAAAAAAAACAGAAAAAGTGCTAGACTGACAATTATCTATGTTTAAAACCCTAAAATGTTTAGATATTCATATAAAAATAAACCTTTTAAATTGGTTAATATCAATTATCCAATCTATATTGCTCAAGTGCTGAAGTGAAGTTATTTGCAAGTCTTATGAGTTAGAGGAGATTGCAGAGATTGCTTTTAAAAATATTAAACTTAAGAGAGGATCTGATAAATCATGGTGGAACAATAAATGGTGCTAACAGTAATAATTGCATACAATTTGTGTGATTGTTGACAATTTTATAAAGAAACAAAATCATAGATTGTTGACGTCTATTAATTAGTGAAGGAACTACAAATGTATCTCTATTTTCTCTAATTTCGATATAATCAGGCCAGACATGATATTTTTTGTAATATTTGCAAAAATTTATTCTGAATTTTCTAACGAGTCTAAATGTATCTGGGCACACTTCACCTAAAGCACAAACAGGTTAACCCAAAATGCCAATGAAAACGAAAAACGGCATTTTATTGGCGGTTAATAGTACATTAAAAGCCCGCTTGAATGAAAATCCTAGCTGATCCCTTTTTCAAGATAGGTGGATTTTCACTTTTTCATAATTTTTCATCATAATTAACGTTTAATATTTTTTCCACACCATCTAACGAAATAAATATCATGGCGCGTTTTGTTTAACGTGGTGTCCCATGTAGGCCTAATCCAGTGCGAAAATAAAAATGAAAACGAAAATAAAAATAATGAAATGATAACTAAATACGGCATGTTTTTATAAATGCTGTGAAGAAAAAGTAACTACCGCTTTTTTAAACGGCCTGAATATGATGAATCAAGTATAACATTTATTTTGAATTATTCCCAAAATTTCAAAAATTCTCTGTGAACAGATTCCCCGGCCTGTTCTGACCACAAACCCAAACTATCGTTGTTTGATAATTAAATGCCCTCTTTTAAGTGATCAAGTATAATGTGCATTTTTAGAGTTTAAGATGTCCCAGTACTTTCTAGATCTTTGCGGAGTTTTTCCAAGTTCTCATCTAAATCGGTCATATCTGCACGTTGCGTGGAGAAACAGTCATGTACAATTGTATTCGTTGTCTTAGCGACGTATGGCTGTAACTTAAACGGACCAATCTGTTCGTAAATTTCAGGATCAAGCAATTTATCCGATTCTTGCAGAACTTTTCGGCAAGCATTGCCCTCAAAAATTTCACCCTGATAATTTTTTGCTACCAACTTTAATTTTGATGGCCAAAGCAGAGCCTTCTCAGGTCCTACAGCAGGAACTATGCCGTTCCAGAATAGGTGGTTTATAAATCCTTGTAACAGATGAAAACACATTTTTGAAAAACGTACACGTTCATGTCATCTTCTGCTTCATCATTGACGACATCTTTATACTCCGATTCTTATTCATAAAAAAGAGAGGCATATTGACTGTACTGTGGCATTTCTTACCATACTTTTTATCTTTGCCAAAACATTTAAATTTATTGTAATCATCTTTTAAATTTTTGAATGTTTTCAAAATTATATTATCGTCAATTTCCAGAGTCATTCCTCTTTATCAGCATCAATAGTCACTTTTCCAAAAGTGTGCAATTCGCTCAAAGTGATGAAACAGTAAGGGCAAGGATAGGTTGATTATTAATCATTAGTATAAGTTTCAAGTCAGAGCAGATTTTGAAGGGTATCTCGTTGACCTTTGTCAATTCAAATAAGGTCTTCACATTTTCGTAAGTTTCCTTTATTTTTATTTTCGTTTTTATTTTTATTTTCGCAGTGGATTAGGCCTACAGCGGATACCTCTTTAAAACACACTCGAAAATCCACAGTTTGACCGATTTTCTCGTGAAAAAAGTCTCTCAGGGGTAAAAACAATCACTCTCAAGAGCTGTAACTACTATCGCATGGGCCTCGAGAACAAAAACTTGTGGTGGAAAATTTTGGTGGATTGGGTGTTCCCGGGTTAATTATGATGAAAAATTATGAAAAGTGAAAATCCACTTATCTTGAAAAAAGGATCAGCTAAGATTTTCATTCAAGCGGGCTTTTAATGTGCTATTAACCGCCAACAAAATGCCGCTTTTTGTTTTCATTGGCATTTTGGGTCAACCTGTTTGTGCTTCAGGCGAAATGTGTGGGGTTGTGCCCATACTACTGAAGCAGATTCTAATTTTGTTCGTACTAAAGTAAAATATAGATATTTTATTACTTTTAAATTCGAAAATTGAGATGTTTGTTTTATAAGAAAACCTAATACACTATTTGCACTAGCAGCAATTTTTTAATATGTGGAATAAACGACATTTGATTTTTATATTAAATTCCCAGATCTTTGATTTCAATTGTAATTATTGTGGTATGGACCACATACTTTGATTTTCTTTTTTTACTATACGGAGAATGATCGCACTGCGCAGCTTTCTGAGTGCCTTTTAAACGTGTTGCCTACATCTTGGCGCAATATTTTTAATAAGTGCGTTTTAATCATCCGCTTCTGCTTCGGAATTGTCAGTTTTCTTGTTTTAATCTGACAGGTTAAAACGACTAAACCGACAATTCCGGAAGCAGAAGCGGATGATTAAAACGCACCTGATATTTTGCTTGCTGCTGTCAGTGTCAGTGAATATTATTTTTGAAGTCACAGTTTATTCCTAAAGAATCAGTTAGCTCACTCGGACCAGTTGAAAGTTCCAAAATAACATCCACTCCAGGGATACAAATTCAGGATACGCAGAAGACTGCTGTTTTATTATAGGCGGTTGTCATATATTGTATTATCCGAGTTGCACAGTGTATATACTGAAACATTGAGATCCAAAGTGCCGACGCGTATGTGGTATTGACACTCTGAGGCGGCACGTTAGTAGAAATGTTAGTTGACATTTGACGTTTTCAGGATATGAAAAATTTTCTTTACACGGACTTGGTTGGAAAAATTTTCTTTACACGGACTTGGTTGCACCTGGTTAGTTGAATTAGGCATTCCACCTGTCAAACTGCTGATAAGTAGGAACTGACATTTAGATATGGCAACCTTGTGAGCCTGTTGTCATTGACAGGGTCAATTGCCTCGCAAATACTTAAAAATGTGTTTACAAACCAATATTTAGCCTTTGGATACAGTAACAAAAATAATTACTTACATTTTTAATTCAATGCATAGCTCATGTTTATTTTAAAAAATATGGGTGATCAATCTATGTAACTATCTATTTCATTGACCTTGTCAAATTAACAGGCCTACAGGGTTGCCATATCATAATCTGTCAAAACCCACTGGTAGCCATTTTGTTTGGAATGCCTAATTATTGTTCTGCTGCTTTTCAAATTCGTGTGTATGAGTGAGATGTGTGATACCTTGATACAGACACCGGTTGAACAACTTAACTACTTTGAAGAAGAAAATCGATTAGATATCAGGGCAGTCTTCGTAAATATAAAAAGGACAGAACCGTTTTAATTTTTTTTTTATATGTGGTTGAGTGTCAAACATGTTTGAATTTCGAAACTGAAATATTAGTTTTTAGTGAAAAGTTTAATTACTTTTAGTTTAAAATATAACGTTAGTTTATCAAGGGAAATATTCAAAATCCACAAGGTTAGTTTTTTCTTTATTTCTTAAGAATTACTCTAATCTAAAACTATTCTAGTCGGTTGTAGAATTTTATTCTATACGTTATTTAGGTACTGCAAAATCTATGGGAAAGTATGTAGTTTTAAATATAAAAATTTTGGTAGAATAGTGTATAGGTACCTAATTTATAACGGAGACAGTGTAGTTTTTTTTTACAAATATATACATAGTGACTTGTTTTTGTGAATGAGTTCAAGTATGGCAAACGAAAATCGTTACTTTTTATTATGAATTAATTTGAGTTATTTAAAAATGGGAACTGTGAATATGAAATTTCGTAGTTTTTACACTTGTAATAAAAATATCAAAGTTATGTATATTGGCCATTTACTCCATACAGCAAATTCGTAGACACAATACATATCACTATTTGACATTCTTATTAAAATCACTAATTTAAAATTGACTTTAAACTAAGTAACTACACACAGAGTTCTTTGAAAGCAGCCGTATAATTTATTTATTTATGGGATATTTTATTAAATTGATTTGACATAAGTACACTAACATGACAGCAGTAGTTCAATTGTTATCAAGAATAGTCATTCTTATCGATCAGAGTAATCTCAGTTATAAGAAAAATTGGAAATAATATTATGTAGGTTTAATTTTCTATATATTCTTAATATCTATAAGCACATTCAAATAAAAAATAATGTATGAAACACGGACAAAAATGAATTTTTGGACTCCTTTGTAGTAGCCCGTAAAACGTCCTTATAACATAAGCTACTATTATTTTGCCATCCCTATCCACTCGCCTAAAAACCTTAAAATCATCAGCAAAAAGTAAACAATCAGAGATTTCAACACAAGATACTAAATCATTTATAAATATATATGACAAATTATACATAGAAATGAATGCAATGTTTATGTTTGGCATACTTAATAGTGGGTGTCAATAAAAGACGAAAAATAATAATTTTAATTTGATCTTTTATATATAGTGTGTGCTATAAAGTTGGATCTATATGGATTTTTTTTTTTAATATTTTGATTGGAAATTAGCATTTAAAAATTTTTTTTTTTAAATACTGAATATGGCAGATAACTAATACATTACCTAGCCATTTTTAATCAAAAACAATTTCGTCAAAATCGCTCCATAAATAAAAAATGTATGAGGGTGGTCCGCTTTCAAATGGGTCACTCTGTATATAAAAAATCTTTACATTCATATTGTGGTAATAGTGATTGAAAAATCTTTTAATGAAAGGCTTTATTATACCAATTAAAAACTTGACAAGTAAAAAATATATAACGTCACGTTAAAATCAAATCAATAACAATCTCTAAAAATAAAAAACAAGTCATTTCTAAAGCTCGAACTCTTGGTTATATATCTATGGCTCGAACTTAGTGCGATAAACCACAATATAACGTAGGTCTGGCGGTTGCTGGCTCTTAGTGTATAACAACACTCAAAGAGAAAAATATTCGGGTGTCAATTTAACATTTGAAATTCGTCTACATCAGAAAAAGGTTTCCTTTATGGATTAAAAATAAACATGTTTCAGCATTTTTAAATATAATATAGCTCCAGACCACGCAGTTTGGGTACATTGGTTAAGTTTTTAAAATTTCTCTTTTTATGTTTATTTTTTTTTGTAAAGCAACGTGCGATGGCTCCAAACTGCACAGGTTAGGTAAATTAGTTAAGTTTTTACTTTCCTATCTGTATACAGATATAAGGAAAGTATAGGAATCATGATTTTTTTCGACCTCGAGTTTTCGACGGATTTTTACGTTTTGAGGTCCCCTGAATCCGTTTTGACTATTTTCGCGATGATGTCTGTGTGTGTGTGTGTGTGTGTGTGTGTGTGTGTGTGTGTGTGTGTGTGTGTGTGTGTGTGTGTGTCCTGTGTGTGTGTGTGTGTGTGTGTGTGTGTGTGTGTGTGTGTGTGTGTGTGTGTGTGTGTCTGTATAACGCATAACTCATGAACCGATACACAGAAAAACACCAAATTTTAAACTTAAGCTTTGTTTCAGCGTCCAATGAGCTGATTAGATTTTGGGCAGTGTCGGAACATCTGGGGGGGTACTTTATAGGTGGTCATTTTTATATTTTATGGAATATATCTGTTATTTACGTTTGGAGAAGAAAATTCTTCAAATAAAAGTTACTTCTAATATAATTATCTATAATTTTTGTTTTATGCAAAATTTTCCTAAAATGGTCCGTATTCGAGAAATTTGACAAAATGTAAAAAACATAATTTTTTATAAAAATTGTTCAAATAAAAGTTGTTTGTAATATAATTCTCTATAATTTTTGTCATATACATAATTTCTCTAAAATGGACCGTATTCGAGATATTGAGAAAATGTGTAAATTTCGAAATTTGAAGAAAACTCAAAAACGGATAAAGGAAAAAACATTAAATTTTAAACTTAAGGTTTATTTCGGCCTGACGTGAAATGATTAGATTTTGGACAAAGTCGGAACATCTGGGGGGTACTTTATGGGAGGCCGTTTTTATATTTATAAAATATATCTGTTATTTATGTTTGGAGAAGAAAATTGTTCAAATAAAAGTTACTTCTAATATTATTATCTATAATTTTTGCTTTATGTCAAAATTTCCTGAAATGGGTCCGTATTCGAGAAATTTGACAAAATGTGCAAAATTCTGATTTTTATGAAAATTGTTGAATTAAAAGTTGTTTGCGATATCGATTTCTATAATTTTTGTTTATACATGATTTTTCTAAAATGGACCGTAATGGAAAAGTGCTAAAATTAAATTTTTCTGTATTTTCGTTTTCAATGAATATCTATAGAAAAATGTTTCGAGGTATATGTATGTGTAAAATGTATATATCCTCTAAACATTTATAGAGATGCTGCAATAGGTTGTACAAAATAACCGGAAAATGCCTATAATAACTAGATAGGAAAGTCATGTGTTGGACACATCAGATTTTTTTAATTTTTAATTAGAATAGGTAATATATTTGACATTTAGATTTAACCATCTGAGTAAATGTGTGCGAATAGAATTACTGTGAAAATACTATCAGGTACTTACTCTTAGTTTATGTATTCAAATTATTGTATTTCTTGTTCAGCGCTTTATTGTACGGTGCTATTTTATGACGCAGCTTATTTGTCCCGAAGCGTTTATGTTACGGCGACCTTTTGTCTTGGCGTTGTTTTTTCACAGTGTACTATAAATAAATTAAAATTAGAAATAATTACAGTACCAAGTATGATTAATAAAATTGATATACAAAAATTGGTTTATTAAAATTGATTTCTTAGTATTGGTTTATTAAAATTGGTTTATCAAAATTGGATTACTAAAATTGGTTTACCAAAATTGGTTTACCAAAATTGGTTTACCAAAATTGGTTTACTAAAATAGTTGATTAAAAAAATTGAAAACGTATTAGTTGATAAATTCTGTAACATAGTTATATTAGACAAATAAAATTAATCTGTGTTTCAGGTGTTCCTCTAAATATTAGTTTTGAGTATAAACCAGCTGAAAACTATCTTCTAGAACTCTATTATCTCGGTGATCTCAGTATTTCGATGAGTAGTACTATTAAAGCATTCAAATCGCTTGGGAAAGATCTTCCGCAAAAATTATCGAACTTGACGAAGAATTACAAACTCGCTTACGGCTCGTTTGTAGACAAACCCGGCATGCCATTCTATTTTACAGATCCGGATTCGTATGACAATCCCTGTCATCACGAATTTTCACAGTGCGAAAAAGGATACTCGTTTAAACACCGGTTGGACTTTACTAAAAATACCACCAACTTTTTAGAAAAGGTAATGCTTTGATATTATAAATTAATAATAATCAATTGTACAAAAATTGTATGAAGTGGAACTTTTTTTAATGAATGGATGTGTCAAATATCCGTTTTATATAGGTATATAGGTAGTGTCAATAAAAGTTTGTAGTCCTGTTGGAGGATACACGTTCGAGATGTATTTGGTTCTTCTAGTATTTTGTGTAGGCGAAGGTAAAATAAAGGAAAATAAATAATACTAGGTCCTTAAGTTTTCACAGAATTATTTAAATGACGACCGGTTTCGAGGTTTTCTTATGACCTCATTATCAAGTTATATTCTGAAAAAGAGAAACAATAGGGGGGTAAGTTCCTCTATTCGAATTAGAAACTTACAATATGAATAAGTAACTTACCGCTAATAATTGCACCAAAATCGAGAAAATATAGGAATTATGATTTTTTTTCGATCTTGAGTTTTCGACGAACTCTTACGCTTTGGGGTCCTCTGAATCCGTTTTTACTATTTTAGCGTAATGAACTGATCATATTTTGGGCACAGTTGGTGCATTATTGTGCCTTTATCTTACAGCAATATGTGTTAAAGCTAGTCCGTCCCTGCAAATTAAATAAACCAAATATGTTTAAAAGGGTATATTTTAAATAGATTTATGTAGTATCCATCATATAAAAAACGAATTTATTTTAGGTTCAAAGTAGTAAGCTCACAGCAAATGTAGACGATCTGGATGGAGCTTTGGATGCTATTCTGCAAATTCTCAATTGCGATGATATAATCGGATTTTCTAAGCACTCCAGAAAAATAATCCTATTGCCAACCGACAGTTTGTTGCATTCGGCAGGTGATGGTATTTTGGTTGGAGCTACGTTAAGACCAACCGATCAATGTTTGTTGGAAAATGGAGAATATTCCCAATCATTAAAATACGATTATCCTTCTTTGGAGACCATTGAATTACTGCTGAGGCAAAAAAAGGTAAATACCTATGTAGATTACACTTTCATTTTTAAACTTGTATTAATCATATATTTATAAAAATACCGAGTGTCTCACTATATTTTTTCACATTTTGACTTACTTTACTACTGGTAAATAAACAGCTAACCTTCGTTATACAGAACTTGCTGGCCGAGTCGTTGTCTCCATAGAACACCTTGGTTCCGACTGTGGTGATGTGGGTCCTTCTTTTACAATAATTAGCTCGGAGCAAATCGGTTTTTAATGCTAATCACGAATACTGAATTTAAATAACATTATTTAAAATCGTTGCAGAAAATAGCTGGTTTATGTTTTTTGTTAAAATTTTTATCTGGGACATTTAGAATTTGTATGACAGTTTTTTTAAAAAGTTAATTACATGTAGTTCAATTAACTTTTTAAGCAATTAACAAAACCAATTTACCTGGATCAGTGAAACATTCAACTTGGGACAGCTGGCGCTTTTCAGAAATTTTGTAATAAACTGTGCAGCTAAGGCTATTTTCTTAGTGTGGATTAAAATATAAGGATTGTGCAACATGCCTTAATAAAATATTGTTGAGGAAAAAGATAAAGGGTATTAAGGTTAAAATCTTTTTCTCGTTTTTGACAATAATTTCTCAAGATAAATCGTTATAAAAATTTGCAAAAAGCTTACCTTTTTCAGAAGTACGTTATATTTGAGATTAAGTTTGTTTTTAGGTGAATATAATATTTGCAGTAAAGACGCAAACGAAATTATATTAATTCGTTGAAAGGATTTGCATACGTGGGCGAATTAGAGGAAGAGTCCACAAATATTTTGGATTTAATAAGAAACGGTACGTAAAGACATTTTTAACATTCTTAATGAGGCTTCATAGGTTTATCAAATTATCTTTTTTAAAGAAAACAATTTCTATGAATTTCTATGAATTTCTATGAATTTCTATGAATTTCTATGAATTTCTATGAATTTCTATGAATTTCTATGAATTTCTATGAATTTATATGAATTTATATGAATTTATATGAATTTCTATGAATTTCTATGAATTTCTATGAATTTCTATGAATTTCTATGAATTTCTATGAATTTCTATGAATTTCTATGAATTTCTATGAATTTCTATGAATTTCTATGAATTTCTATGAATTTCTATGAATTTCTATGAATTTCTATGAATTTCTATGAATTTCTATGAATTTCTATGAATTTCTATGAATTTCTATGAATTTCTATGAATTTCTATGAATTTCTATGAATTTCTATGAATTTCTATGAATTTCTATGAATTTCTATGAATTTCTATGAATTTCTATGAATTTCTATGAATTTCTATGAATTTCTATGAATTTCTATGAATTTCTATGAATTTCTATGAATTTCTATGAATTTCTATGAATTTCTATGAATTTCTATAAATTTCTATGAATTTCTATGAATTTCTATGAATTTCTATGAATTTTTATGAATTTCTATGAATTTCTATGAATTTCTATGAATTTCTATGAATTTCTATGAATTTCTATGAATTTCTATGAATTTCTATGAATTTCTATGAATTTCTATGAATTTCTATGAATTTCTATGAATTTCTATGAATTTCTATGAATTTCTATGAATTTCTATGAATTTCTATGAATTTCTATGAATTTCTATGCATTTCTATGAATTTCTATGAATTTCTATGAATTTCTATGAATTTCTATGAATTTCTATGAATTTCTATGAATTTCTATGAATTTCTATGAATTTCTATGAATTTCTAGCGAGATGACATCATCTCACGGTTAATTTTGGTGCAAGTGAGTTGTTATTTCTGCATTTCATTAACTCTTCAAAAATATATATCTGCATATTTTGCAATTTTTTTAGGTTATTTTAGCTTCGTCGAACAAGTTAGTTTCAGTATTAACCAAACGTCCTCCGAAAACTATGATAACCAAGAAAACTACGATATTAAATTTTTCGCTGATTGCGAAAACAATAATAAAGAAAACGAAACTTCAACTTGTTACCATGTAAAAAATGAAACTATTCGTTTTAAAGTACAGATCACTCTTAAAAATATTCCTTTGGGAAAACATAAAGTAAGTACTTATATGTGATAATTTATAAAAGATTAAACGTTTAAGTTTTTAAAGTTGAAAAGCCAGGGTGGCAAATGAAAAAAGTTTCAGTTTGTCCACAACAAATTCTATATGTATACAAAAAAATAATGAAATATAAAATTAAGAACTATAGGGGCAATCTACCCTCCGGACGCCTATGATGAGTAGTATCTAGAGTGTAATCAAATATGCGTGAAATTACATGAAATAATAAATATGTTAAATATTACTTGAAGTACAGGACTTATTATTTTATTTTAGGCATAGCGGTGCTTTCACAGCCACCATGTGGCATGCTACGATATCCCCACTATCGCTATGCTCTCTGGCTTTGTGACTGTCATTCGATTTGGCTAATATCTCACCACCATATCTTCTAATTCTAGTCGACAACTGGGTGTTGCCCTGTTGCCATTTTATTAACAAGTCGCATGCTTAACACGAAATAGTATATTACACACCGAGGTGGGAAGAGTTTCATTCCTGTCGTGAGATTAGTTAGATCACCCAGACGCGAAGCGTCGAGGTTAGCTATGATCTCGAGGCAGGAATGAAACTTCCTACCGAGGTTTGTATACTATTTTATTTACAACCATCATATTTCGATCAAAGTTAATAAATCTCTGTTTCGTTCTAAACCCTAAAATATTACATTTAACGACAAATTACCAAGCGCGCAGTTTTTTCAGAATAATCAAGTAAATATATTGTTACTGTGATTACGGGGTAAACAACTGTCACCAATATAAATAAATGTCGGATAAAGGCGGATATTAAATTCGCGAATAATAAATATCAATAAGTAGTTTGTTGTATTTTATTTCATTGTTGTTTTTTATTGTTTGCCATTAAATAGGTATTATAAAATTTGTTAAAAAAATGTGTTATTTTTTTAAATATAAAAAATATTCATCTAGAAGAGATGAAATGAGGGCGGGAAGTAGAGGTGTGTAATGTGACACTTCCCAACCTTCAATGACGTTAGTAATGACAACATTACATATATGGTTGTAAATAAAAAAAATAAGTACTTTATGTTCTAAATAGTATATCTTAATTTAGTGTCAAGGTCATTACACATACCTGCTATGAATATGACCGATATAAAAATTTTGATTTGAAATATTCTTCCTTATTTTTTTTATAAATCAGATTTTACTCACCTTATAATCTGTTTTGAAATGATTTCATTGTTAATCTATACCTACGCTGTAACTAAGTATGCAATATTCATGGTTCTTGCTCTATTTTATAATGAATTATATAATCTATATTATAAATTAGAATTACCTAAGTATACTTATACTTTTTTAGGACACATTATTAATTGAAGAGAAGAACCTTAATGAAAGAATAACGCTATCAGTAGAATATTCAGAAATGTGCCTATGTGAAAATTATTCTAAATCGAATATTACATGCAATAATGGTATACTAATGTGTGGCTTTTGTCAGTGTGAGGACGGATGGTAAGAATATTTAAAACCATATAGTTATCACATAATCTTGACCCTTACACTGTGTTCAATTTTACATGGGGCGGTAAACATTTCAATGTGGGGCACAATATATCTTTTAGGTAGCAATCACTGATCTGTGATATTCATTGGATATGATGTAGCCGATTAAATGCGTTCCGAAAAATTGGTAGTTTTGGGCAAACGATATGGGGAACTAGACTTTCTCTCTTTCAACCTCGTGAATATAAGCAATAGAGTCAAAACAGAAAGTATACAAAAACATGCGGCAGGTTAAAAAAATAATCAAAATGTTAAAAAGAGAGTGGACTAAATTAAAGTAGGACAGTTTACGTAAAAAAAAACAAAAATGTGAAACTATCTGTTAGATTTTAAATTTAAAAATTAGGATCAATCCTTCTAGTGTGTAGATTTGCGAAAACATTTATTACATTTTCTTTAAATGAAAGGAAAGAACGCGCTTACAATACTCGCATTCGTGTATTAATATACGATGAACGAGATGCGTTAAAGAGACCGCATATCACTAACCAACGCCAAATCACGACCGGAAAGATCACAGACCTCGGCTCTCCCCAGACATCGCATCTCGTATTATAGCCTTTCGAAATATTTCTATTCTAAGATTAGACTTTCCCGAGTACGCTCGGGGATGGCTCTGTAAGGCTGTCTGGAGGTGATGGAGGGGGGGGGGGGATGGCAGCGTCTATAAAAATCGCTCCAAAATCGTTACTCGAGGGGTTTTCGGGGATGCCGAATTCAATTCTGGCGTATGTGTGGAATCATTACATCTGTCGTTGTATGTAAATACAATGCTACAGTAATTAAGTTTCTTGGATTTTTTAGTGGTTTGAGTTCTGTCCGGCACTCTTATATCACGTTGGTTTTTTTGTTATACATAAATATAGTGCTAAAATAATCAAGTTTTTTGGATTTTTGACCTTTTTTGGAGTTTGAGTGGTGTCTGACACTCTTGGACCGCGTGGGTTTTTCATTATAAGTGAATACAGTGCTAAAGTAATCAAGAAGATGAAGAAGGGGAAGAAGATGAAGAAGGGGAAGAAGAAGAGTTTGAACAAGATGTTTAGTATTTAAGTTAAAAATTTAAGTTTATAATGAATATTTCAACATTAATAAAAACTCCTATTCAGAGCCACCCCTGAGTACCCCCGGGGAAGTCTAAATGCCAGAATTGAATTCAGCATCCCCGAAAATCCCCGAGTAACGATTTTGGAGTGATTTTCATGGACGCTGCCGTTTCCCCCCTAATCACCCCCAGACAACCCCACAGAGCCACCCCGAGCGCCCCTGGGGAAATCTTATGCTAGAATTGAATTCGGCATCCCCGAAAACCCCCCTAGTAACGAGTTTGGAGCGCTTCCCATGGACTACTCAATTTTCCCACAGAATGACGCTCCGGATACCCCCGCGGAGCCACCCATGGGTAATTCCAATGTCAGAATTGAATTCGGCATTCCCAAAAACCCGCGAGTAACGAGTTTGGAGCGATTTTCATGCACGCTGCATTTCTCCCCCAATTCACCACCCGCGCACAACCACAGAGCCACCCCCGTGCACCCCCGGGTAATTCTAAATCCAAGATCGAGTTCGGCAGCCTAGAAAAACGATTTCCGAGCGATTTTTCCGAGTTTCCATTCGTTCCTGTAATGGTGCAAGTAATGATGCAATTGGATAATGCATTTTCCGACCCAGAAGGCATTTTTTAAAAAAATGGCTAAACCAGACGATATAGACTTTTTTCCTGGGACCTTCCTGAACACAATGCAGAAAACCGCATCTTGATATCTGCTGTCCCTAAAAATTTCCGCTATTTTTCCCAACTTCCCTGGACTAAAATGGAAAACATTTATTACGAGTTTAGTTATTGAATTTACAATTTGTTCGCTATAATTTTTTCGGGGCCCTTGTTGGCAGACATTTTCACGATGACAAATGTTGCCTATAGCCTATGCAGTGAATATTACAGATGAGTGGTTGCATGGTCAGGAACGGTTTCCGTTAACGATTTGGTATAAAAGGTTTTAAACATTAGCATACTATTTTTTTCATGTAGGACTGGTGATAACTGTTCAGAAGAATGTGATGACTATGAGGTTACAGCTTGTCTAATGTACAATGAGGATGGAAACCCTTCACGAATTTGTAATGAAAAGTAAGTTATTTTATTGAGGGTTGGTAGGTATAGACATACAATTTGCATATACAGGGTGTCCCATTAGTGCGTAATTGTTTAATATTACAATTTGTGTTATAGACATATGCAAACAAGTTTCAAATAAAAGTTATATGGGTTTAACAAATACCTATTTTAAAAATAGTTTTGGGCCTTTGCCTGACAAATAAAAATGTATATTTTTTAAATAGAAAATCCTGTATTTTATTTTAGTTTTAGAATGGTTTGGTAATAGAATTGTTTTTTAAATATTACATGATTGCCAAGCAATAAATTTTTTATGTTATTGGAGAATGCTTTATGGTGAGATTACAGAACATCTGCAACTTTGCAGATCTGCAAATATGGAGACAACTTTGCAGATCTGTAAATATGGAGGCAACTTTGCAGATCGGCAAATATGGCGGATGCAAGTATCAAGTTTTCGTGTTCCAAAAAAAATCTGTAAATTCGCAATATTTATTGTGATTTATTACCCCCAACAACACTAAACCCAAATCCATTACTATGTTTAAAAACTCGATAATCTGACACCACGAACTATATTCAATCAAAAGAAATAGAGGACTTCACGGTTATTAAAAAAAAAGTATAGTAAAAATTGACAATCTGCAAGTTTGTAGGATGTTCCAACCTTCTGCAAAGTTACAGATAATTTTCAGACACAAAAAGTGTAAATACGTTTCTGTAATACCATGTTTCTCTTTTGCAAATGCAACTGATATTTATGCAGATGCAAGTACGATTTGCAGAGCTTCTGTAATCTCACCCTTAAGGGTGGATTTAGGTTTCGTGTGATTGGGGGTAATAAACCACAATAAATATTGCGAATTTGCAGATATTTTCTAGAATTCGAAAACTTGATACTTGCATCTGTAAGTCCGCCATATTTGCAGATCTGCAAAGTTGCCGTCATATTTGCAGATCTGCAAAGTTGCAGACGTTTAATAATCCCACCCGTAGACAACAAATTAAATTATCATAATTTAGGTAGCTTTACAATGATTTTAAAAATTTTTAAAATTCAGACTTACCAGATACTAAGCTAACGAATGGTGTTAGAACTGGTTAATTTTATACAGAGTGCTTTGAAACATGTCTCAAAAATGGCCAATTTTAAGTTTAATATACTAAATTTTTTCAAAAATATTATTTAAGCATAAAATTAAGACACACAGTAAAATAAATTGAAATATTGAACAATTAAACACTAATGAATGGGACACCCTGTATATATATAGAATTTTAATGAAAACTATCCATTTTAAATAACTTTAAAGGTGAGACTTTTATGAAAAATATGCAAAAAATCATATAAAGTGGAACGTCTTTTTGATCATGTATACTCGGCAAAGAAAACTTGTGTTTCATGAAAACATTATTTTAATATGGGCTATGTTCGTTTTTAAAAATACTCTACGAAGTTTTTTCTGATTGATATATTTAAAAAATGAATGATAATATTGAAAATGTATTATTTTTTATTTTACCTATACAATAAAACACGTCAAAAAATAAAACAAATACTTATTAAACATACTTATAAGTAACAATAAATATTCTTTGTGGGATAAATATAAATAAAAGATTTTAATTTTTAGTGGAATATGCAAATGCGGAAAATGTATTTGTGAAGCATCCTTTACTGGAAACTACTGTGAATACGAATGCCCTTCAAAAAGAAGAAGAAGAGAAATAATTGTATGCGGAGGTCCTCAAAAAGGTAAATGTCATGAAGGAAAATGTTCATGTGAAGCTGGGTACAAAGGTGAGGACTGTTCTTGTTCCATATCCCAACATGATTGTACGTTTGATGGAAGCACCATCTGTAGGTACGTAAGACATAGTTAATGTTATAGTGTATACTAGACTTTATAATACTCTCTCATTTTATTTTTACCTTTTGAATTCAGTTAATCTATTTTTATACGACTGCTATATAAAAGTGAATTTTTCTCATTGCTTATTTATGTCCAGGGTTACTAATAGGTCTGTTCCAACAATAATCAGGAACCAGTCACTGACACCAGGATTCTGCGCAGTACATTATTGGGCCCGCCAAATTATCTGATGCGCAGAATTCTGGTGTCACCGACTGATTTCTGACCGTTGTTGGAACTGACCTTATTTCTCAAGGCTGTCTAAACAAACTTCAAACACTTATAGCTTCTTCAAATGGCGCACTGTGTGCCCACTATTTCAAAACTAATTGAGTATTTGTCTTCAAACCAAATCGCACTGCACCTGACCTTATTTTTTTGTCTTCAAGTGGACTTGCACTTTTAAGTTGCTGTTTTAGTGCAACATTTTTATGTCTTCAGTTGACATGCACTGACCAAGGTTTTATCTTCAAACGAAATATCATAGTGTAGTGCTAGGGTTACATTTTTGCTATGGAGGGTAGAGGAAAGGAGAACAATCTCTGTATACAAAAAGTGTCCCTCAAAATGTATACAATTAAGATGGCGCTTCTGTGCCCAGGGGACGTCGACAGTCGATAATTCAGATCACACAATGACACCAATGATGTATATAGTAATAAATATTGCTCAACCATAAAAAACTAAAAACTAAACCGTGAAAAGTGACTGATCGTAGAAGAGTAAGTGTTCTGTGATCGTAGATAAATTTTGACAATACACGACAATAGTCAAATTTTATTGAAAAATAATAATATAAACAATAAATAATTCTTATATTAAAATGGCACGGAGGTCTCAATTTACTGCTTCCTGTCTGATTTAATTATGAATGAGCAATCTATATGACTATATAGCATTGGATTTTGTCCCCTGGCTACACGAGCGCCATCTTAATTGTATACATTTTGGTGGCCACTTTTTAATATAAAGATCCATATAAGATTGTCCTCCTTTTCTCTACCCTCCATAATTTTTGCACTGACAAATTCGACGGTTTTATGATTGCACTGCAATAGTTTAACCTATATTATTCTTGAAAAACTATATCTGTGAAAAGAATACATGTAATTAAATGTGGTAATGCATCATAAAAAAAATGAGTTATTAAATTTTGTTTCGAACGAGCTAAATAGTAGCAGGAGTAGGGATAAAAATGATATAGTAAATTTTTATTGTGGAAGAAAGAAAAAAAATATTGGAAATCCAGAATATGATAGAACAGAGAGGAGAAATTGGAAATTGAAAAGAGACTTGTTGTGCCAACAGTTAAATATTTAAATTGTTTAAATTAAGGATACATTTTTATTAACATGTATTAAAACATTAATCGGTATAATTTTTTTATTTGAGTCAGAACTAGTTAGAATAGAAATAAATAAAATATTCAAAGGAACAGGAACATAACACTTCATACAAATATCTTTCAAAAGAAAACAACACTATTTTTCTAGTAATTTTTATGTGAAATCTTTAAGAAAATCCAGCTTCTCTAGGTGTCTTCATTCTTTGTTTTCTTCCTTTTCTTGTGGATTTTTAGAAGAATTGTTTCACTGATTTGTTTATTTTTTTTGTCTTTTCTAGCTTGACCTGCTTTGCTTCTACAACAACTTTATCACCACTTCTCAAAACCTCCGATTGAAAGCTATCATCTATGGATGATGCAATTTTCCCAACTCTGCTTTAAATTCCATATTTTTTCGAATTTGATCAGTCATAGAATTTTCTATTTTCATACTTCAATAGGTTATTCCATTTTTAACACGCTTATATTAGGTTCACCTGTATGTATGTTTGTATGTATGTTTGTAACTCTCCTTTGGACTCAAGTGGCTTATTAGTCAGTATATCCCACTAAGTCAAGTTCGATCGTTGGCCGAGCGATCTAAGGCGCGGGATTTCGATTGACGATCTTGGGTTCTAATCCCCACGGTTGAAAAAAAAAATTTTTTTCAGCTATTTCAACTTACAAAATTTTTTTTGAATAACTAATCGAACTAAAAAGTAAAAAATAAATATAGTTTAAAAAAACTAAAAAACACGCTTTTATAATACATCGAACTAAAAAGTGAAAAATAAATATAGTTTAAAAAAACTAAAAAACACGCTTTTAGAGCATATCAGACTAAAAAGTTAAAAATATTTTTTTTAACACGCTTTTATTCAAATTAGCTTAAAACAATAATAAATGGAAAATACATTGTGAAAAAAGCGTGGGGCGCTTGGTCCATATTTCTCGTACATCGAGCGCCCGACGCTGGTTTTTCTTTTATACCTGATTTTCCTTAAATTTTAACCATTAATCACTCAAAACAATAAAAATGTAACTTATCTTCTTTTGGCTGTAACCCGACGCAATAACTTTTATACCTCGTTCAACTCATTGTAAGATACCTATATTACCGTGTTGAAAATGCCGTACCTGAATATCTTTGTATACCACTGTTTAGAGTTCATTGAGAAACAATTAACGCCGCAAACCGAATATTCGTAGCTCGAACGATTGCTGAAATATTTAATTTCAAAGTAATAGTTTTTTCGTAATAAAATTTATCGAAATTGGTGCCAAAATCCCGATTTGTCCTTACTAGGGATACACATACTCTATACAAAATATGTTAAGTATCGGTATTCGGCTGTATAGTAGGGGCAGAAGTCGGAAAGGCTTTTACCAGTTTTCCCACTTTATACACATAAATTGACAGGTTTGCGGCGAATCTAACCGAAGCGGACGCGTTACATTGGCTTACAAAATTATTTTATAGATGTTAATAACAATTTCGAGTACATGGTTTGATAAATTGTGAATAGCTGTTGAAATTTTGTAGAATTATGATTTGGATGTTATAATACATTTTTAATAATTATTTATAGTCCATAAATACATGCGATTGTCCGGTTCCGCAGTAACAATTTAAAATTATTTATTCTATGAAACGTCACTGGCAGGTAATGTTACGTTGTAATCGTCACTCCCTTTTAATAATTACAATATTTAATTAGTTCAAATATTCCAATATATTCTAATACTTTTTGAGCGCCCCTCGTATTTGGAAATATAGATATTATGTTAAAACGGGAATTTGTCTCTGTCTGGGACATTCTACGGCTCAACCAATGTTGCGCCTTCTCTAAAAGTCAATAATTATTGTCAGAGGTTGTGCGCACGCTTGGCTTACCTATGGATGTGGAATACTTACGTTTCACATTCGGTCGTTTTCTGAATTCTTTTCAATTTTGCAGCGAAATAAACCGGTTGGTTTTAGTGCTTTGTTTAAGTGTGTCCGAACAAACTAAGGTAACAGAATCATTTTTTTTATAATGAATGATAGAAATTAATTTTATTGTGTGTGTATATTCTGGTGAAATTATCTTGGAGTTATTTCATTCATTAATAGTGAGCTTTTCACGTAATATAAATTCCAAAATGTACAAAATGGCTGCCATTAATTTTATATTTTTTTTCTCAGTTATTTAAAAAATCTTTCCATTCTTTATGTATTTTAATTTAAATACTATTGCAAATTTCTAGTATTGTTGTAAACTTGAAATGTTCAATTTAAAAATGTTTAATTTAAATAGTAAGCTTTTATGGCTGACCACGTTTTGTTTTTTTTTTTGAAGCAATGGAAAGATTCATTTTTTTGTTGTAACTGACACGTTTTTTCTTTTTAAAATTAAGGAACTGGCTCTGTAACGACTAAGGAATGGGCCTTTATAACTAAGAACTGCAGAATGTCTAAAGTCATTGTAAGCTGAGTTACATCTAGAACTTCAGAATGTCTAAAGCCATTGTAAGCTGAGTTACATCTAGAACTGCAGAATATTAGGAAGTCATCGTAGGCTGAGCTACCATTAAGACAGCGACACGGATCAGTTCGACCGTTGAAATCCGGAAACACAAGATAAGTGTCGGCCAGGACCACACACACAATTTTTGAGTCATAGTTATACTAGTCAATTTTAATTTTAAACTCATTATCAGTCAAATAACGTAAACCGTAAAATTTGTTAAAATCAATAAATTTCATTTTCTTTTTATTGTAATATCATTCATTAATTCAATTTGAAATTAAAACCGATTAATTGTTTTGAAATTTAAGTTCTTTTTTTTTCTTACTTTCAACTGACAAGTTAATGACAAATTTACTTTTATTGTACATCTAAAGGTATGGCGCCCAAATTAATTTAATTGCATTCTTTTAAGTCTTTTTAATTAAAGACCTTGTCATTGACTTGAAGGTAAATTCTAAACGAATCCCACTGACCTATTTTGATCTGAGCTAGGCCTGAGGCTTGTAAGAATTCTTATTATAAGGATTTTTACAATGAGACCCAGGTAAGGGTTAGAAACTTAACGTATCATCTGGTGCAAAATATGTTTTTATAACGTAACTTTGTAAACGTAACATTTTTTATGAAACGTAACAGTAACATTACTTCGAAATTCTCGAAGCCCTCCGAAGTGGTTTGACCCCCCTTTCTAACTTCTGCCACTGCTGTATTCGGAGAACTAAAAAAAAAAAAATAGTAATTTGTGGTTCGAGTCATAACCGTATGATAATTTTTTATTTCTTTATTTTTTTAGTGGTAAAGGAGAATGTATTTGCAACGAATGTAAATGTAACGCCAATTTTACGGGAAAGTACTGCGAAACTAGTAACTATGACGGAAACAATACAATTTGCGAAGATTTCGAATCAATAATAAAAGATGCATTTCAGGAAAAGGGAAAGAAAGAGATCTTGAAAAATAATCGTTTAATTAAAATAATCGATAAGTTTACTTGTAAGTATACCACCATGCGACCATTGTGATTATGGAGGCCTCGGCTCTATTTTTGGAAAAATACAGTAGAATGATTTTTTTATTCCATGTGCGCAATGTTTCGGTACAAATATTAAGGTATGGTCTCTTTGCCATTACTGAGCTAAACGTAGGAAATTTGTTTCTCGTAAATAATTGTCCAACCGTTTTCGCCATAGATGGCTTCAGTCCTTTTTTAGGACCAAAGTCTTTTCGTTTCTTCCTTTCTTTCGGACCTTCTTTTAAAATGCTGTAAATTGTTCTTTTAGCTATACCATTTAAAATGCCGTTTTTTCAATAGCCCCTCCCGTTCCCTGCAATTTTATAACATTTTGATAAACATTTAGAACAATTTTTTTTAGTTTTAGCGCACAAATCTTGAAAGGTGTGATTACCAAAGGGTGCCTCCGGAGGTGCAACATTCAAAATGTCAATATCTTCAGAACAATCACTTTCAATATCGCACTCTTTAGTGTCTTCATTAGGTCTGTTTACAATTTCAAAAGTATTATCTTTCCACGAACCGAAAATGTTAAAAAATGTTTTCAAATATCTCAAAAAAAAATCTGATGTGTCCAACACATGACTTTATCTAGTTATTACAGACTTTTTCCGGTTATTTTGTACAACCTATTGTAGCACCTCTGTAAATATTTAGAGGTTAACTTAATACATACATATTCCACATACATCTAACTCGAAACATTTTTCTATATACACTCATTGCAAACGAAAATGATGAAAAATTTAAATTTTATACTTTTCCTCCAATTTTTCCATTACAGTCCATTTTAGAGAAATCATGTAAAAAACAAAAATTATAGAGATCGATATCGCAAACATCTTTCAGTTTTCTTTTAATTTTCTTAAAAATCAGAATTTTTTACAATTTGAAAAATGTCTCGAATACGGACCATTTTAGGAAAATTTTGTATAAAACAAAAATTATAGACAATATTATTAGAAGTAACTTTCATTTAAAGAATTTTCTTCTCCAAACGTAAATAACATATATATTTCATAAAATATAAAAATTTCTCCCTATAAAGTACCCCCAGATGTTCCGACTCTGTCCAAAATCTAATCAGTTCACCTTAGGTCGGAATACATTATTAGTTTAAAATATAAAGTTTTTTCTTTATCCGTTTTGGAGTTTCCTTCAAAATTAACACTTTTTCACAAATATCTCAAATACGGCCCATTTTAGAGAAATTATGTATAAGACAAGAATTACAGAGAATTATATCAAAAACAATTTTATTTGAACAATTTTCTTAAAATTGTAAAATTTTACATTTTGTAAAATTTCTCGAATACATACATTTTAGGAAAATTTTTTATAGAACAAAAACTATAGAGAATAATATAAGTAGTAACTTTTATATGAACACGTTTATTTCAGAAACCCCACAAGTCCAGGACATGTGCGGTTTCTAAACTATATGGATTTTTTATGCGCAGCGCTGCCAATAACATCACAGACCACAAATTAATATTAAAGATATTAAACATTTCCACATTTTTTCTGATGGATGCGGTGGATAAAACTAAAATCACTGTGTCATCAGAATGTGTAGAGCCCTTGTAGATCTCAATCGTTTCATAACTGTGACCCAATATTTCCCCATAAGGGGAACACTTGTTCATGTCATGTGACTTTGGTGTAGTAAAAAAAATCGAAAAACGATTACAATTGTTTTGATGAAAGAATATGCTTCTATTTTTATAGCATCAAGTTCCAAAATAAGTGTTTTTGTGTATCTAAACGATGATAGTATAATCAAAGATTTTAAGAAATGGTGGCCAAAGTTTTACATGAAGAATTACTTATCTACAGCTTCCTACGGTAGAGATGTACCCAAAGATGCCAAAATAAATTAATATCCCGTTTTTTTATGTAATTTATTCACTTTAAAGATAAGGAAGGCTATGTTATTGCGAAAGATCACATCGGAGGTCTTATTGAACACGAATTTAAAATTAGTGCTTCCATAAACATTCAGTCTTTTCCTGAAGAACTTGCCTATCTAGATATAAAAGTACCAATAAACGTTAAAAAATTTGAATGTTTTATTAGTAGTTGTGATTGGCCAGTTCTGGACGGGAGGTAATGAGAGGTAATTAGTAATTATCATAAGTACCCACCCCCACCCTTCGCGCAATTAGCAAGTACCTCCCAATGAGCTTAATTGCATAGTGTAATTGCATAGTGTAATAAGTGTAATTACTTCATACGCATATATATAAGTATTTACTATGTATATCGAGTAGCGTGTAACGAGCATAGTAAGTACCTCTTAGATAGTAATTGTTATGTATATCATGTAGTGTAATGGGTTTAGTTCAAGTACATATGAGTGATTACTATTGTAGCATAGGGGAAATATGTCGGAGCATACCGAAACACATCCTTGACTCTCAACCGTCATAGCTATAGTGAAGCGCTAGTCTCCAGCAGACGCGCAAGACGTAAACATCGGTGGAAGGGATAGTTCCCCATTCTTCACAAAATTAGCGGGTACCTCTCAGGCTTGTATATTATGAATATGAGTTGCATAGTAAGTATTTTTCAGATACCCTATACACCATGTGTAATGAATATCATAAGTACCTCTCATCACCCCATACACATTGAAATGTAATGAGTGTAGCTACCTTGTATATATAGTAATTTCTATGCATGTCATGAAGTGTAATGAGTAATTTAAGTAGCTCTTGGTTATTACTATTGTAGCGTATATAGCATTTTGTATCCTAAGTACATTCTAAATAATAGACATAAATGGGGGATAAAGTCCGCACATCCTTGACTCTCGATCACCATGATTAGAGTGAGGAACCGGCTGGGCGCAAGCATACACGGCATGAATATCGAGGCAGGAACTTGGAAAAAGTGGGGGATTTAGTTAACAAGTACTTCTTAATTCTAAACCCACTGTACTGAGTCTAATTGCATAGTAAGAAACTTTCAATGTATAATGAGCATCGCAAATACTTTTCAATACTCCATTCACATATAGGTACCTTGTATGTATATCATGTGTAATAAGTTATAGTAAGTACTCCCCATTACTTCAAACACAATGAAGTGGTGTGAGTATAAGTACATTATGTATAGTAATTGCAATGTATATCATGAAGTGTAGTGAGTTTAATATAACTACCTCTTGGGTATAACTATTGTACCGTACAGAGCGTGAATATCGAAGGAGCTTAAAAGAGGCGGGGGATTTTTGAGAGAATATATAGTAGCGTACGTATCCAAAAAGTTTAAACATCGAGAGCTTACGCAGTGTATGGTTTCAAAACGGCTAAAAATATCTTATTTTAATACAAAATACATACAAAAACGAAAAAAAAATAACATCAGAATAATTAAAATATCTTTCTCAGGTGAAAGACACCAAAAATTTAAAACAAAAAATAAGTAAAATGCAGACACATTGACACACAACGTTTTCAACTAAACTATTATGTTTTGATTAGTGGAGATCTACGTATAATAATACGCAAACCTCGAACACAGGTAAAAAGTGCCGCGTCCTTTAGGCATCTAGTTGGGCTAAGTTTAGTAGAAATATGTGTTTTTTATGGTCGCCATCTATAACGAAGTTTAGGTAGTTCTTCTAGAGTAGGATGATGAGATATAGTAGAACCCTGTTTTTAATAGTTTTCGGATTATTTATTGTGGGTAGAAAACTACAATATTTTAAGAACAAAATAAGTAAATATTTGGTGAAATATTAAGCTGTATATTATAATTACTAAAATATCGAATGTTTATTGAATTAGTAGTCATTTATATACCAATGCTAGACTTTTTTTTTAATTGGATTCACAAAAATATCAAATAAATAATAAAAATAGTAAAAATGTATAAGTGTAATTGTGGTATAATATTAAGCATCTGTGGTAGAGCCACTGTAAATATTTTTTACTTATATAGTATACACATTATTTCATTAAAAATTTCTACAATTTTATTGTAAGTATAACTTGACCCATATTTGTTCCTTTAATAACGGCCATATATTGTTTCACATTATTACGATAGGTGTATAATGTATTCCGATAAGCTCTGGCCTAATGCCGCCTTCTTAAAATAAAATAAATAGTATAAGAAAAACGATGAAGGCAGCAGTCTTTGCCGCGAATATGATACATGTAAGTTGGACTTGCACACATTTTGTGAGGAAATAGTTAGTTACCCAAGGTATGAAAACTTTCTTGAAAGATATCTTACCATACATAACCACACAAATAAGGAGCAAAAACGGATTAATGGAAGAGCCACAGTCAGATGATGAAATCGATTGGAGATTACTTACATATCTATATTTATAATTAGAATATAAATAAAACAATATACACAGTTTTAATGTTGTTTTTCTTTAGAAAAGGTTACACGTTATTATTTTTGTTAATAGTAAACACAAGTATAATTTCAGATATATAAAATAAGAAAAAAGTTTGTATTTCATTGAAAAATACATTATCTTTGACACAGGATTAAGCCTTTCAAATATACCCAAATATTTGATATGACTAGACATAGTCTGCGCCTAATAGTTATTCTGACTGATTATTACCAAGTATGGAAGCATTCCCATATCATGGGGCTGTCAGAATCTGTTCTCTGCAGGAGGTGCGAACAAGAAGATGAGACCATCGAGCATATCCGCTACTATTGCCCAACGCTTTCATTTATTAGAAAATTTATGTTTGGTGAGTATCACCTAATACCGGCCAATATAAGGGAAGCACACAACTCTTGGAGACGTCAACTACATTAATTCATTTTGTATGACTGAAATGTTTCTATTCACAGCGATGCCATTTCAAATAATATTGACGTCACAGTGTACTTTAAATGGGAAATCTCAATTGCGTCCTCTACCAAACATACTACAAATTTCGGTTCGAAAAAAAAATTAATTAAAAACGTACGCAAACTATGCGTTTTCGTTAATGACATATGTATT